GGCAAGAAATGGACAAAATATATTTGCAGAATTACCAACCTTGGACTTCAGTATAATGGACAAATACCTAATGAATACAAGTTAGGGATACTTGAGAAATTCCTTTAAAACATTTTTTTTTTTTTTAAATGAAAACAGCCAACTCAGAGAAGCAAAGTTCTGATTTCAACTTTTAGGACCATGGTCCTTGTTCTGTCCCATTGCTCATAAACAGAAATGGAACAATAAGCAAGTGAAAAACCAAATGGGCTATAAACATTTCCTTGAGAGCCTCTATCTTTTTTTTGTTACAGACCCCCTTTGAGAATCTAATAAAACGATAGAGCGATTTTCCAGAAAAAATGCACACAAACACATACATTAAAACTATGTATACAACTTCAGGATTTTCAGTCCCATGCATCCCAAGTTAAAACTACTCTTCTAAATCTAACTAAGCAACAAAATGCAGAAACAAAAACTTTTCAAACATAAAGTTAGTCTAAAAAGCAAAAGATTACACTGTATAATTTCTCATAACTCAGATGCAACTATATCTAAGTGGCTGATCTAAGAGTCAAGAGAAGTCTTTATTTGATCTTTCCAGGCTTCAAAAATGGAATTACAGTCAACTCATTATTCACCTACAGGCTTTCTAAGACTAACTTTAATAATGTCTAAACAGTATTCATCCAAGAAATGCCATGATTTTAGTATCAATCTATATAAAAACAAACAAGTTAATTACAACTATAAATATGCATAACTTCTCAAAAACTGTCCACTATTTTAAGTTATTCATATTTGGCTCCTCTCCATAAACTAAATAAGAATAACTAAACTACTGAACAGACTCTTCCTAAAGCTATATTCTTGTTTAAAAAATTAAACATTTTGAAAAAGACTTATACCAGAAGATTCTCTGAGTGTAAATGGCATCATTCAACCATGGTGGTGTTGTCTGCCCAAAGGTGTAGGCTAGGTCTTCATTTGACAGAGCTGGACACAAAAGCTCCCCCCACAGACAACAAGTCCTCCCAAAGACATGGTAATTAGCTAAGATGAAGATGGCCAGAGCCCAGAAAGCAGCAGCAATGGAGAAAACATACAATGGTGGCTGGGTGACAGGTGAATGTGCTGTATTCCACACCATCCTGGGGTAGGTTGGTCCTGGAGAAATGCCGAGATTTGAGGTCTGACCACTGGGGTTCGGAGGAAGAGAGCTAAGGAAAGAGACATTAGGAGGATCATAAGCACCTCTCTTGTAACAGGATTGACAGACTTTCTAAATGACCATAGGTAAGCTACTTCAACCCTAAAAGAGGATAACATCTCATCTATAAAAAAAAGATAGCATCTACTTTGCCCGGCCGGCTTGGCTCAGTGGTTGAGTATCGACCTATGAACCAAGAGGTCACGTTTCAATTCCTGGTCAGGGCACATGCCTGGGTATGGGCTTGATCTCCAGTGAGGGGTATGCAGCCGATCAGTGATTCTCTCTCATCATTGATGTTTCTATCTCTGTCTCCCTCTACTTTCTTCTCTGAAATCAACACAAATAAAAAATAAAAAGATAACATCTATTTCACTGGGTTGCTGTGAGGTCAGACTGAGTAACCACTGGAAGACTGAAAAATCAACAAACCACTTACATAAAAAGGCTTCACTTTTACTAATTTTAAAAAGTAAATTATAGTTTTCTCCTTCCATTTACTCATCCGCCTGGCAGTGGAGTAAGAGATACAAGATACAGTCTTTGTTCTCAAGGAATTCAGTCTAGTTTGGCAAGTTCATCTATTAGCATCCTCCTTTTCAAGATCAATTTCTCCACTTGTACCCCTGAACCCATCTCTTTCTGTCCTGTTTGGGATCCTGTATCTTGGTTAAAAAATAGGCAGACCTGCCCTAGCTGGTTTGGCTCACTGGATAGAGCATCACCTGGGGACTGAAGGGTCCCAGGTTCAATTCCGGTCAAGGGCATGTACCTTGGTTGCAGGCACATCCCCAGTAGTGGGTGTGCAGGAGGCAGCTGATCGATGCTTCTCTCTCATCGATGTTTCTAACTCTTTATCACCCTCTCTTCCTCTCTGTGAAAAATCAATAAAATATATTTTTTAAAAAATAGGCAGACCTTAGTAAACCCAACTCCACTACTTACGAGCTGTGAGACCATCAGCAATTAAGTAAGACAGGCCTCCTAACCTCAATGTCCTCAACTGTAGAAAGTAAATAATAGCACTTACTTTATAATACTGTTGAAAATTTAAATAATATATGCAAAGTGTTCAGTATAACTCCAGGAAGTTATAAGCAGTCAATAAAAGGTCATTTTTCTCCTGTATCTTTAACCTCTCCTTCCAATTGGCCACTTTCCCCCCACTGATGTAACATACTTCCCTTGATACTAATTCCTACAAGGCCCATGTGCTCTTCCCTGTTCTCTTTCTCCTCCTTCCACCCATGCTTCTTTAAAGTGTTATTTAAATCATCCTGGCTGGTGTGGCTCAGTGGGTTGAAGCATCATCCCATACACCAAAAAGTGACAGGTTCGATTCCTGGTCAGGGCACATACCCAGGTTTCAGGTTTGATCCTGGTGGGGCCACGTACAGGAGGCAACCGATTGATGTTTCTCTCTCACATCGATGTTTCTTTTCCTCTCTCTAAAATCAATAAAGTAAAATTTAAAAAAAAATAAATCATCTCAGCTTCCCTATGATTCTTTAACTCAGAAACTTATTTTTATCCCCACCAAAGCTGCTTTGTTAAGTTGCCAATGGTCTCAAGTAGCCATATCCAACAGGTACTGTCAGTCTTCATCTTATTGGGCCTTTCGTCACCACCTGGCATCATGCTCTTTCCTCCCTTCTTTCCTGACAGAACTCTCTTCTAATTCTCTCTTTGATTCTCTGATTATTCTATGTTAGTCTCCTCCTGCATCCATTCTTTTTTTAAAAATACACTTTTAATTGATTTTTAGAGAGAGGGAGATGGATAGAAACAGGGGAGCATCATCGATCAGCTGCCTCCTGCACACCCCCTATTGGGGATCGAGCCCGCAACCCAGGCCTGTGCCTTGACTGGAAATCGAACCAGCGACCTCTTGGTTCCTGAGTCCACACTCAACCGCTGAGCCACATGGGCCAGACCTCCTGCATTCACTCTTAAATGTTTTCCCAGACTCCATCATCTGCCCATTGCTCTCCTCCCTTCCTCTGCCCACCCCTGGTCATTCTGTCTATTCAGCTTCTACTAAGTTGACGACACCCCAATTCTGTATCTCCAGCCCTGATATCTCTCCAGTTTCAGAAGTTTAAGTGCCTGCTGGGCCTCTCCCCTGACATATCCTACATGGTCTTCACACTCACCATGCCAAAAACTAAAATCATCCTTCAACTCACTTTCTCATTCAAAACTGTCTCCCATTTGCATGTTCCCCACTTTAAGGACATCCCAGCCTAACCCAGAAACCTGGAAGTCATGTAGGATTTTCTCCCTAAATTCAGTCAATTGCCAAATCGCGCTGATGTACCCAAACATCTCTTGAGACAATGTTTTCTGTACTTCTCTTCAAGTTCAGGACCTCATCATCCTTGCCTGTACCAGTGCCCTACCTCATCTCCCTGACTTGTGTCTTAGCCCGACCATCTCCCCTGATGGCCCATCTGCCACCCTGCTACCAAAGTGGTCCATCTAAACTGCAATCTAGCCCTAGCCGGTTTTGCTCATTGGATAGAGCGTTGGCCTGAGAACTGAAAGGTCCCAGGTTCAATTCCAGTCAAGGGCACATGCCAGGGTTTTAGGTTCATCCCCAGTGGGAGATTTGCAGGAGGCAGCCAATCCATGATTCTCTCTCATCATGAATGTTTCTATCTCTCTCTTCCTTCCTCTCTGAAATCAATAAAAACATATTTAAAAAATAAATAAACTGCAAATCTATGTCAAATTTTTCAATGACTCCCCTTCACACCAGGTAAAATGCATACCCCTTATCAAGGCAAGTTCTTGTATGATTTGACTCCAGATCCCCTTCCCAGGTTCAGTGCTCATTCCTGACCTCGAGCTTCAGCTTTAATAACAACCGATTTGTTTTGTTTCCTCACCTAACAACCAGTCTCTACTCTCTACTCCTTCCTTCATCGCTGCACCTGTTCACCCCAGGAGCCCTAACTGTAATGACCTTATCCCGTGGCCTTGCGGGTCAGGCACACCTCCTTCGGGAACGGAGACAAAGTAATCCTTCCAACCCGGGCGCTGAGTACATCCTCCCTCTGGACTGCTGGGACAACGTGTGGACGGCACAACCGTTGTTTGGTGTTAAATTATGCTTACACGTGTTTCCCTATAAAAAGGAAAAGTCTTTGCGGGCAAGAACTGTGTTTTATTCACACCTGAATCCCAAGCTTACTGCAGTGCCGGGCATAACACACATGCCCCGTTCGATGTCTACCGGAGCGGTCCCGTACACCCCCTCGAGGAGCAAGACCCGGCACGGGAATTCGGATCCTCTTTTCGGAGTCGGGGTGGGAGCTCGGGTAGGACAGCGGTGCGGAGGGGGCGAGCTCCTCTGAGCAGCCTCGGCGGGGCTGGCTCCCAGAGGCAGATAGATCTTGCAGATGTGCCCGCTCACCACGTCGGCCCAGGCCGGGAGAGACGCGCTCCGGGAATAGCTGGGCCCGCAGCGCGGGGGTCGCTGCTGTGGTTTCGACCGGAGCCAGAGCGGCCATTGGGAAGGAGGAGAGGAGGACCGCCGCGCTCCAGAGGCCACGCCACCCGCAGAGGACTCCTCCCGCCTCCCTGCCCAGCGGGAAGCCGCGCTGGGAGCCCCGGCCGCCGGACCCTCACCTCGGCCTCCTCGGGCACCACAGAGGACACTCAGCCTCCACACGCTCGCCATCTCGCTCCTGGAGGTTCAAGGTCATGCAGTAACCCGGAAACAGTCACAGGCACCGCCCACCACACCACACGAAGGGGAACAAGGAAAAGGAAAATGCTTGGTGAACCGGAAGTCGGGAATTGGGAGCCGGGAGTCAGTGTGCGGCCGCCGCACATGCGCGCACACGTGACCGGAAGTCCGGAGCCCAGAGGCGGACAATGGCGGAGCTGGGAGAGGCCGACGAAGCGGAATTGCAGCGCCTGGTGGCGGCCGAGCAGCAGAAGGCGCAGTTCACCGCACAGGTGCGGGACAGGGACCAGGGTGAAGAGAAACGCGGCTGCAGTCCAGGCCAGGCGGCCGCGGGGAGGTCGCCCGATGTCCCTGCCAGGCCCGGTTCCCTCGCAAGAGAAACGAGTCGCGGCACCCCTGCCGCTGGGGCGCGGCGGTGCCCAGGGGCCGTTAAGCAAGCCCCGTTGGGGAAAGTAGGTGTGAAGCAGAAAAGAAAGGTTTGGGCGGCGCGAGGGTCCGGGAGCCGAGCTGGGCGGCGAGCCCCCTGGGCTGACGTTCGGGAGATGCAGGTTCTAATCGTGCCTCTGCCGCTGACGCGCCACGTGCCTCCAGGCGGACACCCAGCCACTGCGCGTCTCGGTTTCGCGGTCGCCCGGTCCCTTACTGCACTGTGAGGACCAGGCGCGATAATGTATTTGGAAACGGCAGAACCTTATTGGGGGGTAATCAGCCTGCAAGAGCTGTGGAGCTCGTTCGGCCCGGAACCCGGCCCGGTGCCGCATTAGCCGCGTTACTTAGGGCTGATTACCTACCGCCTCTTCAGCGAAGGTGACAAGTCATCTTCTATTACCGCAGAAAGGATTGACTGAGTGCCTAGTTCTCAGCCTCCCCAAATAGTGAACTCTTGGTAAATGGTATTTTCCTCTCCTCTCCGCCACCCCCCCACCACCACCCTGGTTAGAAATCTTTGAGTCCTGAACGTTATGAAAGTGCATACATCTTCTGTGCCTGTATGTGCATTTTTCTGGAGAGTGGATCCATTGGATTCTCAGAAAGGTTAAGAACCCAAGAAGGGATAGATTTAGAATGGTACGGGTGCAGTGGTTTGGGGAATTAATTGGTACCATACCTTCTCAGCTTACACTGGTGCTAGTTTGGGATTTTTTTAAAAAAAAAAGGTAAGTAATCCTGCCTGAAAATTTACATTCTGATTGAGGACTTGACACAAGTAGAAAATAATAGACAGTGGCCTTCAGGCAAGTAAGAGTGCGAACTGTTTTGAAGAATTGGTGAAATCTTTAGGGAGGGCCTTCAAGAATATTGAGTCAAGTTGAGCCCTAGCCAGTGTAGCTCAGAGCCTCAGCCCTCACACAGAACGTTCGATTCCTGGTACCTGGGTTGTAGGTTTGATCCCCAGCCCAGTCGGGAATAGTGGGGGAGGCAACCCCCACTTCCAGTCTCTCTAATGGAAAAAAATATCGTCAGGTGAGGATTAACAACAAAAAAAGAGTCAAGTTGGGTATACTGTGTGGGCCTCATTGAAACCGTAGGGGTGGGGGTTAAATAAGGGAGTGCTCTGAGTAGCTAACAGAGAAACTGATGATTAAGCAAACACAGGTGACTTGATGGAAAGTATTTTGTAATTACTGAAGAGAAAAATAGAAAAAGAGAGGATAAAAAAATTGTTGCAATGTAGGGCTGAGGGTCTGGACCATATTGGGGACAGTAGGAAGTGAGGAAAGAGGAGAGCCCATGGTTTGTTGATTGAAAGAATGTTTTAATTAGGTGACAGAAAATGAAAATGGGAAGGAAATAAGAAAATTGGCAGGTAGACCTATATACAGGCCCTAATGGTTACTGCTTTTCTTTCCTCTCAGGTGCACCACTTCATGGAGCTATGTTGGGATAAATGTGTGGAAAAGCCAGGGAATCGCCTAGACTCTCGTACTGAAAATTGTCTCTCTAGCTGTGTGGACCGCTTCATTGACACTACTCTCGCCATCACCAGTCGTTTTGCCCAGATTGTACAGAAAGGAGGGCAGTAGGCCATTCCCTAGGAGAATGACAGAAGCAGCAAAGGACTTGTTATTAAGCAGATTGAAGGGCCAGTAAGGGAAAGTTGTCAACCCACTGTCAGGTCAACTTCAGGCTATTATCAAGCATGTTGGTGCTAAAAAGTAACAGATCGAAAATTCAAAAGTGAAATTTATTTATTTGGAATTCAGAAACTCCACATTGTATCACAACAATTATTCAATAAATGTGAGTTCTCCGACTCTATTTTTAAAATCCCATTTTAGGATTTAATAAGATCTCTGATTGGCAGAAACACTAGGACTGAATATGTTCCAGGGCTAGTAGTGCAAATGGTATTTAAGGGGCTGGAAGAAACATCAGAGCCTTAGCCTAAGGCAGAGAAGAAAATTTAGGGTTGAGAAAGGTGAAGAACAGAAAACAGCTTTATTGCTTATACATGACCAAGAAAAGGTAAACATGGCAAAAAACAAAACAAGCAAGATGTGTATTCATTGGGAAAGAGAAGTCTGCTACTGTGGGAGGAAGGGAAGGTCAAGACCCAAACAGAACCAACTTCCTGGAGATGCCTTGTCCCACTCACCCATTCTCCTGAGTCTGCTGAGACTCAGTACTTTTATAGCACAGAAACAATGTTTAAAACCAAAAAAAAAAGTGAACACTCCCTCCAACAAAGATTTCACTTGCTCCAAGAACAAAACTGCTTTAGGTTAAGAGGTAGTAATTATAGACTGCTCTTCCTCTCTTGGGTCCCTACTAATCCCAAAGGTAAAAATATACACCATTGAACATTGACAGTTGAGTACCAAAGTGTTAATATTTCAAATAAATAGCCCCAAAGGTAGCACCTGCTTGTAATTGGGATCAGGAACCTCTAGCCAACCATGTACTTCATGACTAAATATTTTGTGAGCAACTGTCTGTAAAGACAGATTTAGCAGAACTATAAAATTTACCACCTCGTGGAATGATGTCATAGTTATATTCTATTGCTGGTGTCCTATAATGTCATATCGCCATGAAGTATTTGCATATTACATATGGGGTTCAAAGGAAGGCCAGAGAGGTTAACTTACCTTCTCCAGACCACACAACCAATTAGTGGCAGAACCAAGACGAGTTTTCAAGCTTTTTACTCAGCCCATGAAGTGACAACTAGGAAAAACAATATGTCACTTAATCTTCTGCCATAATGAAAAAATCAATGTGTTCTGCCAGCCTTTCAGTGTTATTTTCTCATGAATTAACATGGGGATTACACATATAGCAAAAGGGAATAATATGGTCTCTGCTTAGTGCTTTAATCCAAAGGCAAGCTGGAAAAGAAGTAGATATGTCCCTGAGAAGTCTTTCATTTTGGATTTGATTCAACCTAGTTTCAGGGAAAATCTAAAGTTCATTAATAGATTTCAAAATGAACAAGGAAGACACTTAAATGGCAGATGCTGCTCTGAAGCCCGTTCAGAGCACCATTAAGTGACTGACTCCTAATTCTTCCCCATTTGTTAAGGATGTAACCGAAAAGAAGTAATTTTTGAACACAAGTCCATTTAGGCAATATACAGCAATGGAACTAGAAAACCATTTACTATCCATAAAGAATTTAAAAAGAAAAAAGGCATTTACTATCCAATTACCATGTTTATGGGTATACTGAATATAGCTACAGTCCCTGTCCAGCAGGAAAACTTAACAAAAAACGCTAGTCTCTGCTGATAACAGCTGTCTGTGGGTGTTGGTGAAATATTGGTTCTTATGCTCATTTCCCCATTAAATAAAAGACCAGACCAATGGGGCCAAAATACAGAAAGATCAAAGCACCAAGGCTGAGACAAAGTGGCACCTGCAATATAAACCAAACAAGAGCAACTGGATGTTCCCTTAGCGTACATTCCGCACAGCACTGGTTCCAATCTACCTCGTGATCCTAGCCTTCACTTTCCCCAAACTCAACATTCTAACTGGTATACCCAGGTCATTGGATTCTGCCTCCTGGGTCCTTTAATTTGCTGTATATACACTCTAGGCTAAATGTAATTAACTGCAAAAAATAATCTCTTCAAGAAACCTTCATAACAAAATACCAGATTCCCTATTAACAATAAGAGGATCAAGTTTAACAGGCCAAAATAGAAGACAAGTCTGTCAGATGTACACAGACGGCAAAGGACAACTCCACCCTCAGGCCCCCTGTGCTGCTCGAGTCATCGTCAAAGCCCCAAGGTGCAAGAGCTGTCAACATCCAAGTCAGTGGGAACTGAAGACTGTTTCTCATTTAGTCATCCTCCGAACTCTCAGCAGACCTTTCATCTGTAGCCACTTTCCAATTTGTGCGTTTGTTTGTTTTTGTCCTCTCCTGTATTTCATTGCTAACTACAGGGATACTGACTTTATCTTTTTTTTCCCTTTTGGTTTTCTTAGTGTCTCTTTCCTCAGAACTGCTGGATGCTGAGTCATCAGACTGAGAAGTGTCACTTTCTGCCTCTAAAACTAGAGCAGACTTTTTGAGAGACTTTTTCCTTGATTTTTTCTTACGCTTATGTGGTTGTTTCCTGGTACTAGAAGCCCCAGTTTCTTCTGAGAACTCGTTTGAGGAATCTGCTGTTATATCTGTGACTTCCTTTTTGCTTTTCTTCTGTTTTTTGTGTGACTTCTTTTTCTGCTTTTTTTTGTGAGATTTCTTTGATTTCTTGTGTTTGTGAGATTCATGGGTAGATGATTTTACCTGGGGAGATCTTTTTTTCCCATTGGTAATATCTTGATGATCACTAATAAAAAAGAGAAACACCTTTACTATAGAAAATAAAAATATTTTAATATTCTACATTCCAGATAAAAAGTTATGGTTAACATCTAAATTTTAAAACAGCTTTGACATAGGGTTACTATGAGACTTAATAACTCTGAGTTTTTCCTCATCTTTAAAATGAAGATAAAAATTCTAATCTGTAAAACAACACTAAAACCATTAAAAATCACTGGACTCAGGGAAAAAAAAGAGCATATTAAGATCTGCTTATCACTAGTATTAGCAACACTGGGCATTATAAAAAATATTTTTTTGCCAATCCGATAGGTAGAAAACTTTTGTTTAAAATTATATAAGAATTTTTAATTTGAAAAAATTCTAATCTGCCATACTGAATTACTGTATGGGACACTAGATATAAAGACCTAAGAGCTATACTCCTGGCCAGTGTGACTCAGTTGGTTGGGCGCCCTCTCATGCACCAAGAGGTTACCGGTTTGATTCCCAGTCAGGGCACATGCCCAGGGTTGCGGGCTTGATCCCCAGTACAGGGCATGCAGGAGGCAGCTGATGGATGTTTCTCTCCTTTCCCTTCCTCTCTCTCTCAAATCAATAAAAACATATTTTTAAAAAAAACAAGTGCTATAGATATGTCAAACATCAATCAGGGAAAGGCAAAATACCTATCACCTTCCATCTAAATTGCCAATTATTCTTTGGTTACATTTTTAATGGCAAATGTTACATGCTTTGTAAAAACTGCGCTTAAACTCAAATTACAGTTCAGACTTTGTACTAAGCTTAGTTTCTAACTTTTCCAGAAAGCCTATTTGTCTTACCTGTCTGTTTCAAATTCTTCAGGGTATAACTCTTTATAACCACTGTGACCCCATCTGTAAGATGACATTTTATTATACATATTGTTAAAGCAGTGCATATGCTTTTGAAAATTAAATCAGACAGACTTAGGAATGCATGCACACAGACATACACACAGAACAAAAAAAATAGAGATATGGTAAAGCCAACCCCACACAGCCCAGTAATCTTAGCTGGCTATTTTTCTGTGCTGCACACTATTATTTCAGACACAAAGAATTCCTTTGTCCATTTGTAAGAAAACTTGCCATTCTCTTCCTTAAGAAAACTTAGAATCTGCTCTCTTTAGCTGTGGAGTACTTCTCCAAAAACACTTCATAACATAATGTCTACCCTGATACAATTTTTTAAAAATAACTATTGAGCCCTAGCTGGTTTGGCTCAGTGGATAGAGCATCGGCCTGTGGACTGAAAGGTCCCAGGTTCAATTCCGGTCAAGGGCACATGCCCAGGTTGTGGGCTCGATCCCCAGTAGGGGGCGTGCAGGAGGCAGCCGATAAATAATTCTCATCATTGATGTTTCTATCTCTCCCTTATTCTCTGAAATCAATAAAAATATATCTTTAAAAAATAGTAATAACTATTGAAATATAATTCATAAAGTGTGCAAGTCAGTGGCTTTTAGTATAATCAGAGTTGTACAACCATCACCATTATCTTCCTTCAGAACATTTTCATCACCCCAAAAAGAAACTGCATTAGCAGTCACTCTCCATTCCTCCCTCTCCTGTAGCTCATAACAACCACTTATCTACTTTCTGTCTCTATGGCTTTGCCTATTCTAGACATATATAAATAGGATCATATAACAAATGGCCTTTTATGTCTGGCTCTTTTCACCTACCATCATATTTTCAAGGTTCATCCATATTGTAGTATGTTTTCAGTACTTTATGCCTTTTACAGCCAGATAACATTCCATTACTTGTTCCATATACCACATTTTGTTTATTCATTCGTCAGCTAATAGACATTTGGGTTTCCACTTTTTTTGCCACACTGAATAATTATGCTGTGAACATTTGTGTACAAGTTTTTGTAGAGATAATTAAGTTTGTAAAGTTCACATTCTCATGCCAAATATCATTAATGGCCACAAGAATTTAGTCACAAACCTGTCTGGCATGTTAGCTTCATAATCATATAACTTCTTGTTCCAGGATTTAGCCTTAAGAAAATCATCTTCCAGTGCCTCAGAAATTTCATTCCTTGGCCTCCAATTGTCTCTTTGACTTTCTTCATCAAAACCGTCACTACGCATCCGGCTAGATGAGGAAACAGAAGGATTTTTAGATTTAGAAGCAATCTGTGAAGCTACTTTATGAAACATCATGCACAAATCTCATTGAACAAGCTACTGGCAAGAGGGAGAAAACAACCTGATACTATTTTTTTAAATCATGTAAAAAGACATGATCTATTCCTCTCTGTAAATTTGTACAGTTGTCCAATGAAAATTTGACCATTATTACCCACCCTATTGAACTTCTGGACTGTGGTACGCTGTAGCTCACTCACTAATTCTCAACTAGGAGGGCATGCAAAGTGGGAAGCAGAGCATAATCACAGCTGGGGACATTGCAAACTATCCTAGATTCTATATATACACTCCCTTCCTGGAGAACCAGCACCTTGCTGTAGTGAGGTCACAGTAACAATGGGAATAAGTCCCTAACCCATGAGTACGTTGGGGTAGAAAATCAGTTGAAAACAATTGACTCAGCCCGTACTTACAATATCCACTAACCAGTCACTAAAGCTAGCTAATTGGTTATCAAAAATGTTTCAGGGTTCCTATGTGTCAGGTACTGTTCTAGCCACTGAGAATATAATGCAAATGAGACAATCAGAATCCCTGCCCTTAAAGAGATTGTGTTTGAAGATTTACTCACCATGAAAGGTATTAATAATAGTCCACTCAAGAAAAACAAGCTCTGGCTGGTTTGGCTCAGTGAATAGAGCATCAGCCTGCAGATGGAAGGGGCAGATGGAAGGGTCCAGGGTTCGCTTCCAGTCAAGGGTACATGCCCGGGTTGTGGACTTGATCCCCAGTAGGGGGCATGGAGGAGGCAGCCGATCAATGATTCTCTCTCATCATTGATGTTTCTCTCTCTCTCTCCCTCTCCCTTCCTCTCTGAAATCAATAAAAATATATGTATTTTTTAATTTTTTCAAAAAAGAACAATATTCTGGCCCTGGCCGGTTGGTCTGTGGTTAGATCACTGACCCACAGACAAGGGTGGTTGGTTCAATTCCGGTCAAGGGCAAGTACCTTGATTGCAGGTTCGATCCCCAGCATTGGTTAGGGTGTGTGGGGGACGCAACCAATGTGTCTCTCTCACATCGCTGTTTCTCTCTGTGTGTCTCTCCCCCTCCCTTCCACTCTCTATAAATCAATGGAAAAAATATCCTTGGGGTGAGGATTAACAAAAAACAAAAAAGAACAATATTTTGTTCCTGGAGGTACCACTGGAAACTGACCAACCAACACAAAATAAGTCATCATCTGCACTAACAGTACTTCTAAATTCTCAAAGAACCATCAGAGAAAAAACAAACTGAAAAATACATTTATTTTTATGTTGAAACTCTGCTTTCTTTACCATGGATACTCTGCATACTTTCTTGTCTAAAGCCATTTACACAAAGCCACAAACTCCACGTACTCTGCAGACACATTCACTCTCCTTAAATATCTCACTATTAACACATTGCGGACCAGTAGTTTTATTGCTAGCTTTACCCAGTGGCCAGATAAGTTTCTCTTGAACAAGTACAAAAAAAAACATTTTACATAAATGTTAAAGGCACACTTTAAAATTAAATACCCATTGCATTTTGAAGTTATTAATTAAAGGTTCTTACAAGCTAATATCTTTTTAATAACGTGATTGGCCACAAGCCTTAGAACAGAAAACACGAGAATTCTCGTGATCCATCCGCAATGTGGTAACTATTCCCATGGTGGCTTTAGAATCAGCATTACTACTTTGAGTCATTTTTCATACACACAGCTGTACACCAATAGGCACAGGAGGCCCAACAGATGTTCATAATACTCAGACATTCCTATACCACTACAGGTATGACAATTAAGCCTGCACAATCCCTTATATTAACTCTCAAATTAATAAGAAGGTAATGTGAAAGACTGTGATTTGGCGAAGATAGAGAGTAGATGGGGTAAAGAGGAGGCTTAGAGAAAAAAGTTTAAAAATTAAAAAAAGGCTGGGAGAGAGAATGAAAGACTAATAATGGAAAGGAGTATATGATCAGCTAAGCGACCATAGATACAAGTAGAAAATCTAAGATTAAAAGGTATCAGATAAGGTCAGAATCCATAGAATCCTTAATGTTTACAATTGTTCAAGGTAGACTTTTAAAATTCTCTATTGCAAATGAGTACAAAAAGTGGGACCATATGTATGATAGCCATTATTACCTTTATACTTGGGTCTAGGTTTATGAAAGAGGGAATGCTTAAGGACTCACAAAACTGAATCCATGTATCTTTAGCATACCAAAATGATTTTAAACAAAAAGTTGATGATTTTGAATAAGATGAGAATTATTTTGGTTCTCAGAGCTCCACTTCACCTTGAACTGCTGGGCAACATTTTCCTTTTGTTCCCCCGGTAAGCATCTTCCATCTGTTTCTCCAGTTCTCTTATTTTCCACATATCTGATTCCTCCTGAATCTAGATTTTTTTTTTAAAAGAAAGAAATTAAAATAAGTTACTGAAAATAACACTTTACATCACAAAAAAGTAACTAAAAATATAGACTGCACTAATTATGGGATTTTAGACTGGGTTATGATCAAGAACCTGGGAAATTCTGGTTTTTCAATGTGATTAAACAATCCAACCCAGTAAATCAAATATGTAGAATTCTGCAACAACAGAATTTTTTAACCCTTGCATAGACACACTTAGAATCTTATCAATTTTATAATTATGTTGCAATTACCAAATGATAATCCTTTATGTTTCTAAAATGCTTTATCATTTTAAATGTATCATCTCAATTGAACGTTAAGCAATCTTATGAGGAAAGCAAAGCAAGATGCCATTATTATATTCTACTGAGAAGAAACAAAAGCTCAGAAATTTTACCAAAGTCAAAAAGCTAGTAAAGACAGGCCTTTAAACTTTCAGGCTAAGTTCCTTTTCACAACATTCTAATTTTTACTAAAAACAAAATAAAAAGACATGAGAATTGCTAGGGAATTTCTAGAGAGTCAGATTACAACTGACCAAAAAATAAGAATATGTTTTATTTCTAAATCCTCCTATTGCCCTAGCCAGTTTGGCTCAATGCATAGAGCAATGGCCTGCGGACCAAAGGGTCCCAGGTTTGATTCCATTCTCAGGCATATACCTTGGCTATAGCTCCTCCCCAGTCCCAGCCCTGGTCAGGGCACGAGCAGGAGGCAACCAATCAATGTGTTTCTCTCACATCAATATTTCTCTCTGTCTTTCTCTCTCTCTTCCACTCTCTCTGAAAATCAATGGAAAAATATCCTCAGAGATGAGAATTAAAAATAATAATAATAAATAAAGTTTCATAAATTGCCTTAACAAAGTATTTAAAAATAAGTAATCCTCCTATAATATTTTGTTAAATCTGTGCTACATTATCTTTTTTAGCCACCACTTTCAAATCTAAGTTCACCTTTCAACTAGGGGTGATTTAAGGCAATTGCAGAGGCCACTTAGATAAGTTATAACCTCACTCACAATCAAATTATCAGGTGACATTAGAGTAATACCTTTTAAGATCAAACTAGGAATTACACAGTTCACCAAAGAAAACCAAACAGGGGTCCTTGGCCCTCTTTTCATTATATGTGTTCTCCTAGGTGACCTCATCTACCTACTCTCATGACCTATGTCATTCCCTATATACCAATAATCCTCAAACCAAGAATCAACATTTCTCCTTTGCTCCAAGTCTGAATTCCCAACTGTTTGGACATCCTATAAGCTCCTCACCGTCAACATCTTCAAACCAAACTAACTACATTTCCCATCATACTTGTCCCTTTCTTTTTTTTTTTTTTTTTACATTTACAAATATTAAATTTATTATAATTAGAATGAATTTAATGGTTCTCAGATTTGGCCACCTTATAGATCAGTTTGAGAGGATTTTTAACAGAAAATGCATTGTAACTTGGTCAAATTACACATAAAAAAAAACTATAAAGAAAAGTAATGCATCCCTCAGTTTCACATAATTAAAGAACAGGAGAAAGCATGCAAGCTACAGCATAGCTAAATTTACCAAACCAACCAAAGCCGGGGGGATTTTTCTCTTCTGATTATGTGTCATAAAAACGTCCCCTGTCTTATACACACATGTATATAATGTTACATTCCATCACTGTAAAAAGTCCCCTTTGTGCCTCCCCTCCAGAAAGTTTCAGTCTAGTCCCCAAACTTGGACGGCGGCGCCCGTTCTCCATCAGCTGCTGCAGGTTCTCGGCGCGCAGCCGGTCTAGCTCCAGCTCCAGCTCCCGGACGCGCGCCGTCATCGCCGCGCCCAGCTGCTTGCTTTCCAGCCGCAACCGGTTGTTCTCGTCCTCCATGTGAGAGAGACACGTCTCCAGCTCCAGGTACTCCCTGATGAGCTCCTGCTTGCTCATGTTCTGCAGGCTTTCCGCGTGGAACCGCTCGTCCCTCTCTGAGAAGTCCCGCTGCAGAAACTCGCTGCCGTCGCCGCCCATCCCGTCGCTGCCCCCATCCTCCCCACCCGCCTCTTCCATAAACTCTTCGTCGCTGGTGTCCGACTTGGCCGCAGCCCGCTTGGGGTAGAAGCCGGTTTTGAGGTCCGGCTCCTCCTGGTCGTGATCATCCATGAGGAACTGCGTGGTGTTATAGGGCGCCACCGGCTGGCCCTTGGCGAACATCTCGGCTCGAACCCTCGAAGCTCGAAGACGCTGTTTCTCGTCGAACTTTCTCTTCTCCTCCCAAGTCAGCTTGCAGTACGGCTTCCAGTGCGGCTTCTCCTTGGAAGGGCGTCGCCTGTGTTTCTTCTTGCCCAGCTGTCTCTGCTGCTGTTTCCAGAACTCCTCGCCTCCAGCGGCAGGAGCCCCCAACTTGTTGGCTTCGGAGCCATGACACGGTTGGGTGAGCGGCTCGGTCTCGGGCCTCTGTTCCCCTCCCGCTGGCGACGGGGCGGTTCCGCCAGCGGACAAGTCATCTCCATTCTGGCCCATTTCGTCCGCTTCCAGGCAGCGAGGTTCTGGACAGACCTGGGTTGGCAAAGGAGACGGCTGGGGGTCCAGGCTCCCTTCCCCTCTGGCCCTGGACGGCCCCCCGGCTGGGGGAGCGCTCTTGCTTGCCACCTACTGTCGTCCTCGGGCACGGGCTCCTCTGCGCCCAGGGGCGGGGCGGGGTTCCGCTCTTCGTGGACAGCATCAGCACCTGCACAGTTGCCAGTTTGAGGCTGGTGCTGAAACGACTGGCTCGGCCATGGCAACAAGAGTCCTCAAAGTTTGGAAAATTTTGACTGCAAGTCCTTGAAGAAAAAAGGTCTTTCTTTTCTTGAAGAAAAAAAATGCCCAACAGATTCCACCTCGGTAATTCCTACAGTGATGCCTTCAGCCGGTCCTGTCAGCAAACTCCAATTGCAACTTGGGGGAGCTCAAGTCAGTAAAGGGTTAAGTGCCGCCACGGGGATCAGCTAAGCAGGTCCAAAGGGGTGCAGCAGCAGGAACAGCCCGGAATGTACGCAGGGGGTCGCCTCAAGCCTCCCCGCAGAGCGCCCCCCACGATGGAGGAATTGGTGGGCTAGATGAGGTTAAGTCCAGTGGGTTAAACCCAGCCCCAAAGGGGTTAAAACTACCCGATGATGCTGCCTCTGAGGGGCTGGACCCACAAAGGGTTAAATCCCCTGCCGCAGAGCTCACAAGGGGTTAAGGTCCCAGAGCCACCTCCTCCCACTTCCACGGGTGTGGGTGTCGCTCCAACCCGAGCTCCCAGGTCCTTAGGCCAGGCCGAAGCCTCATCCCAGGACAAACTCATCTCCCCTTTGGCTCAATGCTCTGCTCTGCCCAGTTCTCTCTTCCTCCTGCTCCGACAGCTCTTCCGCCTCCTCCCCCTCACTGCCCCTCCCAACCTGCCTCCCCACCTGCCAACTTCCACCTGCTTACTTGTCCCTTTCTTTTGTTTCCTATCATCATCATTCTCCTAATCACCCAAGATAGTAATATTTGATTCCATAATTATCACCACCATCCAATCAGTCACCAAGTTCTTTGGATTCTATCTCCTAAATTCCTCATCTTCATCCCTACTGTCAGTGCTTTCATATGAACCCCCCTCATCATCTCTCACCTGGAAAACTGCAATTGCTTTCTAATTGGTCTCTCTACTGTTCACCCCATTTGATCTATCACCTATCCAATTAAAAAATCATATTTCTAAAATATAATCAAGTCACACTCAGCTTAAAAACATTTGATGGTTTCCCAGCCAGTGTGACTCAGTTGGTTGAGCGTTGTCCCATGCACCAGGTCACCTGTTCAATTCCCAGTCAGGGCACCTGCCCAAGTTGCAGGCTCAATCCCCAGCAGGAGGGGTGCAAGAGTCAGCCCATCCATGTTTCCCATAGATGTTTTTAGCTCTCCTTCTCCCTTCCTTCCTCTGAAATCAATAAAAACGTATTTTAAAAATAAAAATATATTTGATGGTTTATTTATTGCCTAGAGGAAAGAAATCTAATCTCCAACCACCATAATCCACACTGGCCTCATCTTCTGTCACTAGCCCCCACATTCACTACTTTCTGGATGCACACAACTTCTTGCCATTCTCCATGCACTTTCTTACTGCCATATGTTAGCACATGATTTTCTCTCTGTACAGAATGATTTTTTACACCTGGAAATCTTGAACCTGTTCATCAAGAACTAGTTCAAGCCGAAACCGGTTTGGCTCAGTGGATAGAGCGTCGGCCTGCGGACTGAAAGGTCCCAGGTTCGATTCCAGTCAAGGGCATGGACCTGGGTTGCGGGCACATCCCCAGTAGGAGATGTGCAGGAGGCAACTGATCGATGTTTCTCTCTCATCGATGTTTCTAACTCTCTATCTCTCTCCCTTCCTCTCTGTAAAAAATCAATAAAATATTTTTTTTTTATTGCTTAAAGTATTACAAAGGGTATTACATATGTGTCCATTTTATCCCCCCGCCCTAGACAGTCCCCTAGCCTCCCCTATCCCCCAATGTCTTATGTCCACTGGTTATGCTTCTATGCATGCAAAAAATCAATAAAATATATTTAAAAAAAAAAAAAAAGAACTAGTTCAAATATCAGTGCCTCAAATACCACCCATTCTGAGAAGCCTTTCCTAATTCCCCAAGGCAGATTTCATTATTCCTTCCTTAGTGCACTAAAACATTTTACATGTCTCTGTTTAGTAATTATCAAACTATATGGCAATTATCTATTTTATTCATCTTTGTATCTCCCAACAGTACCAAAATGACGCCTGCCACGCTGTGTGCCCTCATTAAGTGTTGAGGGGTAACAGGGTTGTCCCTCTCACCTTATTGTGAGCATCTGTATGCCGGATGACATTCCTTAGGAGGACTTTCCCCAGTGGAACCCGGGACATTCTTCAATCTGAAATGAATCAATACACATTTAAAAATAAAAATTCCCTTTATTACCTTATATTTTTATTATAATACTATAAAGAAGCATGAGGTAAAGAAAAGATCACTTAGAACTCAGAAGTCTTGGGTAATAGTTTTTTCTTCAGCATCAAAAGGGGGAAATTCCTGATCACAGAAATAGGAGGATGAAAGGAGATAGTGCACAATGGAATTCTTTGGAATGACACTATTTACTCCTCAAAATAACTCTGTGTTGTATGTGAGTATCTTCATTTCTAATTAGTAGATAAAATTCCCTTAAAGCCGTAACTTATCTCAGGCCACACAGTCCAATGCAAACGAGGTCCAGGTTAAAAATCAACTCTCCAATCTCACAGTTAGTTGGCGATGAAGCTATTATCTGGATGTGAGACTATCGGGGGCCACAAATGTCAACAGTAACAAAAACATCCAATACAGAGACGCCCTAATTCCTCCACTCGGGGAAAGTTTACTTTCTACTTTGTAGAGAAGCCTCCAAAAAAACAGACGACAGGGCTACTCCCTGTGTGGCTAGCAGGGGCTTTGTGCGACCACCCCACCGCTCACTCACCCCTCGATCCTGAGGAAATCGGGCATCTTGTTAGTGTGAGACGAAGAACCACTCCATTACAAGATCTCCTCCGACCCAGGCGGCCCAGGAGTCAGGGCTCAAAGGCAGCTCTGCAGCTTCACCCGAGTCCTTGGTGAAAACGCAGCCTTCCCACCGGTTATTCTGCCCTCGCCCGCGCCCCGGGCCCCGGCGGCCTTTCGCTCGGGCCGGACCCACGCCCGGGACCCGTGCGGCCGGAGGCCGGGGCTGCGCCGGCGCGGAGGCCGGGCGCCCGGGGCGGCTGGGGCATTCCCCGCTCACGCTCCTCGGGGGTGGGCCCGGGGACGGGGTCTCGCTCCCAAGGGGGACGCTGTGGGCTGGGCCCCAAGAAGTATCTAAAGTGCCTCAAGGGGGAGCTGAGGCTTCCAAGGGGAAGACAGAGAAAACACCCCCATCTTTGTCACCGGGACCCCCGCTCCCCAGCGGCCAAAAAGCTCCCGGTAACCTTCCCTCCACACGCCCTCCCCACACAAACACACACAAACACACCCATACCGTGCACCGCGGCCTCGCGTGGCGGGGGTGGGGGAAGGAAGAGGACTGGGAGAATAGGGAGCGAGCTTCCCGTTCAGGCCGGAAGTCGTGCTCCCGGGAAATCCTTCCCACCCACAGGAGCTCGGAGACGTCCACAGGGAGGGTTTCCAGGCCTCTCCAGAGGTCGACCGGTGCCGAAGGGCGGCGGGCGCCTTCCTGGAGAAGGGGGTCGGGCTCCGCTGGGAAGCGAGGTCCGCGGCGGAACGGGGAGACTCCGGAACTGGAAGTGGAAGGACCTTCTGCCGGGAGCTCTCCGGACTCAATTAGGTGCTACCCAGTCTGGTTACCCTGGTAACAGGAGTCGCGGTTTGTCAAGAAACGGAGAGGTGGGTTCGCAGACCTCTGGACTGGTTGCCCATTCGTTAAGTTTCCCTTTAGTCTCACCCTAATGTAGTGTTCGAAGAAGCCAAACCTCCTCCTCCTCACTCGGTGGGTGCTCTGGGACTCCTTTTAGTTGGGGAGGAAGGTGCGAGGGAACTTGTCTGAAGACAGAGAGGATATTATTACTGTCACATAGCACTGACCGAGTGTTCCAGCCTCTCTACATTAGCTTCCTTAATCCTCACCGTAACCCCAGGAGATTGGTGCTATCGTCTTCATCTTGAGGAGAATAAACTGAGGCACAGACATACATTAATTGCTCATGGTCACACAGCCAGTTAGTGAGAGAGCTAAGATTGGAATCTAGGCAGAGTCCATGCCTTTTTTTTTTTTTTTTTTATGTTTTTATTGATTTCAGAGAGACAGGAAGGAGGAGGGAGGGAGAGAACCATCGACGTGAGAGAGAAATGTTTATCAGCCGCCTCCTGCCTGTGTACTAACGGAGAATCGAACCTACAACCTTTTGGTTTTTTGAGGGTTTTTTAAAAATATATTTTTATTGATTTCAGAGGGGACGGGAGGAGAGATAGAAACATTATGAGAGAGAATCATCGATGGGCTGCCGCCCGCACGCCCCCTACTGGGGATCGAGCCAGCAACCCGGGCATGTGCCCTTTGACTGGAACCGAACCCGAGACCCTTGAGTCCACAGGCCGAGGCTCTATCCACTGAGCCAACCCAGCTAGGGCCCTGCAACCTTTTGGTGCCTGGGACACTACTCAATCAACTGACGCACGCCAGCCAGGGCAAGTCCATGCTTTTAACTACTAAGCTATGCTGAGGATTGAGGAAGTCTGGCAATTTCCAGACTGGTTCCGGCACCAGTCAACCAAAACCCAGGTGCTGGAAAAGGGAAACTACCTAGACACACAGACTTCAGTGAGTACTCTGGCTCCTCAGGGCTTGTAAGGGTCTAGGGGAGGTAAGGCCGTATGATCTGAGAGGACAGCTTGAGATAAATTCTAAAAAGTGATACTAGGTAATTCAAGAATAAGGAAAAGATAAAGTGGCGCTGATCCACGGTGTTTTAGGAACAGTTAAGGATAACAGCTAACTCCACCAAAACAATTCCTGACCTGCTCCTCCACTCCCAAAAGAAGAAATGAATCAACAGCTACACAGATTATTTTTACTTAAGTCATGTCTTTCCTCAGACTTAAGAGGCCTATTCACCTCAATCATGGAGTCATCCTCAAACGGTCTGCTTACCCAAATTACTCAATTCTGGAACCTACTAGATGATCTGGCTGAAAGTAACCCTGAGAGCTACAAGAACTTCATTCAACAGCAGCTGAAAGAGGGCAAACAGCTTTGTGCTGCCCCAGAACCACAGCTCTGTCTACAAACAAGAATCCTGGTACGTAGAGTTGGTGCCCTTGGATGGAAGGTCCTGAATGAAATGATCCTGCAATAACCAGAGAATAGCTTGCCTCTAGCTATTGTTACTTTAACACTGACGGAAACTGCCACTCTAAATGGAAAGTGAAATGTAATGCAGAAGATTGCATTGAAGGAGTAAAAATGGGAAGTTCATATTTTATATATTTTGGAGATATCAAAATGAGCCATTTTTTGGCTAGAATGAAAATAAAAGTAATGTAATGATTTAATACAGAATCATAGAATTGGAGATTTTTCAAATAAAGAGAGCTTGGCGGGGGAGAAAGTGGTGAAAGACGGTAGAAAAAAAAAGGAACAGCTGCTTAGATCAATTCCCCCTACCTTCTCCCAATTCCTCTGGGAGTAGTAACTGGATTCTTGATGAAGAGCTTTGGGAAAATCAGGTAACAGTATAATTTCTCAAACACAGTTTTAATACAAGTAATAACTTACTTGGAGCCTAAAATTATCACTCTTCAAATTCTGTGAGGTGTTGCTTTTAGGAAATTATTTTGAAATATATTTGATATGCAAAATTATTTGATTTCTAGAAACCTAAAGAAAAAACACTTTTTATCAACCTATGTCAATGGAAAAGGATTCCAGCTCCCCAATCAGTCACTCATCCAGTACCTCTGAGTGTTGGCAGACCAGAAGATATGTCTGAAACATCAGGTACATAGAATTATGGGACAGAAAACACATTTAAAAAATATTATTGGGAATGGCATGAACCAGATTTTACTTGGTAAAAGACAATACATGTAAAATATTTTATTTGGTTATAATGTAGCTAATGACTAATAAATATACCTTTATATAAAATGAATACTGTTGCCTGGCCAGCATAGCTCAGTGGTTGAGCATTGACCTATGAACCAGGAGGTCATGGTTCCATTCCGGTCAGGGCACATGCCTGGGTTGCAGGCTCAATCCCCAGTGTGGGGTGTGAAGGAGGCAGCTGATCAATGATTCTCTCTCATCACTGATGTTTATATATGTCTCTCCCACTTCCTTCCTCTTTGAAATCAATAAAAATATATTTAGAAAAAAACAAAGCTACTCATTTAAAAAGTTTTTATTACTGTTTGCCTAATAATATAAACTGTTTTTAACCCATATAAAATGCCAAGAAATGCCCTCATTGAAATTTTGTACATAGCATCTTTATGATTGCTTCTGAAAACTTTAAGAATAGAATTTATACCTTCTAGGTTTATCAGGATTATGGCTTAATATATTACCTGACAATATCATTAGTGAAACAGGTTGTCTTCATTTCACACCCTCTGAATCTCACGCACAAATGTTTATCTTTTTTTCTTTTCTTTTTTACACATGCAGATGTTTACACGGTCATCGATGTTGCCTACAATCCTGATGTTCTCCAGGCAGCAGAAAAGGACCAAGTGAAAAAAGATCAGTTAATACAGATGGCCATGAAATGCATTGAGGAACAACTCCAGGTCACTCTCTCACACGTTTACCATATTACCAAATTTAAAATAAAAGGAAGCATTCAAAGGATGAAACAAAACCTGATGGGAATCCAAACTGGCCCCACAGATTTAAAAGAGAAAATGAGAAAAGGTAAGTTAATGAATGTAAATGGAAAATTATACTGATTTAAAATTTTTGTATCCTGTGTGCATTTTGCAAACTGGAAATCTCAATTTTAAAAGATGAATAACTTAAAATAGAAAAAGATAAAGATTAGATATTAGAAATATTAGCATGTCCTTAAAGATTTTTAAATCCTGCAAACTTTTAAATCTTTTTGGTTTAAGATTCTTTTAAGATTCCCAAACTCAATTAGCTGCAGCTTTATCTGCCATCTTGGCTAGCACTACATATATTGCAGCTAGTACCCTGATAGTACTGATAGTTGTTTATGTTGTTGATTAATTTTGTGATTTTATCCCCCCCTTTTTGTTCCATAAAGAACCAACCCTTGAGCAGATAAGAAGCAGTACTCTGAGCGATTCAGATCACTTCCCTCAACTTTTACTACCAAAAGACCAAGTTTCAAGCAAAAAGGGGTGCCTGATAGAAGAGATTTCCAGTACAGAGATCCAGGTGGAGATGAAGAGACCAGCCTATGAATTAAAAATTGTGGCAGATCAGAATGAGAAACCACTGAAAATTGAATTAAAAGTTGAATTACCTGGTATTAATTCAGTATCTCTCTGTGACCTTAGTGTTTCTGAGGTAAGTTGCATAGATACTATTGTAAATGTTTATCAGTCAAGTCACTACGTTATGCTGTAGTAGCTAACTCCACAATCGCAGGAACTTACAGTAATTTGCTCAGGTTACATGTCAGGTAGGCCTGCTCTGCTCAACAACCTTTTTTTTTGTTGTTGTTAATCCTCACCCAAGGATATTTTTCCATTGATTTTTTTAGAGAGAGTGAAAAGGAGGGGGAGACAGGGAGAAACATTGATGTAAGAGAGACACATGGATTGGTTGCCTCCGCATGCGCCCTGACCAGGGCTGGGGATGGAGCCTGCAACAGCAGCAGGTGCCCTTAACCAGAATCGAACCTGGGATCGTTCAGTCCGAGGGCTAACACTCTATCCACTGAGTGAAACTGGCTAGGGCTCTGCTTGATAGATCTTACACATTTTAAGATACAGATGAAGAAGCAATTCCTATCTGGCCTATTTCATTCTCCTGGCAGAGGAAAAGAGAAATGGCCAAACCATGCAATGGATCCTAAAACTTCCTCTCAGACATGGTACATATCACTTTTATTCACATCCTATTGGCTAAAGTAAGTCACTCGGCCAAGTCCTACATTGATAGGGCAGGGAAGACTATTCTCAAGAGTCGTCACAGGGATATCCATATAATCCCCTTTCAGAGTTCAAATAATTGGCAACAATCCCATAGTCTACCACAGTCCACTCACTTCCTCACAAATATGTCTATCTTTCCCCAAGAAAGACACCTCCAATTTTAGTATCAGACTCCAAAGTACAGGATTTTGCCATCATAGTCTGCATTTTGCGCCTCTTGAACCAGACCTATGAATTGCAAGCACGTTATCTGTTCCCATAATCCCATACAAAGTTAAATGGGGAGAAGATAGCCACTATTAACAGTCTCAATTCAGGAATGGTAAAAATATGAGGCCCACAGCAGTTACTGGTACACAGCAATGCTGACATCCTGGTAGAAGGTATTTTGAGGGTCTCTTTATCTGCATGTAGAGGATGTTCTCGCTTTAGGGCCATTACGGATACCTGTATTGCCTAGCCCTGTGGTCGGCAAACTGCGGCTCACGACCCACATGTGGCTCTTTGGCCCCTTGAGTGTGGCTCTTCCTAAGCCTTAGGATACCCTAATTAAGTTAATAACAATGTACCTACCTATATAATTTAAGTTTAAAAAATTTGGCTCTCAAAAGGAATTTCAACTGTTGTACTGTTGATATTTGGCTCCGCTGACTAATGAGTTTGCCGACCACTGGCCTAGCCCCATTGTTTTCCATTACCTTCAGTTCCATTATTTGGGAGGTTCATGTAGAATGGACAGTGTAGAATATGCCGTCCTTAGATACTGAGCAATTTACTCAGCCTGCTTCATACCCATAGAATGTTTGGGGCCCAAAGATTATTTTTAATTAATTTTAGTCCAGGTTGGTAATATTTAATTCCACTCAGTGCTATACCCAACAAGTCTTTTTTAGACATGTCCATTTCCCAATGGCTTGTCCTTTTTTACTTAATAGCTGTCATTTGAGTCAAATGTAAGGATTTATTGAGATCCACCTTAACCCAGGTAGAAATTTTAACAAAAGTGTAAAGATTTGTGATTTAGTCTTTGCCTCTAGGCATTTTAATCAGCCTTCATTGGTTAAAAAATAATAATAATAATAATAACCTCAATTTTATCCTTTACTGGTTGAAAAAAAAATTATTTGCATTTCTGTCAAGTCTTAGAACTTCTTGGCTCTGTATATTCCCTTTCAACTCTGCAAACTGGTGAATTCTAGTCTTAAGTTCATCTCTTTTTGTCATACCTTGTTAAACGTAGCCCATAAAACCAATGCATGCCACCAAAATTTTATTTTACCACTTCTTTACCTAAAGTCACAAATTTACTAGGTAATTTGTCTTCCAAATTACAGTGATAGTTTTACTAAGGGCTTTATCACTATAAAACATGGGTCAACCATCTTTCCAGTCTCATGTTTCCTTGCTGTTTGCTGTCTGCCCCAAAATAAATTCATGTAATTTGGGATGACAACACCCATCTTCTGGTATTGCTCAGTTAACTTTTGATGTATTCGACAGCAATAACAAATCTCAAAAGCTCAGGGATTTACAACAGTAACGTTATTGCCCACTGCAAGTTAATGGCAATAAGTTGGGATCCTCTTCTTATGGAAAAGGAGTAAATAACGGAGAACAGAAATCCAACAACACTCATTTTAATCAGGAAATGCTTTCCTATTTTTATCTTTTAACATCTCTCTTGGTTTATTATTCTTAGAATGATTTATTGATTGAGGTCTCTGAGAAGTACAGATTGCATCTGAATCTTCCAGAATCTGTGGATACTGAAATGACTACAGCAAAATTTATCAAAGAGAAAGCTACATTGATCATCACAATGCCATTGGTGTAAGTCAAGAGCATTATTTGTTTTGGGTTTTCATTGCTGAAGTGATGTGAATTATAGGACCTTCATTATGGGTGAATCTTAAACACTAGTTTCCCGTTTTCTAAGAGTTCCTTTTAATGGAATGAGGTTTTCTCAACTGTTCTTTAAAAAAAAACAAAACACCTCAGTTTCTCCTTCTCAAAAAAACTTGGCATCAAGCAACAATTACTAAAAATAGTATTGCCATGATATACTTTTTTTGAAGATATCTTAATACCATTTGGGAAAATTTTGTTTCCAAGTAACATGTGAGAATTCTGTTTACTGGTTGAAAAAAAAATTGTCTCTAGTAAATTTTTGCATCAGAAACAAAACCCAGACTGTGCATGTTTTTTATTATCAAGAGGGATATAGTAGTAAAGTTTCCTCCAGCAATAACGATACAAGGCCAATTTAAGAATATGCAAACCTATGGTTCTGTGAACCTCTGTACTTCCATAAAACAGCTCTAGCAGGAATCCAAGCTACCCAGGCAGGACTTTTAATAGCACATACGGACTTTCCTTTGGATTAGTAATTGGACGTTATTGCACATAAGATGCAAAATACATCCAACTCTATTTTAAGAAAAAGGACAAGTGTCTTTGGGACAAGTGCCTTTCTCCTAAGAAAATAACTTTTAAAAACTTGTTTTTATTGATTTCAGAGAGGAAGGGAGAGCAATATCAGTGAGAGTCATTGTTTGGCTACCTCCTGCATGCCCCCTACTGGGGATCGAGCCCAGAAACCTGGGAATGTGACCTGACCAGGAATCGAAACTGACCTCCTAGTTCATGGGATGATACTCAACCACTGAGCCATACCAGCCAGGCCTAAGAAATTAATTTTTGAAAATACAGAGGTGATATACTTTTCAACTCCCATTCATCTAAGTTGTAAGATAGTTGTTCAATACAAATGTATCAACTTTCCAATTTATATCCAAAGCAATGCTCACATCAAACTATAAACATCCCTTAATTAACTTTTCTAGATACAACTTCCTTGTGATTAGTTTCTAGTTCCACATAGTCTTTTTTTGTTGTTGCAAGTCCACACCCCAGGAATTTTTTCCATTGATTTTGAGAGAATGGAAGGGAGGGGGAGAGACAAACATCAATGTCACATAGATTGGTTGCCTTCCCCACATGGCTCCAGGAATCAAGTCTGCAACTGTGATACACACCCTTGAACGGAATCAAATGGGCACCCTTCAGACCGCAGGCTGATGCTCTATCCACTGAGCCAAACTAGCCAGGGCTCAATATAAAGTCTTTAAATAAATTCTTTATTAATTTTAAAACTTTTTAACTTTAGAAACTATTATAGTTGTACTATAAATAATAGATGTTACATTTAAAAACATAATTTTCTTTTTTTAATATATTTTTATTGATTTCAGAAAGGGAGAGAGATAGAAACATCAATGATGAAAAATCACTGCTTGGCCACCTCCGGCATGCCCCCTACCAGGGGCTCCAGCTCGAAGCAAGCTGGGCAATGTGCCCTTGATTGGAATCAAACCCCAGACCCTTCAGTCCACAGGCCAATGCTCTAGCCACTGAAGCAAACCAGCTAGGGCAAAACATAATTTTCTTAAACCTAACCTGGATTTGAATCCTTCTAGCAATATGATAATTTATCATCTGAAAATGTTCTAGAATTGTATGATGTCCTAAAATCCCATAACCACATAGAACTAGTTGAATCTCTATTCTTGTACTCTCGGCACATACTTATGTCAGCAGCTATGTATTTGTGTACTCGCTAATAAAATGCATATCAAGATCTAGCCAAAACCGGTTTGGCTCAGTGGATAGAGCATCGGCCTGCGGACTGAAGGGTCCCGGGTTCGATTCCGGTCAGGGGCATATACCTTGGTTGTGGGCACATCCCCAGTGGGAGGTGTGCAGGAGGCAGCTGGTCGATGTTTCTCTCTCATCGATGCTTCTAACTCTCTGTCCCTCTCCCTTCCTCTCTGTAAAAAATCAATAAAATATATTTAAAAAAAAGAAAATCTAACACACTTAAAAAAGAAGGAATTCTTACCATTTGCAACAGCATGGATGGAACTGGAGAGCATTATGCTAAGTAAAATAAGCCAGTCAATGAAAGAAAAATACCACATGATCTCACTCATTTATGGATAATAAAGACCATTATAAACTGATGGACAAAAATAAAGAGGCAGAGCAGCATTGTACAGACTGTCAAACTACAGCAGGAAGGCCGGGGAGGGTTGGGGGTGGGGGGGTTAGAGACCAACTGAAGGACTTGTATGCATACATATAAGCATAACCAATGGACACAAGACACTGGGGGGTAGGGGAGGCCAGGGGAAGGTCAAGCGGGGGGGAAAAAAAGGAGACATATGTACTACACTTCGTAATATTTTAAGCAATAAAACAAAAATTCAAGTTAAAAAAAAAAAGATCTCACACACTTACTGTTTAAATGTTAATGTCCTAATTATCCCAAAATATTTTCACACATTATTTCAAGGGGTTTTTCTTTTTCTTTTTTTTCTTTTCCATTTTTTAGAAATGTTTTTATTGATTTCAGAGAGGAAGGGAGAGGGAGAGTTAGAAACATCAATGATGAGAATCAATCATCAATCGGCTGCCTCCTGCACATCTCCTGCTAGGTGGGGATCGAGCCCAAAACCTGGGCATATGTCCTGACCAGGAATCAAATCATGACCTCCTGGTTCATGGGTCGATGCTTAATCACTTAATCACACTGGTCAGGCCTTCAATGGATTTTATATTCATGAAAACATCACCTCCTTCTCCCTGCAAAAAGCAAAACTTGGCCCAGCAAAAGCATTAACTTAAAATTAACTGTGGAGTTTAAATTTGAATCTTGCCAACATCTTTTTTCCTCAAAACTGGAAATTATTCAAGGTGGATGTTAATTATCCTTGTTTGGAAACTAGACTTTTCTATAAACTTGGTTTTAGATCAACTATCAGTAGTGATCATTTCCCATGTATTCCAGGGCTTCCGCACAGGTGATGAGTATTCCTTGCAACACATTCCTATCATGTCAACCCCTCTCGTAGACAATGCCCCGAGACACCATAACTACATTCACACAAACCTCAGGATTGGAGTTAAGTATCTAACAGAGCCAGACCACACTTTCATCTTGCTATGTGCCATATCCCAACATGAGGTCTTCAGTAACTCCTTGAGCTTAAAATATTAGATTATACCCTTCTGAACTGAGTCCTGATTTTATCAATTTTATAAAGTCAAAATGTATCTGTATTAAGAGCTTATACATACATTAGCTGTCCCTGCACTTAACCACTTAATGTGAAAATCAATTACCTACAGGTCAAAAATTAGATCAGACACATTGAAAACATAATTTCACTTTTAAACAATCTAATTTGAACCAAACCACTATTTCTAACTTTTACTCTTTCAATTTTTTTAAGATAAATAGACTGAATCCAGATTTAGATTACAGGCCAGATTAATTTTTAATTCAGAACAATTTTTATTAGAAGGCAACTTTTAATTTTTTCTTTAAAGGGAACAAAAGAGCCATAAACATTAGCAAATAATGAATTATCTCTGAAGTTTCATGTGTTTGAACCAGATGTGACTCATACTGATGATGGTCCCTGTGAGACGCTTGTTCCTTCTGCATAATCTTCAGTTCAAGCTATAATTACCAATTACTGTATGTTTTCATAACTGTACAAGGGAAATATTTAGGGAATATATGGAGTGTCACTGTGCACCATGTAATAATGAACATTTAGAAATAGATTCAACAATGAAAGACCTAAATTTCAGAGGATAGCTCCACATACTACATACAAGGAAGCACTAGTCAGATTAATTTTAAATAGTCAAACAATTTCAAATATTTATTAAAGCACATCAATTCAATTAAAAGCCTGGAATTGTGATAATGTTCCCAATTCATTTTTATTATCTTGAACCTCACCCCAGTCCCTGCTCAGAAGGCAAAATGGGAAAAAATATTTAGGCTGATAAGGTAGTATGCAACCTAAATAATTATTTTCTCTCCAATAGGATTTTAGGGCTTTTTTTATTTTACACGAGTCAACACTGGGGTGGAAAAATAAAGGACACTGTAACACACATTTAAGCTTTTCCTTTTTCCAAATAGAAATGACCATTTTGTTGTGGTCATCATCTTTTATATTCTAAACTGTTCACCAATGTATCTCTCTCCCTCTTCAGACAGAACTTGTTGATATACATACGGACTTTGGCACATATCTTGCTAGAAATCATATGTTATATATGTATACGTATTCCAGTTTCCCAAAGTTATCTGAGTAGTAAATTCTGGTAATTAAGTTCATTTGCAGGTAACCTCCAGTTGATATTGGAGGAAAAATTCTACTTTCACAACTTCTCTGTAAAATTCTATAAGCATATTCTTTTATTTGGAGGTAACTGTAGAATTTTGCTCAGAATTATACATTTAAATTGTTTAAGCACCCACACAAATTCTCATTTATGCCAAGCAGCTGGTTTATATTTCTATCTCATCTCAAGAAGGGGGAACCACCTTTTTAGGATACATAAAAAAATAAACATAGAACAGTGGTTGAAGAAATCTAAGAAAATGCTGACTTTTAAATTTTCACTTATTTTCTTTGAAGTTTTCTACTTTTCCCATCCATGATAAAACCAAGATCATATAACAGAAAAATTTTAATTAGGGTTAAATTACAACATCACACTTTGATTCAAACCTTTTCTCCAAGAGAATAAATTTTCCTGATTTCTCTTTTCTTCAAATATAAGGAAAACATTTGAGGCAATTAAATCTCAAAATCTCATGGTTTCATCCAGGTTACTTGAATATACCTGACTCATTCTACCTCTACATTTCCCAGTGGAAGTACTTATCACCAAAGTGCTATGCTGCATGTCCCTTGCCTATGAGTACACAGCTTAAAAGCTGGTATTTACTAAATGTGCACAATATTTGGGTGTAACTGGCATTTTAAAAGATAACATAATGACCATTACAAATAACTTAACTGGACAGACTAAAAAATAACTGGTTAGCTTTAAAATAAAAAGAAACACCTATTTAATAACATATTTATATCTTGATAAGAATGAACCAATGTAACTTGGGAAAGTCTGTAGAAATTCTTGGGTTAATTATAACAACATGGTGATAGGTTTTTCAAGGTACTTTCTAAACTCAGCAAGCCACTGGGCTCCAACTGCTCCATCCACAACCCGATGATCACAACTGAGTGTAACAGACATCATGCTAGCCACATCAAACCTAGAAAAAGATAAAAACATTATTAGGTATTCTAGAAGCAATCACTGATTGTAGCCAGTAACCAGCCCAAATGCCAACTCTGACCCTATAATCCCAACCAGGTAACATTATTTTTGACCTATTGTTCATGTCCTATATATTTCCAGACCAAATAGCCATCTGGAGCATGGACAGGCAAACTAAAACCCCACAGGCCAAATCCCACCAAATGGAGTTTACAGGAATTCACTTACATAGTACCTATGGCTGCTTTCACACTACAGTGGCAGAGTACTTGCAACAGAGACCATATGACCCACAAAGCCTAAATTATTTACTATATGCCTCTTCAAGAAAAAAGCATGGTGACCCCTAACTTATTTACTTAGAGTAAATAACGCTTCCCATCTCAAAAAAGATTAACTGCATTTAGTAAAATAAGAAGAGTTGCTGCCCTGAGAAACTTCATTCTGTACTTATGTCTGACTCTACCTAAAGTTCCAATAAGGCATGCCAACCAATAAGTCTAAAACTAGACTCAAAAACAGGTATAATGTAATGAAAATGAACTTATAGTTCCCTCTCCATTTTGGCACTTACCCTTTTTCATTATCTGCTGGAACCAGTCTATCTTCTGAAGCACCAATGGCCAAAATACATGCCTGAGGCGGGTTAATAATAGCAGAGAAGTTCTTAATTCCAAACATTCCTAAATTGGAGATTGTAAAAGTGCCACCCTAGAGGAAAAAAATATCATGTTAATTGCTTGTCAACATAAAAAAAAAGGACATTTTGTGAAAAATCCTTAAGGTAATCTTTTAAGAAAACCTTCTGAACTACCATTAAAAAAGAGAAGAAGAAAATAGAAGTATATAAAGTGACAGACATTAATTAACTTGACTGTGGTGATCATTTCATAATATATGTATATGTCAAAACATTAAGTTGCACACCTTAAATATATATAATTCCGCTTTGCTAATTATGTCATTAAAACTAAAAGGGGGGGAAAAAAAGGCCCAAATGAAATACTCTTACTTAAAATATACACTCTTTAAAATAACAATAAAAGTAGTTGTGTGGTCTTTGTACACTACTTGGAAAACATTATTTTTAGCCTTTGAAACATTATTTCTGGCCTTCAGAACTCAATTTTTCTTCATTTTTAGGACCTTGTGTCAGTGAGAATACAAGGCAGGAAAAAAAGGTGGAAAATGCAATAAAAACATAATGCCGACCTTAAAAATAACATAATTCTTAACATTCATAAGGAAAATAAATAACACTTTACCTGGAATTCATGTGGCTGTAGTTTACCCTCTCGTGCTTTGGTTGCTAAAGAAGCAACATCATTAGCAATGGTTTCCAGCCCCTTTATATGTGCATTAAATACAATAGGTGTGATGAGTCCTGCAGGAGTACTGACTGCAACACTGATATCGACAACATGATTTCTATTTAAAAAGAAAAAAGAAAATCTCAATGATCATCACCAGACTAAGCAAGATTACTGATATTTACTTCAGTTTGTGCTACTGTTCAGCCAGATTTTTACATTCTGCTGTCTACCGCGCCCCCCCCCCCCCTTATACTTTTAATGTGTCAGTAGGTTGGTTTCACATGTATTCTCTAACTTTCTCATCTGCCTCAACTAACACATGGGTGTAGCTGGAGAAGACTTAGCATTCAGTGAGGAATTAAAAAAACACACAAAAAACTCCTTGGATTCTGAGACGAAGTGGATTGGCTGGAGTTGAGTCTGCAAGCAGAGCTTGAGCAGATGAAAGGAAGAATGAAGGGAAAGGGCTGCATTGTGGGAGAAAGAGGAGTGTTCAGGATGTAGGGTGGTGGTGCATCAAACCACGAGATTCCCAATCTTTTCTACTCCATGAGCATCTCTGCATTTGGGTCTCATCTCAGAATACATATATATTTTTAACAAAGAAAGTAAAATAAGTCACCAAAAAAACTAAACAAATGAACACCCCCCCCCCATAAGTATATTTAAATTTAGTTATCTAATTATTCAAAAAATAAAATTTGATATATGTGCTATTATATTAACTCATTAACAAGATGTTGCAGCAGGTCTAATAATGGCTATATTTTAAAGTAGTGATAAGCAAAACAATATTTTAACACACCTGCAACTATAGGTTGTGACATGAAAATAACTGAGTTTTACTGATCACCAGCACAGGTATTACCAATAGCTCTTTGATTTGTTTTCTACATGTTTAACAGGAGGAAACAATAAATTTCAGTTACAGGTGAGTGGAAAAGAATGATTCTTTGTCTCATCCAAGTTCTCTAACTCCTGAATTATATCTATACTACTAGTATCCATGGGTGTCCGTGAAAGGGTCCCTGATAAAGTGTTCTGCAATTGAGAAAAGTTAAAACTTCACATGAAGGAAAACTCCAGCTCATTCTAGGCACAAAGTTGAGAAGATTGTGGGTACCAAATCCCACAAAGGGCCCAAGCTGCCAGAGGCAGCAGGCTTTTGCCATCTGCAAAAAAGAGATCCACTCTAATAATAGTTTGTGGCTTTTAGCAGTTGTAGCTGGGCTCTGTCCAAGATATCACACAGCAAATACTGCTTTCTTAGTTTGCTTTTTTTTTTTTTTTTTTTTTTAAAAATATATTTTATTGATTTTTTACAGAGAGGAAGGGAGAGAGATAGAGAGTTAGAAACATCGATGAGAGAGAAACATCGATCAGCTGCCTCCTGCACATCTCCCACTGGGGATGTGCCCGCAACCCAGGTACATGCCCTTGACCGGAATCGAACCTGGGACCCTTCAGTCCACAGGCCGAGGCTCTATCCACTGAGCCAAACCGGTTTCAGCCTTAGTTTGCTTTCTTAATTGTCCTGTTATTACAGTATTACTTATTTATAATCTTCCTAAGAGAGGACGGATGGTGTTTCCTATTTTGTTTACCACTGAACCAAGCAAACAGTACATGTTCAGTAAAAGTACTTATTGAATAGCTGTATGAACAAATGAATGAATAGTATTTGGTAAGAATTAACAATACTGAGAAACAGCCCTGCAACCTCAATCCTTTGCTCTAAGCAGTGGTTCCTTCAGATATTCTTTAAAGGTTATAATAAATTTACCCTATGACCCAACAATTCCACTTTGAGGAATCTACCAAAGAAAAATGAAAACATGTCAACACAAAGTGTATGCAGATGTTCATAGCAGCCCTCTCAAAGAGATGTCTGTGTTTTGACCCTGGAATCTACCAAAGTGACCTATTTAGTAAAAAGGTCTTTGTAGGTGTAAATAGGATCTTGAGATCGTATCATCCTGGATTATCTGGGTGGACCCTAAACCCAATGCCAAGTCTCCTTGTAAGACACAGAAGGGAAGACACAAACAGAGGAGACCACTTGAAAATGTAGCCAGAGGTAAGAATTATGCAGCCACAAGCCAAAGAATGCCTAGGGCCACCAGACTTGGAAAAAGCAAGAACAGATTCTCCCCTACAGCCTGTGGAGGGAGCAGAGCGCTGCTAACTTCTTGATTTCAGACTTCTGGCCTTCAGAACTCATAATAAATTTTTGCTTTAAGTGACCAATTTTGTACAATTTGTAATGGCAGTCCTAGGAAACTAGTATAGTGTGTAAGGAATAGTAAGATCCTCAGATGTTCTCCAAGAATGGTGTGACCAAGGAGAAAGTCAGAATCAGTAGATAACCTGATATGTTTGATAGGACTGAAAAGTGGTTTAGAGTTCTTTTGGGGTGTTTCAGAAAGAATTCATGATGCGTACACAGAACACTAGCTGGCTGGTAAGCAATCTTTAAAAGCAGTTAGGAGACTGGGGAGCCTTTTTTCAGGCTGACTGGTCATAGAGTAAAAGAGCAGAGATCCCCCAACCCTGGCTTCTGTTCACACAGCTCCAGTTCATTCTGCCCTCCCTCTGCCAGAGCCCAAGGCTATGCAACTATATAATGGAGGTATCTCAGAGAACCCAAAGCAAGAGAATGAGTGTTTCAAGCTGCCATTAATTCTGAAGCAGCAACTTGGGATTTTAGATTAAAAGAATACTTTGAGGCAAATGCAGAAGTGAAAAGACAACCAAGAACGTCCACCTCAGGTGACTGGGGAGGCTGAGCCACTGGGCCCTATAGGACACCTAGCACACAAAGCCACTCTATCAACACAGGGAAGCAGCTAAACTGCGGAGACAAAGAAACATGTCACAAATGAAAGAAAAGGAGGAAAGCAAACTACTGGATATAGAGCTCAAAACCAGGGTTATAAGATTACTCAAGAATCTTCTAGAAACCTCCGAGAAATTTAGTGAGACCTTCAAGGATATGAAAAAGGACCAATTAGAAATTAAGCATACACTGACTGAAATAAAGAATAATATACAGAGATCCAACAGCAGTCTAGAGGATCCCAAGAATCAAGTCAAAGATTTGAAATACGAAGAAGCAAAAAACACCTAACCGGAAAAGGAAAAAGAAAAAAGAATCCAAAAATATGAAGATAGTGTAAGGAGTTCTGGGACAACTTCAAGCGTACCAACATCCGAATTATGGGGGTGCCAGAAGAAGAGAGAAAGATATTGAAAACCTATTTGAAGAAATAATGACAGAAAACTTCCCCTACCTGGTGAAAGAAATAGACTTACAAGTCCAGGAAGCGCAGAGAACCCCAAACAAAAGGAATCCAAAGAGGACCACACCAAGACACATAATTAAAATGCCAAGGGCAAAAGACAAATAATCTTAAAAGCAGCAAGAGAAAACCAGTCAGTTACCTACAAGGGAGTACCCATACGACTGTCAGCTGATTTCTCAACAGAAACTATGCAGGCCAGAAGGGAGTGGCAAGAAATATTCAAAGTGATGAATACCAAGAACCTACAACCAAGATCACTTTACCCAGCAAAGCTATCATTCAGAATTGAAGGTCAGATAAAGAGCTTCACAGATAAGAAAAAGCTAAAGGAGTTCATCACCACCAAATCAGTATTATATGAAATGCTAAAAGGTATTCTTTAAGAAGAGGAAGAAGAGAGAAACCAAGATGGCGGCATAGGTTAACGCCGGAGATTGCTGCCTCGAACAACCACTTCAGAGATATAACTAAAGGACAGAACGGACATCATCCAGAACCACAGGAAGGCTGGCTGAGTGGAAATTCTACAACTAGGAGGAAAGAGAATATCATACCCAGACTCAGAGGAGGCGCAGTGCTGAAGTGAAATACTGAGGTACGGAGTGCGCGCAGAGCGGGCTGGCAGCAGAGGGCGCGGTTGTTGTTTTCAATCGGGAGGGAGTTTCAGACTCTGAGCTCCAGATCCGGGCGAGTCTCTAGGGAACCAGACTCAAACGGGAGAAGCGGAACTGTCCGGCTTCAGTCAGAACTCAAAGGCAGCTTTCTCTCCGAGGTTTGCAGCGGTTGCTGGGACTCTGAGAGGCAGAGCCCCTAGGGACAGAACTGAGAGCAGCCATAACTGCTCTCTCCATCCCACCCTGTTGATCCCCGGGGAACCCGCCCCGCCCAAGCCCTGCGCAGAGCCATTTGCCAGATAGCCTCAGGCAAAGGCTAGATTAGCACCGCCCTAGAGATCCAGCACAGAAGCTCTCCCACTGCAGACACAGCGGACTCTTATAGCCAGTTAGCCTGGAGGTCAAATCACCCCCGGTATTACCCGACAACAATCAAGGCTTAACTACAAGACTGCGCACAAAGACCACTAGGGGGTGCACCAAGAAAAGATATAAAAATGCGGAGACAAAGAAACAGGACGCAAATGTCAGAAATGGAAGATATAGAGCTCAAAACCACACTTTTAAGGTCTCTCAAGAACTGTCTAGAAGCTGCCGATAAACTTAGTAAGGCCCTCGAAAAGACTGGTGAGACCACCGATAAATGTAGTGAGATCCTCAAGAAATCTAATGAGACCCTCGATGTTGTGATAAAGAACCAACTAGAAATTAAGCATACACTGACTGAAATAAAGAATATTATACAGACACCCAACAGCAGACCAGAGGAGCGCAAGAATCAAGTCAAAGATTCAAAATGCGAAGAAGCAAAAAACACCCAACTGGAAAAGCAAAATGAAAAAAGAATCCGAAAATACGAAGATAGTGTAAGGAGCCTCTGGGACAGCTTCAAGCGTACCAACATCAGAATTATAGGGGTGCCAGAAGATGAGAGACAGCAAGATATTGAAAACCTATTTGAAGAAATAATAACAGAAAACTTCCCCCACCTGGTGAAAGAAATAGACTTACAGGTCCAGGAAGTGCAGAGAACCCCAAACAAAAGGAATCCAAAGAGGACCACACCAAGACACATCGTAATTAAAATGCCAAGAGCAAAAGACAAAGAGAGAATCTTAAAAGCAGCAAGAGAAAGAAACCCAGTTACCTACAAGGGAATACCCATACGACTGTCAGCTGATTTCTCAACAGAAACTTTACAGGCCAGAAGGGAATGGCAAGAAATATTCAAAGTGATGAATACCAAGAACCTACAACCAAGATTACTTTATCCAGCAAAGCTATCATTCAGAATTGAAGGTCAGATAAAGAGCTTCACAGATAAGGAAAAGCTAAAGGAGTTCATCACCACCAAACCAGTATTATATGAAATGCTGAAAGGTATCCTTTAAGAAGAGGAAGAAGAAGAAAAAGGTAATGATACAAATTATGAACAACAAATATGCATCTATCAACAAGTGAATCTAAGAATCAAGTGAATAAATAATCTGGTGATCATAATAGAATCAGGGACATAGAAAGGGAATGGACTGACTATTCTTGGGGGGGAAAGGGGTGTGGGAGATGCGGAAAGAGACTGGACAAAAATCATGCACCTATGGAAGAGGACAGTGGGTGGGGAGTGAGGGCGGAGGGTGGGGCGGGAACTGGGAGGAGGGGAATTATGGGGGGGAAAAAAGAGGAACAAATGTAATAATCTGAACAATAAAGATTTAATTAAAAAAAGAGTAAGAAGAAAAAGGTAAAGATAAAAAATTATGAACAACAAAGTGACAACAAATACATATCAACAAGTGAATCTAAAAAGCAAGTGAATAAAAATATGATGAACAGGATAAACTGGTGAATGTAACAGAATCAGGGGCATAGAAAGGGAGTGGACTGACAATTCTCGGGGAGAAGGTGGTGTGGGGGGTGCGGGAAAAGACTGGACAAAAATCGAACACCTATGGACAAGGACAATGGGGGGGAAGGGTATGGGGTGGGGTGGGAACCAGGTGGAAGGGAGCTATGGGGAGAAAAAAGAGGAACAACTATAATAATCTGAACAATAAAGACTTATTAAAAAAAAAAAAAAAAGCAGTCGTGGCTCCACAGGCAACTTTGTGTTGCTTTAATAATTCAGGATAGTTTCTGCACGAGATGCCCACAGATTCAGGGTCTGCTAGGAGAAATGATGAGGCTCGACCGTGTTGGGGATGCTGTAAATGTGAGTTGGTGTGTGGCCATCAGGGATCACCAGGCCCAGGGAGTGGCAGCTGTACAGGCTCTGTGACTTTTATGGTGATTTTTCAATATTACAGCTTTAGAGAGCAAAGAAGTAAAAAAAACATAAGAAGGTGCAAACAAACAAACAAAAAAGCAGTTAGGTGTTAGGCCAGTGGTCGGCAAATTCATTAGTCAACAGAGCCAAATATCAACAGTACAACGACTGAAATTTCTTTTGAGAGCCAAAATTTTTAAACTTAAACTATATAGGTAAGTACATTGTCAAAATGGCTACCATCAACAAATCAATAAATGACAAGTGTTGGTGAAGATGTGGAGAAAAGGGAACCCTAGTGCACAGCTGGTGGGAATGCAGACTGGTGCAGCCATTATGGAAAAACAGTATGGAGTTTCCTCAAAAAATTAAATATGGAACTGCCATTTGACCCAGTGAGCCCATTTCTAGAAATATATCCTAAGAAAACAGAAACACCGATCAGAAAGAATATATGCACCTCTATATTCATAGCAGCACAATTTATAACAGCTAAGATTTGGAAACAGCCAAGTGCCCATCAGTAGATGAGTGGATAAAAAAAAGCTGTGATACAGCCCTAGCCAGTTTGGCTCAGTGGACAGAGCATCGGCCTGTGGACTGAATGGTCCCGGGTTCAATTCTGGTCAAGGGTACATGCCCAGGTTGTGGGCTTGATCCCCAGAAGGGGACAAGCAGGAGGCGGCCAATCAATGATTCTCTCTCATCTCTTCTCCCTTCCTCTCAGAAATCAATTTAAAAAATAATAAAAAGCTGTGGGACATTTGCACCTTTTGAGACAGCATGGAGGGACCTGGAGAGTATCATGATAAGTGAAATACCAGGAAGTCAGTCAGAGAAAGACAAGTATCATATGGTCTCACTCCTATGTGGAATCTAATTAACAAAATAAACTGATGAACAGAGAGGATCCAGTGACATGGAAGCATAGGACAGAATGCAGAATCTCAGAGGGGAGGCAGGGAAGGGTGGGTGGGTGAGAGGCAATCAACCAAAGACCTGTATGTACTAGTATATGCATAACCCATGGACACAGACATTTAGGTGGTGAAAGCCTGGGGAGGTGGGGGGGTGGGAGGGATAGATAGCTGGAGGTGGTTAATGGCGGAAGAAAGAGGACATGTAATACTTTTAACAAGATTAAAAAATAAATTAGCCGAAACCAGTTTGGCTCGGTGGATAGAGCGTCGGCCTGCAGACTGAAAGGTCCCAGGTACGATTCTGCTCAAGCGCATGTACCTGGGTTGCGGACACATCCCCAATAGGAGATGTGCAGGAGGCAGCTGATCGATGTTTCTCTCTCATCGATGTTTCTAATTCTCTCTATCTCTCTCCCTTCCTCTCTGTAAAAAAATCAATAAAATTATTTAAAAAAATAAAATAAAAATTAATTAATTAATTAATGGGGGGGGGAAATATCCTCGCGTGAGGATTATAAATAAAATAAAAGCAGTTAGGTTAGTATTCAAAGCATACTAAACATTTTAGTCATAAACAAAATCTGTGCTATAATTTATTTCGTAAGATGATGGGTGGGTGGGAGTGTTTAGGGAGGGTACAATAAAGTTAAATCTTAATTCTTCTTTAATAGGAAATCATTCAGTAAAGTAAAAGAAATGAAAAAAAAATTCATTATGAAGGTAAATACCAAAAGAAATAACAGTTTAAAATCTGTGTTTGCCTCTTGGGAGTGGACTTCAGATTAAAGGCTGAGCAGGTCCCTGTAAGCCATGCAGCAATATTTTAACATATATACTATTATTTTAATAAAAATTAAATCAATAATATTTAAAAGCCTACATAATAGGAAAAGCCTAGGCTTAGAAGTCAGAATCCTGGTTTCCGATCACAGTTCTACTATTAACATAATAACTCAGGGATAGTTATTTAACTCACTAATCCTCAGTTTCTTCGTCTAGAAAATGGGAGTGAAGCACCTAGCTCATAAGGTGGTCATAGGATTAAATGAGACAATATGTGAAAGACACGGTGCCACCACTAGTCACATGTCACCATAACATTAATAAAACTGTTTTTTGGTTTGTTTTCAAATTTGTCCCCCCTCTAAAGTTTAGCAGAACTAGTGAACAAAAAATATATCACTTTCCTTTGTAAGAATCATTATCAACTTAACTGTATATATATATATATATATATATATATATATATATATATATATATATATATATATACACTCATCTCCCTTTATAGAGCTCATACAAAGAATCTGTAGTCTTTACTATGTAAACTTAGGCCTGTCTCATAAATAGTTCTATGCTGTTTACAAATTGTTTTACCTACGGCAGTTATAGTCCTCTCTGTATTCCATTTCTCCTTACCCTATACTCCTAGGTATACATTAGATAACACAACAAAACTGCTGATGGATATACACCTTCCCCAGCAGTGTTATACTTACTGTCTTATAACTGTGTCCAGCCAAGAAGAATTTGCTTCAGGAACTTTTAAACATGCCAAAGCTGAAGCTTTTATGAGGAAGTCATTGACAGAAATTTTGCTTTTCCCTTCTAACATCTGCAAAGACAAGAAACCATTGTTTTTTAAATTATCTTCCCAAATACTGAAATTATATAATCTTGGGAAAGGAGATGGGAGAGGGATTTACAAATGTTCTGAAGGGGAAAGGATGAAAAAATATACTCAGGTGAGGATTAAAAAATAATCCTACATACTAAAAGGCTAATATGCAAATCAACCAAACAGCGGGACGACCAGTTGCTATGACACACATTGACCACCAGGGAGCAGATGCTCAATGCAGGAGCTGCCCTCTGGTGGTCAGTGTGCTCCCACAGGGGGAGTGCCACTCAGCTGGAAGCTGGGCTCATGGCTGGCGAGCACAGCAGCGGTCGCGGGAGCCCCTCCCACCTCCACAGCAATGCTAAGGATGTCTGACTGCTGGCTTAGACTCTTGGAGAGCAGACATTAGCAGTCAGTCCAACATCCCCTGAGGGCTCCCAGACTGTGAGAGGGCACAGGCCAGGCTGAGGGACCCTCTACCCCCTGAGTGCACAAATTTCATGCACCGGGCCTCTAGTAATGATAATAAACAAACAAACAAATAAGATTATTCACCATGACATAATTGGATTTGTTCCAGGAATGCAAGGTTGCTTTAACATTATTACATTAATGTAATAATGTCTTAATAGGATATAGGACAAAAACCACATGACCATTTAAGAGACACAGAAAAGCATTTGACAAAATTCAACAATTCTTCATGATAAGAACATTCAACAAACTAGAAACAGAAAGTAACTTCTTGATGATAGCAGATCTACAAAAACTCCACAATCATCATCATATTTCACTGGGGAAAGACTTATTTCCCCCTAAGATCAAGAATAAGACAAAGTGTCCACTCTTGCCGCTTCTATTCAACATTGCACTAGATGTGCAAGCCAGAGAAGTGAGATAGTAAAAGGAAATAAAAGGCGTCCAGATTAGAAAGCAAAACTATCTTTATTTGCAGATGACATGACTTTGTATATAGAAAATCCCAAGGAACACACTAAAAACCAATGTTTTAAGATACAAGATCAATATACAAAAGTCAATTTGTATTTTTATACAATAGTAACAAACTATCTGAAAATAAAATCTATAACAGTATTAAAAAGAAAATACCTAGGAAAAAATTTAACAAAAGAAGTGCAAAAACTTGTACTCTAAAACTACAAAAATCATTGAAATTGAAGAACTAAATAAATGAAAAGACATCCCGTGCTCATCTTAATATCCCTAACCCTTATAGGAAATATCCAGAATAGGCAAATCTATAAGATGGAAAGTAGATTAGTGGTGGTTTAGGGCTATGGTTATAGCTGGAAGGTGTATGGTTTCATTTTGGGATGATGAAAATATTCTAAAATTCATTGTGATGACTTGTCATACAACTATGAATATACTAAGACCCAGTGAATTGTAAACTTTAAATGGGTGAATGGCATGCTATTTAATTATATCTGAATAAACAATTTAATATCTCTCTATATAAAAGCCCAGCAGAACAGAACAACTGGTCAACCAGTCGCTATGACGTGCACTGACCACCAGGGGGCAGACAGTCAGGATCTGCCACCTGTGGTCAGTGTGCTCCCACAGTGGGAGTGCTGCTCGACTGACCAGGATGAGCAGTGCTCCCACAGCGGGCAATCCCCACAGGCCACACCCCCTACCAGTGCATGAGTCCGTGCACTGGGCCACTAGAAATTAAATAAAATAATATACTGGACATATATTTTTCATGCCTAATTCACAAATCCTATCTAATAAAAGAGGAAGATGGTAATTGGCGTACAACCGCTACCCTTCCCATTGGCTAATCAGGGAGATATGCAAATTAACTCCCAGCCCAGATGGCGGCTGGCAGCCAGGCAGCTGATACGAACTGGGAGGCTTGCTTGCTTGCTTCAGTGACAGAGGACTCCAACGTTCCCGGCCTCTCAGCTGCAACTCTAAGCAACTATGTTGCAAATATAGAAGCTAAAAAACCCCCAGAAGCCTGCTTTACTCAGCCGGGCTTCAGCCAGCCAGACCGCAACACTGTATCAAATACAGACGGTAAACAAAGGCCAGAAACCTGTTTTCAGCAGCCGAGGCCTCAGAGCTAAAGCTGGCCCAGAATAAAAAAGAAAAAAAAGAGGGGTTGGGAGCTTCAGTCACCTGTCAGCCTGAAAACGGCCCTCAGCCCCTCAGCCAGACTGGCCAGGCACCCCAGTGGGGACTCCCACCCTGATCCAGGACACCCTTCAGGGCAAACCAGCCAGCCCCACCCATGCACCAGGCCTCTATTCTATATAGTAAAAGGGTAATATGCTTCCTGGCACCGGGATCAGCGTGACAGGGGGCAGCGCCCTAAACCTCTGATCGCCCTGCGGCTCTGTGTGTGACAGGGTGCAGCGCCCCAACCCCCTGATCGGCCCTGCTCTGTGGGTGATAGAGGGCGACGCCCCAATCCCCCCCCCCCCCAACGGGCCCTGCTCTGTGTGTGACGGGGTAGAGCCATAACCTCCCCATCGGCCCTGCCCTGAGTGTGACAGTGGCGGCGCCCCAACTCCCTGATCGGCCCTGCTCTGTGGGTGATAGAGGGTGGCGCCCCAACCCCCTGATCCGCCCTGCTCTGTGTGTGATGGGGGGCGGTGCCCCAACCCCCGATGGGCCCTGCTCTATGAGTGACAGTGGGGAGCTCCTCAACCCCCTGATCAGCCCTGCTCTGTTTGTGACAGGGTACGGAGCCCCAACCCCCCTGATGGGCCCTGCTCTGTGCATGACAGAGGGCAGCGCCCCAACCCCCTGATCCACCCTGCTCTGTGCGTGACAGGGGGCGGTGCCCAACCCCCCAATCGGCCCTACCCTGAGCGTGACTAGGGGTGGCATCGCAACCTCCAGATCCACCCTGGTCTGTGCATGACAGGGGGCGGCGCCCCAACTCCCCAATCGGCCCTGCTCTGAGCCCGACCAGGGGATGCACCTAGGGATTGGGCCTGCCCTCTGCCACCCGGGAGCAGGCCTAAGCCAGCAGGTCGTTATCTCCCGAGGGGTCCCAGACTGCGAGAGGGCACAGGCCGGGCTGAGGGACCCCCCTCTCCTCCCCGAGTGCACAAATTTTTGTGCACCGGGCCTCTAGTATATTATAAAACAGCTTTAATATTTTGACAATGAAAGTCTGTCATCATCTATGACCCCTGAGGCCAGTTACAAAGTTGTGCTGATGCTTCACTGCTTCATTAATCCATTCTTGCACCTAATATTTGAGAGTCTACTCTGTTGTGCATATAACTCTAAAGCCCTGGATATAAAACAATGAAAAAAAAAAGTATATAAATTCTATTATCAGCCCTAGCTGGTTTGGCTCGGTGGATAGAGCATCGGCCTGCGAACTGAAGGGTACTGGGTTCGATTCTGGTCAAGGGCACATGCCCTGGTTGTGGGCTCAATCCCCGGTAGGGGGTGTGTAAGAGGCAGCCGATCAAAGATTCTCTCTCATCATTGATGTTTCTCTCTCTCTGCCTTCCTCTCGGGAATTAATAAAAATATATATATATATATATATATATATATATATATATATATATATATATCTTTTTAAATATATTTTGATTTTTTACAGAGAGGCAGGGAGAGGGAGAGGGATAGAGAGTTAGAAACATCGATGAGATAGAAACATCGATTCAGCTGCCTCCTGCATGCCCCCCCCCCCCCCCCCCACTGGGGATGTGCCCGAAACCCAGGTACATGCCCTTGACCAGAATCGAACCTGGGACCCTTCAGTCCGCAGGCCGACGTTCTATCTGCTGAGCCAAACCAGCTAGGGCAATAAAAATATATTTAAAAAAAAATTCTATTATCAGGTAGCTTACAGTTTAAAGGGGATGAATAGATAATAAGATAAACATATAGACATTGTTAGGAGCTAAGGAGAAAAATAAAGCTGGAAAAAAGAACTAAGGAGAGAACTTATTTACCTCATTCCTCTTCCCTTAACTTTAGAGCAGCAGTTCTCAACCTGTGGATGGAGACCCCTTTGGCGGTCAAACGACCTTTCCACAGGGGTTGTCCTGCATATCAGATATTTACATTACGATTCATAACAGTAGCAACATTACAGTTATGAAGTAGCAACAAAAACAATTTTATGGTTGGGTCACAACACGAGGAACTGTATTTAAAGGGCCAAAAGGTTGAGAACCACTGCTTTAGAGTAAGATGACCAGAGAAAACGAGGTAATGTTAAATCAAATCCTTCAGGAAGAGGAGGAACTCAGGTAGATACTAGAGGAAGCATAGCCCATGCAGAGGGAACAGCATGTAGGTGTACAGGTAGGATGTTGAGGAGTAGCAAGGCAACTATTGTGTCTTCAGCAGAGCGAGCAAGTGGGAAAGTAGTAGAAGAGGAAGTCAGAGAGGTTATAGACAGCCTATGTAAGGACCCTACGCCACTCAAGAAGTGTGGTTCTTACTTTTCAATTCTTGAAAATATTTTTCATCTTCCTGTCTCCTACTTCATTCTTTTTTTTTAAATTTTTATTAGATTTTTTTTTTTATAGAGAGGAAGGGAGAGGGATAGAGAGCTAGAAACATCGATGAGAGAAAAACATCGATCAGCTGAGTCTTGCATACCCCCAACTGGGGATGTGCCCGCAACCAAGGTACACGCCCTTGGCCGGAATCGAACCCGAGACCCTTCAGTCCGCAGGCCGACGCTCTATCCACTGAGCCAAACCGGTCAGGGCCTACTTCATTCTTAATACAAACCTCTGGTCTAGATTCTTACCACCATAACTTCATGCTTATATGACAAGCAAAAATATTATCTACCATTAAGGTATGCCAGTATGTATAAATCTAACATATTAATTTTTCTTAAAATATTGCTAACATCACGTCACTATTACTTAATGTTTAATTCATCAAGTCCAACTTTTTCTGCTTATAAATAAATCAAGGTATTTCCCTAAACTAACAACTGTATCCACTCTAGAAAAGGTAACCTATCTCCTACATATGCTATCCTTATTTCCCTTAAAAAAAAAAAAAAAGTCCTAGCCAGTTTGGCTCAGTGGATAGAGTGTCGGCCGACGGTCCTGGACTCAATTCCAGTCAAGGGCACACACCTTGGTTGCAGGCTCCTCCCCGGCCTGGGCCCTGGTCAGGGCTGGTGCAGGAGGCAACCAATCGATGTGTTTCTTTCACATCCATGTTTCTGTCTTTCCCTCTCCCACTCTCTCTAAAAAAATCAATGTAAAAATATGCTCAGGTGAGGACTAAAAAAAAAACATTTATTGATTTTAAGGGGGTGGGGGGAAGGGAGGGAGAGCGGGAAAGGAGGAGTGGGGAGAGGGAAAACTTTCTTCAACATTTTTGCCAGTCCAAACACTTCCTATTCTCCACAGTTCAACCAAGTGTTTCCTATACCATTCTGAATTCCCCAACTGCTTTCACTTGTCTCCCCATTCTCAGAACTCCGGTAACACTTAACAATGTAATCTAGCAGGCCAAGGGCATTACCACAGAGACTGATCTACAAATGAATATTTTTACTTTAATAAAAACTGCCTCCTGCCCTAGCCAGTTCGGCTCAGTGGATAGAGCCTGCGAACTGAAAGGTCCCAGGTTTGATTCTGGACAAGGGCACAGGCCTGGGTTGTGAGCTCGATCTCTAGTGGGAGACTTGCAGGAGGCAGACCATCAATGATTCTCTCTCATCATGGATGTTTCTATCTCTCTCTTCCTCTTCGTCTCTGAAATCAATAAAAATGTATTTTAAAAAATTGCCTCTCTCTTTTTCACATGCATGATCTTAATTAGATAAGCTCATGGAGAAGGACTATGCCTTATGCTGCGTTCCCAAAAGTGCCTTATGCTAAACACTATGTAAGTGTTTGGTACTTAACTACAAACACAAAGTAAACACACTGTATCTTATCTATCAAAGGACTCAGTAGTCTCATAGAATCATAGTGACTCTGCTAGGCTAAAATGGATCCAAGGCAAAGTCAACTATAAATGACAGGCTTTAACCAAGGGTTAGAAAAATGAAATTTCTCCAGGACAGTTTTTCCAAGTTAAAATTAAGATGACACCCATTTTCCATCAACTGGCATACTGTTACAAAAGATATGGGCAAAAATGTCAATGTTTAGTGGTTTATAGAGTTGGAATTTCCAGACCTTTTACCTTATTAAGTTCTTTCCGTACCAACAAAACTTCTCCCATATTGACATCAATAGAAAGGTAATAATGAGGTATGGTTTGCTTGGATTGCATTAACCGCTGTGCAATAACCTGAAACCAAAGAGATTCAAAAGTCAATTATCTTGAGTTGAGGTGAGACTTTAATTCAGGATTCTGTTTGCCTCTTTACACTGTTCCTAGTAATGTTTACCTCAAAAGCATTATTAGAATTGGAAGACAGAGGACTACACGGTACCTTAGCCCCTTCTAACATTTTTTAATCAGAACAGTGTTTACCCCAAGTATGTAACTGGCCAAACCAAACATCTCTTAAACTAATCATCTAAGACTGCCAACTAAAAAAAGTCCATTTCAAACTATGGATGCAATGAAGATGCTCCCACTGCCTCAGATTTATGATAATACTCTTACTCGACGAATGTTGCTGACTGGGATATCTGTGAAGACACCTGTAGGTACTGGTGCCACTCCTGGAGCTGGGGGAGGCACGGCAGCTGCTGGAGCCTATGAGAAGGTAAAAAAGCTCTTAGTAACTGTGGCCCAACCTTAGCATAAGCAAATGGAAACAACTACTAATGACTCTTGTACAGATGACAAAATACAAATTAAAAGGCTAATAAAAAAATAGCTATTTCTATCCCAGGTGCAAAAGGGATTCAGATTTGGACATGCTTAAGAGTTTTGATTTTAATTTTTATACTTAGAATTCTGTAATCATGTTTTAGGTATCACTGTTCTTTGAGCCAGAGTATGTATAATGATTAGTTTATGTGAAAATAATTTTTAAAAAATACATTTTCATTGATTTCAGAGAGGAAGAGAGAGAAGAGAGAGAGAAACATCAATGATGAGAGAATCATTGATTGGCTGCCTCTTGCATGCCCCACACTGGGGGATTGAGCCTGTAACCAGGAGGTACAGTTTGATTCCCAGTCAGGGCACGTGCCTGGGTTGCAGGCTCAATCCCCAGTAGGGGCCATGCAGAAGGCAGCCCATTAATGATTCTCTCTCATCACTGATGTTTCTCTCTCTCTTCCTCTCCCTTCCTCTCTGAAATCAATAAAAACATATTTTAAAAATTAAATAAAATAAAAATAGGGCCTGAATGGAAAAAAGAGGATGTGCTAGAAAAAAATGTAGTGTCACTATTAAAAAACAAAACAAAAACAATTTGGAATGCATGTCAATTTAGTGTCTCATCTTTGCTTTTGTAGATGAATGACATCATATTCAAATCCATATACTACTGACCCCTGATATCAGGCAAAAGAAAACACAGTTCTGATTAAGCTATTTCATTCATATATAATGTATGAAAGGGTCTAATAGACTGGACAACGCACTTTTCAGGGGACAAACTGGAAAAAAAAAAAGCCAATGTAACTCACAGGAGCAGCTTTAGTAGGCACAAAAGAGTCGATGTCCTTCTTGATGATTCTGCCTTCTGGTCCCGTCCCTGGAAGAGATACATAAATATCAATCCCACAAACAACAGCCTACTGCTGGTTCCTCAAGGAGACCAACACTGTGATTCTGAGTGCAAGTTCTTAAGGTTCTCTACCAAAGGCTGAAGGGATCACAGCCTTAACCCTGCCCTCTCAAGTTCCTAGAAATACCAGCTTTTGTCGTTTGTTACTTTTAATTCACAGAGTGCTCTTGCTTGATCTGTAGTGGTTTATTATTATTTTTAAAATATATTTTTACTTATTTCAAAGGAGAAGGGAGAGGGGGAGAGAGATAGAAACATCAATGATGATGTCCTATCTGGTTTGGCTCTGTGGATAGAGCATCAGCCCTAGGACTGAAGGACTCCAGGTTTGATTCTGGTCAAGGGCACATGCCCAGGTTTCGGACTCAATCCCAGTAGGGGGCGTGATGTTTCTTTTCTTTTTTAAAATATATTTTTTACTGATTTCAGAAAGGAAGGGAGAGAAAGGGATAAAAACATTAATGATGAGAGAAAATCATTGATGGGCTGCCTCTTGCATACCCCACACTGGGGATCATGCCCACAACCCGGGCATGTGCCCTGACCAGGAGTCAAACCATGACCTCCTGGTGCATAGGTCGAGGCTCAACCACTGAGCCATGCCTGCTGGGCAAAAGTGATTCTTTTTAACTATAGCAAATATTCCTCTTTTGAAGTTTTATCTACTTAAATTGTACTTTATTTTTTCATCTCCTTTACTTTCAAATTGGGAAATACCAGCATAAGGGTAATGCTGAGTACAATTTATACCTCTAAAAGGAAGTTTAAGTGCCTCTTCCTGGTTAGCTCAAAAAAACTTCTTTCTGAACCATTAAATAGCTCTCATTTGGGTTCTAGATTCATTTGACCATAAAGAGCCCAGGTAGTGTGCTCAGTGGTTGAGCGCTGAGTTTGATTCTGGGTCAGGGCACATGCCTGGGTTGCGGGCTAGATCCCCAATAAGGAGTGCGCAAGAGGTAGCCAATTAATGATTGGTGTCTCTCTCTGAAATCAATAAAAAAAAAAAGAAAAGAAAAGAACTCCTTTTGTACAGAGTCAACAGTTATGGTAACAACTGTGTTAGATAAATCAGGCAAGTTAGTATTTTTACCCCCAAACCATGATCTTATCTGTGGAACCATTCATTTCTTATGTGGTCTCCATTTTTCACAACTTTCCCATAGTAGCCAAGAGTCTAAGTCTAAACTGGCCTGTGTTGGAGACTCTGAAGGAAACGGGTGTAATGTCATACATAAGGAAAGATCTTCAAAGTTCTTATTAGAGTTTATTTTTAATTTCCTTCCACCTCCCATCCACAACCTCTTTAGGTTTAACTTCAGACCCAAGTAGTAAATAATCCTGAACCTTAATTCTAAGGAGATTCAGAATTTAGTTATTAAAATACCTTTTACAATGGCCCACTTCTAGAAAAAATTTGGTCAAATTGATTCATCTTCCCCCAAGGCAGACTTTTAAAAGGATTCACGTTGTATGAAGTTCGTCCCAACTCCTTTCCTTCATTATGAAAATTGAGTTGGCTAGGATTGTGTTTATCCTCACCAGGCGCTCTAGAACAGAGGTAGCAGTACCCCTATTAGATTCCCCTCCTTTTAAAGACAGAAGAAACCATAACCGCCCCTTACAACCAAGGCCGATCGGACACTGCAATCCCTCAAAAGAAGGAAAGCTGTAGCACTGCCTCGCCTATGCTAACCTTCAGCCACCTAACTATTTGCCTATCTCCCCAGGAAGGCACAACAGGCCATCATAAAGAAATACTGGTAAAGGGAAGAAAACTAGACTAGGACAAGAATGTACGGTTGTTGTCAAATATAAACTAAACAAATAGCTATAGTCACTTGAGTCTCATCTGTAGGAGAGAGGCTATAATACCAGTTCCTGCTCACAGGATAAAATGGGATAGTGACAAAATTTCGGGTTATGTAAAGTACAGCATAGGGAATACAGTCAATAATAATGTAATAACTATGTATGATGTCAGATGGGTACTAGACTTATCAGGGTAACCACTTCGTAAGGTATATAAATGTCTAACCACTATGTTGAACACCAAAAACTAATATAATATTATATGTCAACAGCAGTTGAAAAAAAAAATTTTCTTCAAGTGGGATAGTGATGTGAAAGTGCTTTGCATCAAAAAAATATAAAACAATATGGCTAGCTTTGTGCCAAATCAAACTTTGAACATAAGGGTTTAGGATTTAAAAGTCTCTCCCCAAATGATTACATTTTGGTCAAATTTGCTAAGTAATCTGTCCTTCCAGAGAGATTGAGCCCAACAACCAATGGCTAATGACTTAATTAACCACTAAGACTCCCGAGCCCTGGCTGGGTACCTCAGTTGGTTAGAACATTGTTCCATATGCCAAGGTTTCAGGTTTGATCCTCAGTCAGGCACATATAAGAAGCAACCAAAGAATGCAAAAAATAGATGGAACAACAAATCGATGTGTCTCTCTCTCCAATAAAAATTAAAACAATATTCTTGAATAATGAGATTTGGTGAGTTTCTAGGTTGGTGAACACATCACTCTGCTGGGAGGGTGGTGCTCCCAGAGAGGGCATGGAAGCTCTGCAACCCATCCCACCCCACCCCACCCCACGTCCTATGTACTTCTTCTATTTGACTATTTCTGAGTTGTATCCTTTACAATAAAATGTAATAGTAAGTAAAGTGCTTTCCTGAGTTCTGTGAATCATTCTAGTACATTACTGCACCAGCGGGAGAGGGGTGTTAAGAACTCCTGATTTACAGCCAATAGGTCAGGAGTCTGGTGGTCCCAGGACTTGCAACTGGTATCTGAAGTAGGAGAGTCTCATGGGACTGAGCCCTTAATCCTGTGGAGTCTGATGCTCACTCTGGATAGTTAGTGTCATGATAGGATTGAATTATTGGATACCCAGTTGGTGTTGTAGAACTGATTGTCGGTGTGGAAAAAATACATTTGATGTCAGAAAACACCACACAATCAGTGATCCTCTCAGCTCACTTATTCTAAACCACTCCTCCCCCTCCTGTAAAATTTGTTTGACCTCATCAAGACCTTCATTCCACTGACTCCTCTGTTGTCATCATCCATTATTTCCTTTTGTCTTCAGTTCCTCCTTACCCATTTTACACCCTATGGATCATTGTTATAATCACTTCCTGATCAAACTCCAAAATGTCAGCCTCCACAGTGCCAGCACCAGAGTTGCTTAATGTTGCTGAAATTATGTTTTCCTTGAACTCACTTTCCCAATCTCTGAGAACACTACACAACCTAACCTCAAACCTAGCCACACTCATTCTCCAGCTGATATCCTCACTTCGAATAGCAGCAACCAGAGAGGTATTCTACCCATCCTCCACTACCAAACCTAAAATCCCACCCCATATTCTCTTCTCTCCTATAAAAACAAAATGTCCTAATTCCTGTCAAAGGCCAATCCCAACACCTCTTACTTTCCCAAAATATAAGAGATACTTTTCAACCTATCCAAACTGGCTTCCACCACACATTTCTTTTGAAATCACTGCTGTTGAGTCCCCGTACCCAATCCTTGACTAAGTTCTGTTCATTCTATGTCAAAAAATGTATCTTGAAGCTGTCCATTTCTTTCCACTTCCACTATCACCACCATAGTCTAATTCAGGGGTGGGGAAACTTATTTCTGGCAAGGGTCATTTTAATATTTATAACATCATTCGAGGGCCACACAAAATAATCAACTTAAAAATTAGCCTGCTGTATTTGGTCAAACATTTAATTAACTCATCCAGAATGCCTTGACAGGGCCAGACCAAGTGACTTTGTGGGCCTTATACAGCCCAAGGGCCAGACATTCCTCAGCCCTGGGCTAAGCCACCACCATCAGTTCCAGAAACAACATCTTAACAGATGTCTTGGCTTTCATTTAATCCAGTTTTAAAGAGGCCAAAATGATCCTTTAAAAATGTAAGTTCTTTGTTTTAATCTTTCAGTGACTTCCTACTGTACTTTAAATAAAATTTAAATTCTACCATCTATACTAATAAGAGGAATATGCAAATTGTCCAGGACACTGTCATAGTTAACACTAACGACCGAACAACAGGCTGCATGGGGCAACAAGGCCAGTGGGGGGAGGGGGGGGGGCAGTTAGGGGCAACCAGGCCGGCGGGGGGCGGGGGCGCAATTTGGGGCCACTAGGCTGGCAAGGGGGACAGTGAGGGCAACCAGGCCGGCAGGGGGTCTGTTGGGGGCAACCAGGCCAGTGGGGGGAGCAGTAAGGGGTGACCAGGCCAGTGGGGGTGGGCGGTTGTTAGGGGCAACCAGGGTGCTGGGGGAGGGGTGCAGTAAGGGCAACCAGGCCAGCAGGGGGGGCAGTAAGGGGCAATCAGGCCGGCAGGCAGAGGCAGTTAGGGGCAGGCAGGCAAGCAGTTAGGAGCCAGCAGTCCCGGATTGTGAGAGGGATGTCAGAAGGGTCCCAGATTGGAGAGGGTGCAGTCTGGGCTGAGGGGACACCCCCCTCCTCCATGCATGAATTTCATGCACCAGGCCTCTAGTAAGCTATAAAGTCCTTTATGGTCTCACCCATATTTCTTTCAACCTCATCTATCATTAGACCCTTTCTTTGCTCATTATGCTCCATTAACACAGGCCACTTTTAGGTTTTCAAATATGCTAAGCTGTTTTCCACTTTCAAACTGTGTACTACTGATCTCTTTGACCAAAATGCTTCTTCCCCAGTTTTCCACATAGTTGGCTCATAGCTGACTCATCTTCCAGGTCAGATCAAATGTCACATTAGAAAGATCTTCACCAAACACCCTGTCTAAAAGCAGTCATAACTGCACATTTATTGACCCTGTTACTCACTCATATATCATCTGGTTTCTTTGTTAGCATGTAAATCATCTTATTAAATAATAATGTTATTGTTATTATAGCTAATACCCATAAATGCTTTCTATGTGCAGATAGTGTTTATTAACTTATTTAATCCTCACAACCTATAAGGAATTCTTTTCAGATACAAATGAAGAAACTAAGACACAAAAGGTCATACAGATAATGTATGGCAGAGTTGGGGTTCAAACCGAAGCATTCCAGCTCCAGAATCTACACTCTTAACTACTATGCCATATTCCCTTTCTGTTCATTTAATTATTTATTGTTGGTAATATAACCATCTGACATGGAAACTTGTCTGTCTTATGAGCAAATGTTGGATGTATAAACAATACTCAACGAGTATTTGTTTAAATAATAAATGAATCATCTTAACTTCTCTAAATTCTTTAGATATACTTATTAACCCAGTCCTTCCTCCCCTTAAAATTTATTCCAACTTATATTGTTTTCCCTGGTTCTAATAACATATAAAGAATGACAATATACTAGTTATATACATTAACATGGGAAAACAGGTCTTACAATATTACAAGAATCCTCTTAGGTCCAAAAATTTACAGTATCTTATTCTTTTATCTTTGGAGATTGGCTTGTCTTCTGACCACAAAACAACTAAATGCAAAGATAACCAGCACTGAGTGCCCATCGCTGGACAACTGGGAAAATAACCAGTTATTATTTTCTCAATTAAGGAAGGCAGAACATCAAAACAGAAGGCAGAACAAGGGCAGTGGGAATACAGGCTTTAGAATTAAACAAATCTAGAATTCAAATTGTAACTTTACTACTTCACAGAAAGGGAGCTCCCTTAAGAGTCTATTTCTTATCCAAAAAAATAGGGAATGATAATTCTTACTTCAAAAAGTGTTACACAAATTAAATGTAGTACTACATGACTAGTACACAGTACTAGCCATCAAACCAGGTTCCACAAATAGTCATTTCTCCCCTTATCTCAATAAGAATCTTAATGCCTTACATTAAACTTTAGCTTAGTTTTAGTTTAAAAACATTTATTTAAATGCCAGGCAATAATAACAATATGAACAAAACAAGTATGTTTTGAGTACTTATATATTCTAGATACTATTCTAAGCACTTCACCTGTTTTAACGCACACAATTATCTCAGTTTTACAGATGTAAAAACAGATGAAGTAAGTAATTCCTATAAAGACATATACACTTTAAGTAATTCACCAAAGAACATATTACACAGAAAATGACAAAGCCAGAATTAAATCCTAGATGGAGTGATTCAAGACCCCATGCTAAGCTATACTTTTCTTTGGGGAGAAAAAGGAAAACATTTTCTTTTGCCCTCTGGGAGCTTTACTTGTTTGTAAGTCATTTCTAATCACCAAACATCATGTTGTGATTGTGTATTGCTACATTCAGTCAGCCTAGAACTAAGATAGATTTCTTACTATAAAATCAAGTCCTATAAACCAACTTTGCTGAATAAGCACATTTTAATTTTTACCAACAATTAAGCAGTTCCCATGATTAGATAAAGAAAAAAGCTATCTAAATTATATAGGTAGATCTTAGACTAAATAAAGCACAATGAAATTTCCCAAATCTGTGGTACCAAGAAAGGAGTTATTTCCATCCCTCATCTTTCTCCCCACCATCCCAGAAAAAATGACTATATATAGTGGTATTTGCTGGTCTTAAGGAAGAAACTCAACCAAATTTTAGCTTTACAACTCCATTCCATACAGACTTACCTTTTACTTGTGTAAGGTCAATCCCCTTCTCTGCTGCCAATTTCTTTGCAAGAGGGCTAACAAACAACCTTCCCTTTGGTCCAGCAGGAGTAGCCGGGCGGGTGGCTGATGGTGTAGAGGCTACAGGTTGGGGAGTTGGAGGAACAGGGGTCGCCTTTTTAAAAAAGTTACAAATTGTTAATTCACCACTGCAAAGATTGGTCTGAAAGATCAACAGCTTACATTTTTAAGTCAAAGATATTTTAATTGAATAACTTTCATTTTCCCCCCAAAGATCATAAGTTTCCCTACTTAATCAACATAATATAGCCATATGAATAATAGCAATACTTTATGTCAAAGACAGAACAAAGTCATCTTACTCCATGATAACATAGAGGCATGGAATTTAATACCGCTGACCAGTTTATTTATCCTTATAGATTTTCTTCACTTTACTCTCTTGCCACTTCTTTATTTTCATTTTCTTACATCACCAACATGATTTTCGTTTTTATTAAACCTAATTTCAAAACAATAAATTATGCTGGAAGGTCTCATGTTGAAAGTACCTTAAGAAGTAAAACAAAGCTACTACTTGCCAGCTCCCCATGAATGTATGGCAGTCAGAAATCAAATTTTCTTTGACAGAAATGTGTACCTAGTCTACACCATCATGATTCTGGCATCTGCAGAAGCCTTCCGACACTGTTATCAATGCTTGGAGTTCATACAAGCTCATGTTACAGGTATATAGCATACCGTGTAGAGTATATAGTGTCAGACTAAGTTTTATGCAAAACAAGTCATGTTATGTCAAGGTTCCAATGTATTATAAAGATAAGCCTGACCCACTATAACATGCGACCACCAAGAGGGTTGACAGTGACAAAGATTACATAGTAAATCCTGTAGAAAATGGGGAACAAAGCATTACCTTCCATATGCATAAACATCTAAAGCAGAAAAGGAACCTGTCACCTCAGCTTTGTTCTCAGCATGGCTCAAGACAGCATGAAAAAAAGAAAAGCTACACGGATCAAATTATTAGCCATTAGGTGAATGGTGCAGTGCCACACCCCTTGTAGGTCTCCACAAATGTTAGCCATCTCCTTTCTCATTCATAAACTCTTAGAGCTAGAAGGAACCTAGAATATCATCTAATCTAATCCCTAAATTTAGGAAAGGATAAATAAGTGTTCCCTCCATTCTGGAAGCATACCTACCGGGGGAGGGGTAGGTGGTGGTGCTTGTGGCTTTAAATCAGTTACTCCAGTTGGCCTATAGTCAGCAAATGCTGGTATATCTGCCTCTTTTTCTACAATGATACAGAGTGGTGTTCCTAAAGGGACATCTCTTGTGCCTTCTGGGACCAAAATTTTTGCCAGGTAACCTTCTTCTTGTACTTCAAAACCTTAAACAGAAAGAAATACTATTATGGAACTTAAAGGATTCCACTACTCCTCCAAATTCATGATACAGTTTTAAGTAAAAGGTTCTTCTCCTTCAAGCTATATTAACCCTTTGCAAGCTATTTAACTTTTGTGTTTCAGTTTCTTTACCTGCAAAATGGGGATAATATTATCTACTTCACAGGATATTATGAAAATTAAATGAATTCATATTTTTCAAGTACTTAGAAACAGTACCTGGTACAAAGTAAACACTAAATAAGTATCTATTAAAAAACTATGAGAGATTATAGACAGTAGTTAGTTCTAAACATTTTCCTAAAAACATCTCCGAGGGCAGGCCCTGCAGACCCACAGACTCTAAGATGGCATTAGCGTACTGGTATAGATCAGAACCAAATGGATCTTAAACAAAGGCAGCTACTAAAAGCATCTTTGGAGTTTTTCAAAGCGGCTATATTTGGTATTCCCAAATGTTAAGAAATACAGTTTTACTAGGTTTTCTATGGTGTCAGCAACTTACATTTTATTCAGCTGTTGCTTTCCTTATAAAAAGAAAATAAAGGACTCCAAGACCACAATAGAGTTTAAAGAGTTAACCAAGGTTGCACTAGCCGGTTTGGCTCAGTGGATAAAGCATCAGCCTGTGGGCTGAAGGGTCCCAGGTTCGATTTCGGTTAAGGGCACATGCCTGGGTTGCGGGCTGGATCCCCACTTCGGGGCATGAAGGCATGATTCTCGCTCATCATTGATGTTTCTCTCTCTCCCTCCTCTCCCTTCCTCTCTGAAATCAATGAAAATATATTTTAAAAAAAGAGTTAACCAAGATTATATTTCTCTAGTGATTAGTCTCTAGAATACCAGCCTCTACAGCAACACTGGCATTCAAAGCAGATACTGATCTGCAAAGCAGATCTATTGCTACGAATGTTTTTTGTTTGTTTCTCTCTTTTTCACAAACAATTCATTCTTCTAATAAAATCTATGGGGGGAAACACAATATGCAAAAGATAAGGAGTTGCCCTTGTAGAAGTGAGAAAGGGGGATAGGGCACAGTAGAGTGCTGCTTGTTAAGTCCGCCTTTGCCCCACGATGCCATCAAGGAATCATGGGGTTTGAAACCAATGATTTCATGATTTCGGAACACAAACTGAAAACAACCACTGCAGAGGATGCCCAGTATCTCCCACTGCATCTTTGGGGATTGAACAGGAAAGAAATATATTTATCTATAATTTATAAGTATTATCACAAATATATGATTATCTATGTGAGTTTTTCTCTGAGCATAAAAATGAATAGAAAAAACATGTGAAAATATGATATCTGAACAGGTGTATTATACATTCTATCAGTCATTCTCAAACTATGAAAACAATCTAAACCCTGGTTTCAGTTTTCCCTCAAAGTCATCTTACATTCTTTGATATTTCCTGCCTTGGAAGTTATGTTCCCCTTGCCCAGTTTAGACAACACAGTTGTGATACATCTTCTCAGTAACATAAATAAGGCTAAAAAGCAAACTGTGGCCTAAAAATTATCTCAAAGTTGACATATCCCTGATTCAATGAAAGTGCAGTATGAAACTGACAAATCTGACTAGGGATACTTTTGTTATGAAATATCCTGTTGCAGGAAATGAATCCCAAGAATTAAAATGTTTCATGTTATCACTCACTCATTATAGGATAGGACGGCAATCCTCTTCCCTCATTGGAAAACTCAGTGTCTCAACCATTAAGAGCTGAAGAAATCTCACCTATAGTGGCCTTGTCAGTCTCTATCTCTGCCAGTAAGTCTCCTTCACTTAGCTTCTCACCCACTTTTTTTTCCCATCTCTGAACTGTCCCCATGGTCATGGTGGGAGAGAGGGCAGGAAGAAGCACCTGTAGAAACAAACAATTATTGCTTAATACTAGAAAGCCTTGGATACAATAGCATTCAGGCAAGCTTAGTTGTATGATAGTGACTATGACAATCCAGACTCCCATCTGCTGGATGCCCCCAAAACAGCAAAAGCTTAATGCTCAACAGTGTCCCGCAAGTTAAATAATCCTTCAAATCTCAAGCTTTATCGTATCAGTAATACTCTGACCCACCCTCCAAAGTTAAAAGCAATGAGCAGATGGGAAAGATTTCTAGTCAAAACTAAGTCCTCATTATCTAAACAAAGAACCCCTTTTCAACTTTAACACTTAGAATAAGGTAGAATTTTTCATTTTCACAGAATGATCTTGGTCCAGGCTATTCCATTAAAATTTGCTGTACTCTGTGTATTAGCCTCTATCTTTTCATTCAGAGAAAACTGCACTTCTCCCAAACTTCCCAGACATCTTTCCAAGATAAAAACAACTAATACTAAAAACTGCTCTTGCCCTGGCCAGGTGACTCAGTTGGTTGGAACGTCATCCTGTACCCCAAAAGGTTTTGGGTTCGATCCCCAGTCAGGGTACATACAGAAGACAACTGATCAATGTTTCTCTTTCCTTCCCCCCTCCGCTCTCTCTAAAAATCAATTAAGCCCTGGCCAGTTCGGTTCAGTGGACAGAGTATTGGCCTGCAGACTGAAGGGTCCCAAGTTCGATTCCAGTTAATGGCACATGCCCCGGTTGTGGGCTCGATCCCCAGTAGGGGGTGTACAGGAGGCAGCTGATCAAGATTCTCTCATCATTGATGCTTTTCTCTCTCTCTGAAATCAATAAATGTATTTTAAAAAAAACAACAGCCCGGCCAACTTGGCTCAGTGGTTGAGCATGGACCTATGAACCAGGAGGTCACAGTTTGATTCTTGGTCAGGGCATATGCCCAGACTGTGGGCTCGATCCCCAATTTGAGGTGTGCAGGAGGCAGCTGATCAATGATTCTCTCTCATCACTGATGTCTCTATCTCTCTCCCCCTCTCCCTTCCTTGCTGAAATCAATAAAAATATATTAAAAACAAATAAAAAACACAAAACAGTCTTGGCCAGCATGCTCAGTGGTTAGAGCATCAGTTTGCACACCAAAGGGTCTCAGGTTCGATTCCCCAGTCAAGGGCACATACCTAGGTTGCAGGTTCCATCCCTGCCCCTAGTAGGGGTACCTGTGGAAGGCAACCAATTGATGTATGTGTGTGTGTCTCTCTCCTCCCCACTCCCTTCCATTCTCTGAAAATCAATGGGAATATATCCTCAGTCCTCAGGTGAGAAAACAAAACAAAATAAAACATATTCTCAGGTGAGGATTAACAAAACAACAAAAAAAGAATTATTCTTTACAAGTCACTTCCACCCCAATAAAATCTAAACAGCAGACTGGCTAATCTAAATTAAAAATTGTCTTCCTATTTATATGGCTTGTGTGTCCACTGACTTTAGATGCTTACTTGATTATGGGTTTTGTTTGGTGTCTTTGTAGTGCTTTAAGAAAAATCATTTCAATTGATGTCTCACGAAAGCAGGGAAAAAAGCAAAACAAAACTTAGAATTCTGATTAGAAAGAAATTTTAAATATTTTTCTTGTTCAGAATTTGTCATCTTCATCTACTTCTTATCATTAGTGGAGCTGAGATAAAGAAGATGTGGTACATACACAGCATCCCCCCAAAAATGTATACACACTGTAACAGCTGATAGTTCAATTTTGAAAATGAAATGTATTTTTAATAAACACTACCTTTGAAATTATTCAAAGTGTGTGCATACATTTTTGGGGGAACACACACACACACAATGGAATACTACTTAGCCATGAAAAAAATGAATCACTGCCATTGCGACAACATGAATAGATCTTGAGAATACTGTGCTAAATAAGTGAGACAGATAAAGACAAGAACTGTAGCCCTAGCTGGTTTGGCTCAGTGGATAGAGCATCGGCCTGTGGACTGAAGGGTCCCAGGTTCGATTCCAGTCAAGGGCACATGCCCGGGTTGCGGGCTCTATTCCCAGTAGGGGATGTGCACCAATCAATGATTCTCTTTCATCACTGATGTTTCTATCTCTCTCTCCCTCTCCCTTTCTCTCTGAAATCAATAAAAATATATTAAAAAAAAAAAAAAGACAAGAACTGTATGACTTCACTTATGTGGGATACAAAACAAAAAGCAACAAACAAAAACAAACTTACAGACCCAACAGAATGGTGGTTACCAGAAGGAAAGGGGGTTAGTAGGAGGATAAAGGGGATCAAATACAAGGTGACAGAAGGAGACCAGACTTCATATGGTGAGCACATAACAGAGTAAATGTATTGTAGTATAAGGCTGTACACCTGAAATTTACCTAATGTTATTAACCCAATAATTTTAATAAAAACTCTCACTAAAAAAGAATTAGGATATGGGCCCTAGCTGGTTTGGCTCAGTGGATAGAGCATTGGCCCCTGGACTGAAGGGTCCCAGGTTCGATTCCAGTCAAGGGCATGTACCTCGATTGTAGGCTTCCCCGGTCCTGGTTGGGGCACATGTGGGAAGCAACCAATCAATGTATCTCACATCTATGTCTCTCTCCCTCTCTATTTCTCCCCCCTTGCTTCCACTGTCTAAAAATTAATGGAGCCCTGACCGGTTTGGCTTAGTGGATAGAGAGTCCGCCTGCGGACTCAAGGGTCCCAGGTTTGATTCCAGTCAAGGGCATGTACCTTGGTTCCGGGCACATACCCAGTAGGGGGCGTGCAGGAGGCAGCTGATCGATGTTTCTCTCTATCCCTCTCCCTTCCTCTCTGTAAAAAATCAATAAAATATATTTTTAAAAATAAAAATAAAAATAAATATAAATGGAAAAATGTCCTCGGGTGAGAATTAACAACAAAAAATTAGGATAATTAAGACATAACCCTTGAATATAAAGCCACGGACATAAAATGGAGAGAAATGAAGTCAGAGTTATGTAGTGAGACAGAATTTACTGGACAAGATGAAATAAATATTGAACTAAACACCAGGCAAAACTTCTTCATGAATGACTGTTAATAATAGATCATGGAGTAGATCATTATGTTCACACAAAAAAGACTCTCGTATAGAAATTTCTACAAATAACTAAGTGAAGGAAAAGTTCTAGTCTTAACCCTTTAGAGAAGGCAGCTGGTTTTTATCCATTTCTAGTATCAGAAACACACAAATATACATGGGATTACCCTAATATCTAATAAACTGACTTAGTTAAGAGAATCAACTGTTGACTGTTGCCTTCAGCTTTGTTTCAATGCTATGATATATGTCCATTCTACACTTCTTCTTTATTGTTAATTCTCTCATTTATTAATACTACTGGACTACTTCACACTCTTAGAAAACAGAACACCACATTGCAAAGGAAAACACCAATTGAGGACTTTCATTCAACAGACAGCACTTGAGGCCCACTAAAAACTCTATCTATACATATTAAGTACAAATCATCCTCAAAATATAACATAATGTCGTGAATGAAAAATGCCAAGCATTATCCTGCTACTACATTGTGGCTGAGAATAACACACCCGGAAATAACAACTAGGATTAAAAGTTATCAATTTTCACGTTTAACTTCCTATTTACTTTCACGACAAGAGGTAGCCATATTTAATGCCAGTTTCCAGAATGTGATAGCCATCTCTGAAAACTAATGAATAGATAATAAACTTTCTAGAGTTAACACCCAGAGGCTGAGCCTCACCTGCATGTGAGTGGGAAATGAGCTACCAGGAGCCTGAGCAGAAGGTGTAGGTGGCGAAGAAGTGACAGCAGGGGTTGGTGCTGGGGCTGCTTGTGGGGTGGGTGCTGCCGAATCCAATGTATAATTTTTAAAGGCCTCAACATCCTCAGGTCTAAGGAAGAGAAAGAATGCATAAGTATAAGGGGGGGGGGGGTGTTATAAAGCAGATTTAGCTCCTACAGAAGGAGTCTTAGGAGCCTTTAACTCCTAATTCCTCGATTCTGGGTTAAAACAGCCCACTAATCACCTAAATTCCAAAAATCACCAGGGTGCTACTCACTTTTCAACTGTGATACAGATGACTGATCCAATGGGAACATCTCTGGTGCCTTCAGCAACAAGTATCTTTGCCATGTAACACTCCTCCATGCTCTCAAATCCCACCGTGGCTTTATCAGTTTCAACCTTTTAACACAAAAGTAGGCGCTTAGGCTTGTGCTGCCAAGTTATGAAGATTATTAGCTTGTGTTTGGAAGTGAAGATACAACCTCTATCACAGAGGTGAAAGAAGGAATTACTTTTTAAAACTTAGCTAAAAATTCATTTCTGCCAGCTGCTGACCATTTAACCAAGCTTCTCTAATATCAAGTTGACATCAACATCTCAGTTTCTTAAGGAGTAACTACCCACCCGGAAAGTTAATGCTCAGTTTAGCTAACTCGGTCCCTTTTAACTTATCTCCATATTTTAAAACAACTCACCTCTGCAATGAGTTCGCCCTCGTTGATTTTTTCCCCTTCCTTTTTCTCCCAACGGGCGATGGTGCCTGCTTGCATGGTGGGGGAAAGAGAGGGCAATGCAACCTGGAGGAGGAGGAAAAGGAGGAACACTGACATTTAAACGGGCTGCCTCACTCTCCGTCTGGTTTCCTGTTTCATGCCATTCAATGTAACGCAAAGAGTTTGCGTCTCGCCACCCGCTGGGCCCTGGGGCCGTGGGGATGTGCAGGGAGCTCCGGCCGAGGCCCTCCGGTGCCAGCTTCCTGCTCCCGGTGCCGCGGGTCTGCCGGAGCCCGGACCTGCCCAGCCACCCAGGCGGAGCCCCGGGGCGGGCGGGCGGGCGGGCGGGCGCTCGTCTCTCAATGAAACGGGTCGGGAGAGGAGGCTGCGGAGTGACCGCACCGCGGGGTCCCGGAGCGGCGCGGGGCAGGCGCGGGGCGAGGGTGCGGGACCGCGGAGGCCCCCAAGGAAGACTCGCAGCCAAGAAGTCGACCCTGAAGGACAACGGGGTGCCGCGAAGGGCAGGTCGGGGGCTCACCTTCTGATGCGGGGGGAGACTGTAACAGCGGCGGCCGGGCGACCCCAACAGCTGCAGCGGGAAGCGACCCCGCGACGAGGCCCACGGGCCGGGGCGCCAGCCGCAGACGGCGCGGACGCCGCAGTATCCAGGGGTCGCGCCGTGGCAACGAGCCGGGGCCGGAGCGCCCCGCGGGGTTGCGCTCGGGACCCCCGGGCCCTCCCGCAGGGCGGCCCGCCGAGCCCCGATCCCGGCCCGGGGAGCCGCATCCCGGGCCCGTCGCGCACAGACGCGCCACATCGTGCCACCGACCCCAACACCCCCAAACCTACGCCGTCTCCGGAGTGACCTCCCCGAGAGCGGCGCGGCGCTGCCGTCAGCCAAGCCGCGCAGCCGCACGTTGTCGCAAACGGGCTCCGACGACGCGCCCCGCCCCTCGCACCCGGGACGGTAAGGAGCGTGCGCTCTTTCCCCCGGCGTCGGGGAAAGGGTGGTCCCGAGAGGGTCCGGGCGACGGGGCGGGGAGCTGAGCGGAGCCCGCGCAGGCGCCTGTGGGGAGCGAGGAGACGCCGAGGAGCGGAGGACGGCGGGGTCCGCGGAGCGGGGCCGACCCGGCGCGGTGAAGGGCACGCCCTCCAGGGAGAGGCCTCGACCGGTGGCGGGAGCGGGCTGCCCGCCAGGGGGTCCGGGGCGGGGGCTGAGGGAGTGACCGGAGGGAGAAAAGCGGGCGGGCCGGCGGGCGCGGGGCCTCAGGCCCAGGGCGGGGTCGGGCCGCGCCCGGAGGGGCAGGGACCGCCCGAGGCTGCTCCGCGCTCCCGCGCCGCTCCCGGCCGGACTGCCCCCGCCGCGCTGGTTGCGGAGATTTAATGAATTTCGGGTTTGTAGCCCAGCCGGAAACTAGAGCGAGCGAGTTTTCCAGCCGCGGGGTGTGAAGGGCAGCCAAGGGGAAGGTGCATGCCCGCATTCAGGTGGACGGTAGCAGGATGAACGTAGTCCCTGGGTGGAGATCCAGAACGGGCTTGCGTTGCTGTTTTACTGTAGGATCCCCATCAATGTGTGTGATGCTTGAGATATAGTGCCCTAAAACTAACTCTAAGGCCGGGGGCGGGAAACATGTCTATGTTGTTCATAGCTCAGTATCTGGTGAACAGTGGAGGCCGAATGCATGTCTTGAATTAACAGAAAGTTACCTACATTTGTTAGGTACAATTTATTGTAGGGGTGCCATCCTATAATTAGAATATATCTCACTTCTGAGCCGAGGGTGACATTAGGTTAGCAGGAAGCAAGAGCTGTATTTATTTATATCTCTCTTAAGTCCCTAGTGTGGAGACGGTCAGGGAACACCGAGAACACAACAAATAGGAGGGAACCGCAGCATTTGGAATGAACATGTTCAGCCCTGCTAGTGATGAAACATCTGGAAAATTAAAGCAGCCAGAAGGTACTATTTCACACCTACTTAAATCAGAAACTTGAAAGTCTAAAAACCCAGAGTTAATGAGGTTGCAGAGACAGAGATGGTCTCCTTTGGGGGCACTAACTATTGGTTGTTTTAGAGATAGCAATATAGTAATCTGAAATAATAGGAAAAAATGTTTACATTCCCTCTCTCTCAAAAAAAAATCCTATCCTAGTGTCCTTGAGGCATTCCAAACAAGGGAAAAAGGGTTTTAGTATCTTTATAACAAAAAGGAATGGAAAAAAATAATTATACAAAAATGAGGAAAAGACTAAGCAGGCATATGCAGGCAATACAATTGAGAAGTACTGTCTAAAATTTCCAGATTAAGTGGAAAGGCATATTTGAAATAATATTTAGAGTAGAGCAATTATATTGTTAAATTATGTAAAAACAAATAACAATTGGAAGAATCAGTGGAATAATTGTGATTGGTGAAAGGGCTTATCATTTTACAAATTATTACAAAAATGTAATGTGGACGAAAGGGGCCACATGCTGACCTGACAAGCTCAGGGGAGGCCTGCATGGCGGTCTTGCAAACTCAGACCTAAAGTAACCACAAAGGATGGTCTGAAATTACACTTTAACTAAAAGCAGTTATGGTGAGTAGTTACATCCTAGGCCGGTATCTTCACTGACAAGGTCAACCTTTACCTTCACTGAGCCTATCTGTCTTTTTGCATCTATGATAACATACCCTTGAAATGTCTGGGTAACTTGTAACTTCCCTGTAGCTGGACCCCTTGGGGCACAACATAATGTGCTAGGCTCCAGGACGGAGACCACAAATTCCTTCATTGTTATGTTAATTGTTCCTGCACCCACCTAAGTATGTGTCTATCATTTTACTTTTTATCCAATCCCAGGGGTTTCCCTGCTTTGCTTTCTCCCGCCTCTCTAGTCATTCACCAATGGATTTCATGGAACCCACCCAAGTCCCTCCTTTGACTGCAATGTATAAATACAGATGTAACCCGCCATTCTCCAGAGCATTATCTCAATTCATTGAGGTTCTGCTTCCCTGCATATGTCGACAGTTTGGCTCAAATAAACTGGCAAACATTCTTTACAGGTTTCAGTGTTTTTTTACGTTAATAGTAATGATTTTGAAATGCCTAAAATGTATACTTCCTGGTAGGCAGTTAGACATGAGCAGAGCAAGGACGATAGGCCAGAAGGTCACCAGGGTGAAAAGCCCGAGATGCCTAGCAATGGACAATCAGTTGTAGGGTGGAACCTGGCTCTGTGACTTTTCCTCCCCTAGTCACCCCTCCCCCTGCCCCCCTTCCTAGTCTTCCCTCCTTAGAGATGACATTGAGGCTTCAGTAGTATTTTAGCTCCAGAAATAAGCTAAACCAGCCATCGCTGATCTCAGAACCAGCTGCTTTGATTTTGGTTTTTTGTTAATCCTCAGCCAAGGATATTTTTCCATTGATTTTTTTAGAGAGAGGGGAAAGGAGAAGAGACAGAGAGAAACATTGATGTGAGAGAGACCCATCGATTGGTTGCCTCCTGCACATACCCCAACTAGGGACCAGGGCCAGGGAACCTGCAACTGAGGTATGTGCCCTTGACTGGAATCAAACCCCAGACCCTTCAGTCCAAGGGCTGACGCTCTATCCACTGAGCCAGTGCCCTGGTGCCCGCCAATCAGTCAGTGAAGACCACAACCCTAAAAGGACACACTTGGAAAACTGCTTAATATTAACAAAAACAAGAAAAAACGAACAAAATTATTCTATTAAGATCTCCTGGGACCTCCCCTAAAATCTCCACCCTTAAAACCCTTAGGACAGAGGAACCATTGCACTCGCCCTCCTGGGAATACGCCCATGCCTTTCCCTAACCCTCTCCCCCTCCCTGCCCCAGGCATGCTACCATTAGCTTCCTCACTTCCAAGCTCTCAGGGCCCTTCCTTTACCTCCATAACTTGTTTTCTAAGCCCATTTATTCTAGGAACTACTTCTATGTCTGTGATTTACCCAATAAATGTTCTCTTACAGAGCCAAACTGCCTGGGTAATGAGCCTGAGGCCAGGAGGAGTTGGGGAAGGGACAAGCATGGGTGTGCTCCGGGAGGAAGAGCACACTGGGTTGTCCATCCTAAGAATTTTAGAGGAGGTCCCACGGGAAGATTTCAATGAAATATTCAGTAGCTTTCCAGGTTTGTCCATTCAGAGTTGTGGTCTCCACTGATTGTTTGGCCAGCACCAGGGCATGGGGGTCATTATTCCGTGCAGCTGGGCCTGAGGTCAGCCATGGCTGGTTTTGTTTATCTGCACCTGGATGGTAAGAATGTTTGCTTAAATACTACTGCAGCCCCAATGTCATCTCTAAGGAGGAATGGTCCAAACCTCAGGACCAGTGCTGGGGGAGGAAAAGTCACCCTGTGGCCGAGGTCCCACCCTACAAGTGATGGTTCATTGCTAGGCACCTGGGTCTTTCCACCCTGGTGACCTCTGTACCTGGCCCATGGTCCTTGCTCTGCTCATGTCTGTCTAACTGCCTGCAACACTAGTACTGATGTTGCTGAACCCATATTGGTCTGACCCACTGGTCAGACACCTGGTGCCATTCCCACCATCCTGCCGCAGTTGACACCCACCATGTTCCATGGTCTGCCACCTGCTGCCGACACCCACCTTGTTCCGCTTGCACCCCCTGATGGTCAGCGCACGTCATAGCGACAGGTTGTTCAGTTGGTATGCCGTTTGGTTGTTCTGCAGTTCGGTCTATTTGCATATTAGCCTTTTATTATATAGGATTTATTTTTTAAATATATTTTTATTAATCCTACTGTGGATCAAGCCTGAAACCAAAGTACATGCTCTTGACCAGAATCGAACCCAGGACCCTTCAGTTCCCAGGCCGACGCTTTATCCACTGAGCCAAACCAGCTAGGGCAAGAATGTGTTTTAAATAAATAAATAAATCCTCACCCAAGGATAAGTATTTTTTAAACTGATGTTTAGAGAGAGAGAAACAGCATCAATTGGGTGCCCCAACTCGAACCCCAAACCTTTTGGTGCATGGGACAACACTCCCACCAAGCAACTCAGCCAGGCCTGAATTTACTTTTGACAGGTATAGCTAAATCATAGGAGGGCACAGGTCAAACAGTCCCGGGATAATAAGTTGACCCCAGAGATAGGCTAGGAATTCTTACATTCCTCAAATCAGTCCTGAAAGAATAGGTCTGCACTCCCCTAAACAGATTGGTAAAGGAATTTAAAGAAAAGGAAAACTCAAAACTCTAAAAAGGTTTGCACTCTTGGGTTCTTATTTGTTTGCATATTTTTATATAGTTTCAAAATAAATGCTAAATCAATGAATTCTTTTTTATAATAATCTGTTTTGTGCTTACATTGGAAATACCAATAGTAAAATATCTGTAGCAATAAAGTAGTCCTTATCTCCATTACTCAAGTAATGAGTAAACATGCTACCAGGGAGATCACTTGAGGAAATTTACTTTCACTAAATGTAAATTGCTTTTTTATTACTTTCAGTCAATAAACACAAGTGAAAATGATTAATAGTATTTGGTTTGCAAAGTCCATTTTATTCATAGTTTGGTGGTGTTGTTTTTTTAAATTAGTTCACAGATCTGGTATATACAGGCGGTTAAAACTGGTTATCACTTTGATAATCAGAAGCCTCTGGTATAACCATGGTCTTTATGAAAACATATTGTAAAACAGGGAATACATGGTAATCTCTTTGAAAGCAATGGTTGCAAACATCGTGTTTCTAAGAAAATATAATTTTACATATATATTTTAAGCAAGCTATACCTCTTAACATAAATTCAGACAATAGAAGTGTGCAATCATAATGTTTATTTTATAGGAAAAAATGAAAATTATTGTGACCTAAATGCTTTTAAGTAATTTAGAGTCCTCTTGGATTAGATGTAGAGCATAAGATATTTTCCCTAATTTACAACCATCCTGGTCAAAAAGAGCTGAAAAGTTGGTCAATAAGTAGGGTTGTTGTTTTCAAGTGAGTTTAACCTGAATTATTTAGGTACAAATTGTAAAGTGTCCCACTTTCAGCTAATTAGGGAACTGACTAAGCCCATTATTTTGTTTTTAAATGAAAACTTTTAAAGGAATTAAGTTTTTGAATAGACTAGATTGTATAAGAGGATCATTTTTAAAAATCTAACAGGATATAAAAATTATTTTATGAACTCTATAAACATTCTAGTTCCTTAGATTTCTCAAAGAAAGAGAACTTCAGCAGTCACAGGATGGGCTGCCCCACACAAAAGCCGCTAGGGGACAAGACTCGAGTAAGTCGAGACCTCCTAGAGTACAGCCACAGTATATCCAAAAGGGACTATTCACACCAGCATGAATCAATGCACACTCCTCCCCAGAAGGCTTCTCTCTCTCTAGAAACTGGAATGAAGATTACCAACTCATTTTACACAAGAATTATTGGGGTGACATCCTGTAACGGAGGTGCTTAGTGTATATTAGATTGATGAGCTAAAGGGAAAAAATTATCTCATTTTCTCCCCTGAACTCAACTTCTGCTTTCTATGGGGGCACTAGGGCCATGCAGCTCCTTTTCCAAAGGACATAGAGATAAAAAACAAAAAAGCTAGAGAATTTTGAAATTTTTATCTGATTTAATTTTCTCTGAAAAGGAAATTCTACATGATGGTAAGAATGTTTGCTGAAAGAAAACTGACAAGTACAAACTGATTTAAGAGACAGACACTCAAGGTAAATTGTACTGGAAATACAGTAATGAATTTTGGCCTGATAACCCTCATGCTGTCTTATAGCAAAACACTAAAATCCATGCAACAGACAAATTAGTGACATTAGGACTTTTTCTCCAGACTTTCTGGGGGGAAAATAAACTGAAAATATACCAGAGTGCTTTCATAATGAATTATTCTTACTTATGACTGACTTTCTCAAGTTTTGACAGTCATTTCTGATGAGAAATCATCCTTCAATAGAAGACCCAGTAAACATACATGAAGACATCAGGTGTCTTTTGATCTGTCTGCTAGAAGAACTATCAAATAGATTATGTAAAACTACCTCCACAACAATGACAGGTAGAACTGGAACAGGAGTTATCATTAGTATGCTTGTAATAAAATAAAGCTCATTCGGAAACCACAAGGGCTGCTAAGAAGAGCCCATATAAAAGCTACTGGGTTCTCCAGACAATGGACACAGTATACAGAACGTGAGAATATACAGAACTCACACTCATTATAAAAATAGACATGGTTCTCAGACAAAAAAAGCAAATGAGTACAAAAGAATTCTCCAAACACATCTTTATAAAACAACCAAATGTCATCCTAGAGCTCCAATGAGTGAGTAGTCTGTTGAAATGGCAGAAAAGGGAAGATGAACGAGAGACAGACAGGTCAGGAACCCAGAACTGACCTGCCCAACTCTCCTGGTTGGCAGTGTACATTGGTGGTCACAGGCAGACTGCTTTTGGAGGGCAAACATTTCTCTCTCCACCCACCCCCCCTCATGATGGCTGGTTGATAGTGTTTGATGAATGAATGAGAAAACCCAAGTTATTGAGTAATCTCTAGAAATTTAACTATTTTAACTTTACACTTGACAATGTTACACATGAGAAAGGATTCTAGGTCTTTTCACCCAGAATCAGCCCTGCCATTTACAAATCATGCTCCATGCCCCATGGTTTCTATTGTGCCCTAAAGGATCAGCCTAGACTAAATATATGAAAAAATAACTCTGGCCTTGAACTAAAGAAGGGCAGATCAGTAACTCATGCTCAATACTTCATAAACCACAAATACTGAAATTAATGGTCTGTCTCCTTTTAATTGCAAAGGAGATGCCATGAGCTAAAGAAAGTCATGAGAGAAAGTAAGTCAAGAAGATATGGGTAGCAGCACCTTTCCATACCCGCCTGGATTTTTAAGGAGACTTTCACTCCTTATTCCTTTCAAATATAAAATTCATCAGTTGGAAGGGAAAAAAATGGCTCTAAAGTTGAAGAGTCCCCAGAGAAAACTAGCAGTACATGGACTATGCCCTGTGGGCTAAAGGACAAGTTGCAGAACCAGTTAAGACACAAGAGGCAGCCCGAGGTCTTACTTAATTATGGTTTTAGCACAGTATAGCACAAATATGGGCAGCCCTTTTCCCATCCAACTAACAATTCAGTACCATCCATGTCCAATCCAAAAGATTCCTGACGAGTGGCTTTCATCTTTGGTACCACCCCATGAGTTATTCTTGGTTTGTAATAGCTGCAAAGAAGCAAAAAAGCTGGTATCTTTGCCTTGTCTGTGAGTACAATTGCTGGACTCTGATTGCTGCAACCACTGAGGCCAATTGAAATAACACAGCAGAGTGATGCATCCAATTCCCAGGTTCCAGATAGTAGCAGCCATGCCCCTACAGGAGCAAGATCGTCCATCCTATTGGTTAAGGCCTTCGGTTTGTTGTCCTCAGAGTAGAATAAAATACTGTGTTCCCACGGACAAGGAACTCCAGATGAATTCATGGTCTACATTTGGACAGGGATTTTAAGTACCACATACATCAGGCACAGAAATGACTGGCCTGTGGCTGTCACACTTGGAGAAGCTTCTATTTTGGCAGCACAAACTAGAAACTTTGTAGGGTATTCTAGTTTTAGTTCTCGTTCCTGAGTGAAGCAGCCAGGGCATGCCAAGTTCCACCAGCCCAAATCCAATACTTAGAATTAATTCTCCCCATGGTCTTCTTCTACCCAGGCTACAATTTTCCCTTCCCATCCAGGGATGGCATCATCATCATGGAAAACCTGGAGAAAGAAAAAAAGCCGTAATGAAAAAAGAACACTAAGATAGGAAGTCTCACTAAACAACTGCTGCTGATAAAAATGAGACCTCAAATATAAAGGATAAGAAAGCATAGAGGACCTGGCCACCAGTGCTTCTCAGTGGTTAGAGTGTTGACCTGCACACCAAAGGGTCATGGGTTTGATCTCAGTCAAGGGCACGTACCTGGGTTGCAGGTTTGACCCCAAGCCCGGTCGGGATGCATGCGGAGGCAACGAATCGGTGTCTCTCACTTCAATGTCTGTCTGTCTGTTTCCCTCCCTCCCTCCTTCCCTCCCACCCCCCTCTCTAAAAATCCATGGAAAAGATATCCTCAGGTGAGGAATAACAAAAAAAAAAAGTGTAGAGGAAAGCTTTGAGTTTGAGAGTTAGAGTCTATGTCCATTTGGTTTTGTCCCTAAAGTTATAATGGGTAAAAAAAAATTATATATATAACTAGAGGCCTGGTGCACGAGATTCATGCACTCGGGGGCGGGGGGTAGGGGGTGTCCCTCAGCCCAGCCTGCACCCTCTCGCAGTCAGGGAGCTGTCAGTTAGTCAGATATCCTTAGCACTGCTGCGGAGGTGGGAGAGGCTCCCCCACCACCTCTGCTGCGCTCATCAGCCATGAGCCTGGCTTCTGGCTGAGCAGTGCTCCCCCTGTGGGAGCGCACTGACCACCAGGGGGCAGTTCCTGCATTGAGTATCAGCCCCCTGGTGGTCAGTGCACATCATAGCGACCGGTCGTTCCGCTGTTCGGTTGATTTGCATATTAGCCTTTTATTACTTAGTGTTAGTTCCATATGTATAAAATGGTAAGAGCATCCCTAACACTACCTTGCTCACAGAAATGTAAGAATTCATAAATTAGGAGCCATATAGTACATTGGGCTTCTTAGGAGAAAGCAACAGTATAAACATTAAAACAAGAATGGGGGAAAAATTGGTCAGAAAGACCAATCTTTTTTTTAAAATATATTTTATTGATTTTTCACAGAGAGGAAGGGAGAGAGACAGAGAGCCAGAAAGTCACTAATTATACGAGAGATGCAAATCAAAACGACAATGCGTTATCATCTCACACCTGTCAGAATGGCTATCATCAACAAATCAACAAACAACAAGTGTTGGAGAGGATGTGGAGAAAAAGGAACCCTTCTGCACTGCTGGTGGGAATGCAGACTGGTGCAGCCACTGTGGAGAACAGTATGGAGCTACCTCAGAAGACTAAAAATGGAACTCCCATTTGACCCAGTGATCCCACTACTAGGAATATATCCCAAGAAACCAGAAACGCCAATCAGAAAGGATATATGCACCCCTATGTTCATAGCAGCACAATTCACCATAGCTAAGATTTGGAAACAGCCTAAGTGCCCATCGGCAGATGAGTGGATTAGAAAACTGTGGTACATATACACAATGGAATACTATGCTGCGGTAAAAAAAAAGGAACTCTTGCCTTTTCCAACAGCATGGATGGAACTGGAGAGCATTATGCTAAGTGAAATAAGCCAGTCAGAGAAAATTGGTCAGAAAGACCAATCTTTTTTTTAAAATATATTTTATTGATTTTTCACAGAGAGGAAGGGAGAGAGACAGAGAGCCAGAAACATTAATGAGAGAGAAACATCGATCAGCTGCCTCCTGCACATCCCCCACTGGGGAAATGCCCACAACCCAGGTACATGCCCTTGACCGGAATCGAACCTGGGACCCCTCAGTCCGCAGGCCGACGCTCTATCCACTGAGCCAAACCGGTCTCGGCGGAAAGACCAATCTTAACATGTTTGCATGCAGTTCTTTTCACTCATTCATTCGTTCATTCATTCAATTCATTTACTAAGCCACTAATAGAACAGGGTTATTAAAACACTTCAGCGAGGCCCTAGCAAGTTTTGCTCAGTGGATAGAGCATCGGCCTGCAGACTGAAGGGTCCCAGGTTGGATTCCAGTCAAGGACACATGCCCAAGTTGCGGGCTCAACCCCTAGTAGGGGGCATGCAGAAGGCAGCCGATCAATGATTCTCTCTCATCATTGATGTTTCTATCTCTCCCTCTGCCTATCTGAAATCAATAAAAATATATTTTAAAAAACCAAAACGCCCTAGCCGGTTTGGCTCAGTGGCTAGAGCGTCGGCCTGCAGACTCAAGGGTCCCAGGTTCGATTCCGGTCAAGGGCATGTACCTTGGCTGCGGGCACATCCCTAGTGGGGAGTGTGCAGGAGGCAGCTGATTGATGTTTCTCTCTCATCGATGTTTCTGACTCTCTCTATCCCTCTCCCTCCCTCTCTATAAGAAATCAATAAAATATATTAAAAAAAAAAAAAAAAAACCCAAAACATTTCAGTGAGGAACTATTTACAAAATAAAATACTGGCTTTCTCACCCCTCTTCATTCTAAAACTACAATGAAAGCACTTATAATATTCCATAACCTAGAACTCTTTTCCACAAAAAAGTCTATTTTTAGCAGATGGACTATAAAGAGAAGCATAGGCTAAGAAAATAATCAAGGCGTTAAGAGTAAGTACAGTTGACTCTTCAGAAGTTCCTCACTTTCATATCTGAGAAACTACCACCACTATATACACCAGTTCCACATTCTTGCCTATTTATTTTGCTCTACAGAGGAAGCGGAAAGTTTTCTAAGACTTGACTACAGATACAAAAGGGACCCCAACAAGCTTTTGTTCAATCGAAGGTCCTTTATTTTTCTTAAAATAAAAATTCTATACAAGTTTGGTCAAACTAATTAAGTCCTTGAAGTAAAGCAGCTATCAGCTTCTTGGGCCACTCCTTGACCTTGACCTTTTCAGTCTAGAGTAGTCAGACTGGTCGGAGGCTTTGGGACGTTCCTCTGACCTGGTTAGGGAACTCAGGTACTTCTGGATACTAGTCCTTGAGTAGAAGGCTTTGGGGTTAAGGAACGACCAATAATACCACCCAGACTCCCCAGGAACACTGTACCTCCTCTTTAACAGTGCCGAACTCAGGATCCAGCGCTTTGAAGTGATACCGGTGATTCCCTTCTCGGTCAATAGCTGCTTTAAAATCCTTCAATGTCACCTCCCCCAACCTGCAACAAATAGAGCTCTAAAATAGACTGTTTACCAACAGGTTGGAAAGATAAGGCTAGCTTTAAACCCAGGCCCCTGCCAAAGTCTCTTGAGGCAGAAATAGTTTGGTTTTGTTAGGTCACTGCCCCTGATAACCCAGATGATTCTACAGAGCAGAGGTAAGGGAGCCAGTCACCAATAGGGAATAAAAATGGCATTACAAACGGGGTGATCTGACAATTTAAAATAGATTTATTCAGCAACAGCCAAATCACTCTCTTCCTTTTCTCTGGATAAAAGACATAAGGTCTCTGAAATGTAATTTGTTGAACTCCCTTCTAACCCAGACCAAGTAAAAGCAGACTCTTTAAGAAAGAGAAATCCTCACTTTCATATCTGAGAAACTACTTTTCCCAGTAGTTGGTTCCACAGCTTAAATATCTTATTTAACCTTAGAAGGGAGTATATTGGCCCAGTGTTTGCAGTTTCTTTTAATATGATTTCTCAAAAACGGTAGTTGTAGTAATCAAATAGTAACAAAGATCAATGATAGCAATCCATGGCTATCAGCAGGAACTATTTTGAGCACTTAAACTATTTTCCTAACTTGAAGCCTATTTGCATATCAAGATTGGAAGCATAGTTGTTGTGTGTGTGGATGAAAGGGGCCACATGCTGACCTGACAAGCTCAGGGGAGGCCTGCATGGCGGTCTTGCAAACTCAGAGACCTAAAGTCACCACAAAGGATGGTCTGAAATTAAACTTTGACTAAAAGCAGTGATGGTGGGCAGTTACGTCCTAGGCCAGTATCTTCACTGACAAGGTCAACCTTTACCTTAACTGAGCCTATCTGTCTTTTTGCATCTATGATAACATACCCTTGAAATGTCTGGGTAACTTGTGACTTCCCTGTATTTGGACCCCTTGGGGCACAAACTAATGTGCTGGGCGCCAGGACAGAGACCACAAATTCCTTCATCATCATGTTAATTGTTCCTGCACCCACCTAAGTATGTGTCCATCATTTTACTTTTTGTCCAATCCCAGGGGTTTCCCTGCTTTGCTTTATCCCTCCTCCTTAATCTATCACCAGTGAATTTCATGTAACCCACCTACATCCCTCCTTTGATTGGAATGTATAAATACAAATGTAACCCCGCCATTCTCTGGAGCACTATCTCAATTCGTTGAGGTTCTGCTTCCCAGCATATGTCGACCATTTGGCTCAAATAAACTCACCAAAAATTCTTTACAGGTTTCAATGTTTTTTTATGTTAACATGTGTGTGCCTAGCAGATCATGACTTGTCCCTTGTAATGCCCCTGGTAAAACTGAAACTAGAATCTCTATGTCCTGTGCTCTCCTCACCTCACCATACAGCTTCTCAAACACCTCTTAGCTGGTTAGATGGATGGGCAGTAACTAATGATTCTGCCTTCCTGCCCTTTTAAAAAGAGAAATAGATCCAAGAATCTTACCTCTTTGGTATATTGACCATGAAGGGTGTAAGTGACCGGTCAGTGAAATAGAGCACTTTAGTGCAGGTGCTGCTGACAGTTGGAGAGCTCTGTGAGTGAGGCAACGCTGCAATCAGAGAGACTGCGGTCAGAACATTCAACTTGCAACCACCCACCCCTCATTTCCAGGTTTATTAAATGTCCCAGGAGGACGGCAGGGGGGTGGGGAAGAGATTAACCAAAGAATTTATATGCACATATGCATAACTATGGACAGACGGCAAGTGAAGGCCTGGAGGGAGGGAAGGGTAAAGCGGGGGGGAGGGGTTAATGGGGAAAAAGGGGACATCTGTAAAACTTTCAACAATAAAGATAAAATTTTAAAAAAATGTCCCAGGACGATGAAGCTGCCTGAGGTCACAGTACACTCTTCTTTCCACACCCTTGCCAAACACCAAGTCCACAGGGTGTGACCCACAGGAAGTCACCACGAGGGCCACAAAGACAGGAAGTGTTTTGGATATGGACACTACCACAAAGACCATCATTTCTTATCCATTCTAGGTATTTCTAGCAGGGAAATAGCAACTGTTGTGCAGGTATTGTTGCTAAGAGTCAAAAGAGACCAGAGAAGCCAGCCACATTCCAGCTAGGGCAGAATGGACACATAGCAGGAGCTGCAGACACTGCCAACACTCAAATTTTGGAGGTCTGTGGTAGAGAATGCTCATGCAATTCATGAAATGAGAAATGAGTTGGAACAAGAACCACAGGAGCAAAATAACCTTAGAAACTCAGATGCCTAGGGAGCCTCATGCTTCCAGTCTAAGACAATCTACCTTATCCCTTAGCTACAGAGGATCTATATGTGTTGGCCCATGGTTTTTAACTCAGTTCTCTTGATCTACATCTTGTCTCTAGCTTTGTATAGGTACTTACGTAAAATTTTTATTTAGTTTTAAAATAAATTTGTATTTTTTTAGAATTTTTAAAAATTGATTTTAGAGGGGTGGGGGAGAGAGAAACATCAATGTGAGAGAGAAACACTGATTGGTAGGTTCCCTGACCAGAATGAACCGCAACCTGGGTATGTGCCCTGACTGGGAATAGAACCCAATGACAATGACACTTCAACCAACTGACCCACACCAACCAGGACTGGAAACTTTTTTATTAATGAGTACTTGTGATTATGACTTTAAAAGAACAGGAGGAAAGACCAATCAGAAACTCTTATCATAAGGACCAAAAAATAATAAAGTGTCATTAAAATATCTGTCCTGTGCCCTAGCTGGTGTTCAGTGTTTAGAGCATCGGCCGGCACACCAAAGGGTCATGAGTTCGATTCTGGTCAAGGGCACATACCTGGGTTTCAGGTTGGATCCCTGCCCTGGTCAGGGCATGTGTGGGAGACAACTGATTGATGTGTCTCTCTCACGTTGATGCCTGTCCACCCACCCTCTTCCCCTCCCTCTCTTCCACTCTCTCTCAAAAAAAGAAAAAAATCAATGGAAAAATATATCCTCAGGTGAGATTAAAATAAAAAAATCTGTCCTGCAATTCCATCTACATATATTTTCTTCTTAACTTTTTCTAGACATTGATCCCATTCAAACTGGCAGCCACAGGAGAGCATTTCTAGGAAGGGGTTTCAAACAAAGGAGAGTGTGAGGGAAGAATTAATACAGGGGAAGAAAGACAAGGGAACATTCATTCTTTGTATAGCAATCACAGTCAGTTTTCAGAATTTTTCTTCAAAGAATGCCAGTTATTAAAACTATATGCCAACATGCTCCGTGGACTCTAGCACCTAAAACAGTCACTTTAATCACTAAATTTTATTATTGATTGATTGATTCATTCATTCAACAAACATTTATTGTACACTTACCATGTGCTAAATTTCGAGAATATAGAATCAACCATATGTGGTCTCTGACCTCAAAGAGTTTACAGTCTAGTATGGATGACAAATATGGATATAAATAATTACACTGAAATCAGACTTGTGCAAACTGCACAGAAGGACTGAAGATGGAGTGGTTAATTCCACCTGGAAGAGATCAGAAGGCCCCATAAAGCACTTAAAAAAAATCATCAGATAGAGAAGTCGAAAAGGGCATTCCAAGAGGGAAGGATACATGTATGTGCATGGAATGTGATCATGTATTTTAAAAATTAAAAGTTAACTAGTAAGGCTGGACAGATCACAAGGACTCTGCCAGCATAAAACATTTAGATATTAGTCGTAAGCTCTGGGGAGATAATGAAAAAGAGTGACATAATCAGACAGTAGGAAGGCCAATCTAGCAGCAAAGTAAAGTATGAGTTGGATGGGAGAAACTAGAAACCAGTCATCCCATTAACAGGCAATTAAAAACAATCTGAAAGATGAGGAAGGGCAAAATGGAGTCAGAGAAGGAATGGATTTGAGGAACCTTTATCTTTTATTTTTCTAAATATATTTTTATTGATTTCAGGAAGGAAGGGAGAGGGAGAGATAGAAACATCAATGATGTGAGAGAACCATTGATTGGCTGCCTCCTGCACGCCCCCTACTGGGGCTCAAGCATATGCCCTTGATGGGAATCAAACCCAGGGACCCTTCAAATCCGAAGCTCTATCCACTGAACCAAACCGGCTAAGGCAGATTTGAGGGACTTTTAGAAGGGAAAAGTCTTGGTACTTGGGATACAGTTGAATGTTGGGGGTAAAAGGGAAGTACAATCTGGGGGGAAAAGATGCATGGCAGTATTCCACTGTGTAAATGTACCACATCTTCCTTATCCATTCATCCACTAATGTGCACTGGGCTGTTTCCAGATCTTGGCTATTGTAAATAACATGGCAATGAACATAGGGGTGCATGTAATCTTTCTGACTACGTGGCTGTAAAGAAGAAGGAACTCTGTGACAGCTTGGATGGACATGGAGATTATTATGCTAAGCAAAATAAGCCCGTCAGAGAAAGACAAATACCATATGATCTCATATGTGGAATCTAATGAACAAAATAGGACCAGAGCATGGATACATGGAACGGACTGGCAGATCTCAGAGCGGAGGGGGAACGGAAGAGATTAGCCCAAGAACATATATGCATATATGCATAGCCCATGGATGTAGACAATGTGGCGAAGGCTGGGGGGAGGAGGGGTGAAAGAGGGTAGAGGTGGGGGAAACGGAGGACATCTGTAAGTCTGTCAACAATAAAAAAAAAAAAAGATGCATGACAGTACTATTAACTAATATAGGGATAGAGAGGTGAGTTATGTCATACTTTAAAATGTTTATTGGTTGCCTTTATGTATCAAATACTAGAGATGCAAAAATAAATTAGATCCAATCCCCATCTTTAAGGAGCTCAAAGTCTAGTGGGGTGAAATAGCAAAACAATTACAATATAATAAAATGTGAAAATAATATTGCTATGTACTGAATCCTGCCCTTCCCAAATTCATATGTTGAAACCATAAACCCTAGTGTGATGGTATTACAGACAGTATCTTTAAGAATGGATTAAAGTTAAGGGACGTTATAAGAGTGGAGCCCTGACCACATAGAACTGGTGCCTTTATAAGACGAGGAACAGACATCAGAACTCTCTCTCCACCATGTGAGGACACAACAAGAAGGTAGCCATCTGCAAGCCAGGAAGAGAGCTCTCCCTCACCAAAACCTGGCCATGCTGGCACCCTGATTTTAGAGAACTGTGAGAAAATAAACTCCTGTTTTTTAAGTCACTCAGTCCATGGTGTTTTGTTATGGCAGCCCAAGTTAGTACAAATGTTACGTCACATTCTGGGTGAATTTCAAAGAAAGGGGAATCATGAAGTCAAATGCCACACAGAGGCCTAGTAACTAAAAACAGGTTTAGTAACTAGGTCATCGATGACTTAGAGAGCAGTTTCAGTTGATTAGTAAAGAAGACGGAGTTGGATTACAGACTTTCCCCGTGAAAACGAGAGTAATGAGGGAGAGCAAGCCTTACACAACATTAAATCATGTTAAAATAATTGTTACTTCAGTGTGAAATTACTATGAAAAGCATGTACAAAAAGCTCAAATAAAAGACCCCAAAACAAATCTTTGTGTGTGTGTGTGTGTGTGTGTGTGTGTGTGTGTGTGTTAATTTAACACATAACTTTAAAAGGCATCACAAATCAATTTTAGTTTTTAAGTTCATGATCATTTGGAGTTAATTTTTGTATACGGCATAAGGTATGTGTCAAGACTGTTTTTACATGGGTCTGTAATTACTCCAGGACCATGTGTTGAAAAGCCTATCCTTCTGTGTTGTATTTTTTTTTTCTGGTTGGGTAACCTAAACCTTCGTTCCTTTTGCCATTGACTAGCCCTTTCACAGCTACTGAAAATCTACTGGCCAAATATTTCTGACCTATCTGTTTTGTTCCACTAATCTATGTGTCTATGCATTCACCTATACTGTACTAACTTTTTAGGTTTGAAATCAGATAGTGTGGTCATCCAAATACTTTGTTCATCTTTCTCAACTTTTTCTGTACGGCTATTCCTTTTTTTTAAAAAAAATAATTCCTTATTGTTAAAAGTATTACATATGTTACCCCCCCCCCCCCCATTAACCCCCTCCAGCCTGTGTGGCTATTTTAATCCCTTTATTATTCCATATACATTTTAGAATCAGCTTGTTTATATCTACAAAAGGATTTTTATTGGAATATGATTGAAGCTATAAATTATTTGGGGAGAATGGATCATCTTAACAATATTGAGTATTCTAATCAAGAAACATGGTATATCTTCCCATTTCTTTTTATATTCTTTGATTTATTTCATCTGTGTTCTATAGTTTTCTTTTTTAAAATATATTTTTATTGATTTCAGAGAGGATGGGAAAGGGAGGGAGAGATAGAAACATCAATGATGAGAGAGAACCATTAATCAGCTGCCTCCTGCACACCCACAGTGGGGATCGAGCCTGCAATCTGTGCATGTGCCCTGACTAGGAATCAGCCTGTGACCTCCTGGTTCATAGGTCGATGCTCAACCACAGAGCTATGCCAGCTGGGCTGTGTTCTATAGTTTTCAACATAGAAACGTTGCACATATTTTATAAGATTGGTTGGTACCTATGTATTTAATGCTTTTTGGTCCTACTATAAGTGGTACTTAAATTTTTTTTTCTATTTCCAAGTATTCATTGCTAGTATATAGAAGTACAGTTGTGTCCGGTAACCTTGCTAAACTCATTTCTTTTTTCTTTTTTTCACGTCAGACAGGTAATGTGCCAAAGGTGTAACAAGGTTCGTGGGAGGCACATCTCACACAGCAGCATGAATACCCAATCATCACACTTATGAACTACAAAAGGATCCCAAACTCATTTATTTAAAAATATATATATATATATATATATATATATATATATATATATATATATATATATATATAACATATATATATTATTTCAGAGAGAGAGGGAGAAATAGAAATATCAATGAGAGAGAATCATTGATTGGTTGCCTCTCACACACCCCCTACCAGGGATGGAGCCAGCACATGCCCTGACCCATAATCAAACCGTGACCTCCTGGTTCATAGGTTGACGTTCAACCACTGAACTACAGAGGCCGGGCTAATCTCATTTCTTAGTTTTAGTAGCTTTATTATAGATTATTTGGGATATGCCCTATAGACAATCATGTCATACAAACAGAGCAGTTTTGCATCTTCTTTTCAAATCTCTATGCCTTTTCTTTCTTTTCCTGCATCTATGTTCATCAGAGATACTGATTGGAATCAGGGTAAAATAAAATGTGTTAGGAAATGTTGCTTCTCTTATTTTCTGGAAGAGTTGGTATGAAATTGTATTATTTTTTTCTTAAGTGAATCTATCAGACTCTGGAGTTTTCCTTGATGGATGGAACATCTTAAACTACAAATTCAATTTTATTATAACTATAAACCTATTCAGCTTATCTATTTCCTCTTGAGTAAATTTTGGTAGTTTGTGTCTTTCCAGGAATTTATACATTTCATCAAAGTTGTCAAAATTATGGGCATAAAGTTGTTTGTTCCTTAGTATGCGTGTAATATCTGTAAAATCTATAGTGTTGTTCTCTCTTTCATTTCTAATGGTAATTTGTGTCTTTCCTTTTTTTCCTTGGGCAGTCTGGCTATAGTTTTATCCATTTTATTATACTTTTCAAAGGACCAGTTTTCTGTTTGGTTTTGTTCTAATTTTCAGTTTTCAATGTCATGGATTTCTATTCTTATATTTAATAGTTCCTTCCTTCTGCTTCCTTTGGGTTTATTTTACTCTTCTTTTTCATATTTCCCTATTTTAAATGATATCTTAGTATGGTTTTTAAAAAATATACATTTTTATTGATTTCATTTTAAAATATATTTTTTTTATTGATTTCAGAGAGGAAGGGAGAGGAAAAGATAGAAACATCAATGATGAGAAAGAATCATTATCATCTGCCTCCTGCATGTCCCCCACTGAGGAGCCCACAACTCAAGCATGTGCCCTGACTGCAAATCGAACTGTGACCTCCTGCTTCATAGGTCAAGACTCAACCACTGAGCCACGCTGGCCAAGGTTTCATGTTTATTTTTTATTGTTGTTAATATTTTTCCATTGATCTTTTATAAAGAGTGGAAGAGAGAGGGAAGGATAGTGAGAAACATCAATGTGAGAGAAACACATCAATTGGTTGCCTCCTGCATGCAGGAGAAGCCTGCAACCAAGGTATGTGCCCTTGACAGGAATCGAACCCAGACCCTATGGTCTGCAGGCCAACGCTCTAACCACTAAGAAACACTGGCCAGGACATACTTTAGGTTTTGTTTATTATTATTTTCTTAATTGCATATGTGAAATATAAAACTGGTTATGGTTAGCTTTATACTATTTGGTTTTTGAAAATTATTTACATACTTTTAGATTGGGTCTGGGTAAACTATAAAAGATAAGAAAATGTGAATGTTATTAAATCAAAAGGTAAGATACAGAGTAAAATAGAAATTATGAGGCAGGGTAGATTTCCAACATGTTGGAATGAATAGGGGGGGGAAATGTAATGAGTAGGCATAGAGCAGGTAAAAAATAATACCTAGCCATGACCACTAGATGGCGCAACGATTTTGCAGGACTTAAACCAAATGACATAATAAGCAATCAAAGTTTTAAGGAAAATCCCCCCTAAAATCAAGCTTATTGGTGCAAGAAAGAACTGGAATTTTCTGTGCTATTTGGGTTGTAGGATGATTTGTGTGTGTTTTTGTTGTCTTAAATTTTGTTTTATTTGGTATAAATGTTTTAAGCTTATAGTATTTCCCAAAGATATTTTAGCCTTTCTGAGTCAACAGAACAGCACCCTGCACATGGTTAAATGGTACTTGAAGTGATAGGAGTGATGATGATGGTATCTTCATAGTCCTAGAAATAACTCAATACTAACTAGTATTGCTCCAGAAACAACACATTATAAAAGTTAAATTATATAAAAAAATTCGATCCACAAAATACTAACGTCTGATCTAATATTCTAGGAGACCTTACTGAGCAATAATGAGCACTTACTGGAATTAGGGGGCCAGGACTCCCGGTATTCACTACCTGCTTGAGTTCTGGGTGACTTGCCCCGAACCTGGAGAGCCACACAAAAATCACAAGAATTATGATCAACGGCAGAACTTAACCAAGAAATTTAAATTTTAAAAGTGTGCCTAAAATATACTCGTTCTACCATTTGCCTAAAATATACATCTTCTTCCACAGTGTATAAAACTGTACATATTTATTCTAACAATAATAATGCACATTTATAAAAAGCTTTCTAATTTTCAAGCATTTCCCATATATTGCCTCATCTGATGCGAGCTCATTCAGGGGAGAAGGGGAAGGGAAATAAGCAGTAAAGAGAGAGCTATGGGGCCAAGCACCACAATTCCTCCAACAGCTAAACAGTTGCTAGGAGTGAGAGTTATCATGAACTCCCTCCCTGGATTGTCAAACCATGATGAAAAGGAAAACCAAAGAGAAAAGCAACTGCAACCTTCAGCAGGGTCTCATCCTTTAGCACTGCCTTCCTCTAGACTAAAATGGATAAAGTTAAGCTTCGTTGGGAGCTTGCCTAAGAGAAACAGCAGAGAACGAGGATTACCCTTTTTTCTTGCTTCTTCTGGGTCTCCATGACATGCAGGCGCTCCATGAGGCTGGAGATGCCCTGCTCCAGGCTGTCGATGGTGTGGTGCTGAGGGTCGTGGCCGCTGAAGCTGTTGCGCAGGCTGCGGAGAGCATCGCGCACGAGCTGCAGGTCGCTGGTCTGTGGGCGAGAGTGAGGTGCTGCTGGCATGCTGCAGGGTCATGTCATTAACCATATCCTGGCCACTGGGCTTAAGAAGACATAGGGGAGAAATTTCCAGAATAGATCTTTTATTTTTGAGGGAGGAGGTGTGGATTATAGGAAATGGTCCTCCACAGAAGCAGGCCTACTGTTTCCCACCAATTCTTCATTTCGGGTAACAAGTGCCTCAGATCTTTACACACCCAACAGATGCAAGAATAGGGAAGTGGGATACAAAAGGCGAGCCCACTGGTGATGGCTAAGATGCTCTTCTGGTTTCAGCTGGAAGTGGCAGGTCTGCACTCAAATCTTAAGAACTTACCCCTCTAGGAGTGATTGAAGCAGCTCCTTTTCCTGCCGCCGGAGGGAGAAAACCATTGCTTTGAGAGCTGTGACTGTTGTAATTGGTCACCTACAGCAGCAAGAAGAAATGATGCTTGTTGTGAGAGAATTCCAAACCAAGATGTCCTGTCTTACTTTTCTTCTTTACATTCGTCACTTCCTGACACAGTTTATAATTATATAATTATATATCTGTTTCATATCTCTATTAGAATGTACAGGGTTTTTTTCCCCTTTGTTCATCACTGCATCCCCTGTACTTGACCCTTCACAGGCACTGTTGAATGTAGAATAAACAAAAGGGAAACCTCAGCTGGGAAGCCCCCAACCTAGACTCTGCCTGGCCACTGGAGGGCCTGAGAATGCTGCTACAGCACCTCTGGCCTTTGCTTCAGTCATTTAAAAATAAAAACGATGACTAACCTTCCTTCCTTCCTTCCTTCCTTCCTTCCTTCCTTCCTTCCTTCCTTCCTTCCTTCCTTCCTCCCTCCCTCCCTCCCTCCCTCCCTCCCTCCCTCCCTTCCTTCCTTCCTTCCTTCCTTCTTCCTTTCTTTTTGAAATATCTTTTTATTGATTTCAGAGAGAGAGGAAGGGAGAGGGAGAGAGGGATAGAAACAACAATATTAAGAATCATTGATGTCCTAACACAGTGGTTCTTAACCTTCTGGCCCTTTAAATACAGTTCCTCATGTTGTGACCCAACCATAAAATTATTTACGTTGCTACTTCGTAACTGTAATGTTGCTACTGTTATGAATCATAATGTAAATATCTGATATGCAGGATGGTCTTAGGCGACCCCTGTGAAAGGGTCGTTCTACTGCCAAAGGGGTCGGGACCCACAGGTTGAGAACCACTTCCCTAACCGGTTTGGCTCAGTGGATAGAGCCTTGGCCTGCAGACTGAAGGGTCCCAGGTTCGATTCTGGTCAAGGGCATGTACCTTGGTTGCAGGCACATTCCCAGCAAGAGGTGTGCAGGAGGCAGCTGATTGATGTTTCTAACTCTCTATTCCTCTCCTTTCCTCTCTGTAAAAATTCAATAAAACTAAAAACTTAAAAATAAAACTAAAAAAAAAAAAAAAAAGAATCATTGATCAGCTGCCTCCTGCACGCCCCCTACTGGGAATCAAACCAGTAACCCGGGCATGTGCCCTGACTGGGAATTGAACTGTGACCTCCTGGTTCATGGGTCGATGCTCAACTACGGAGCCACACCAACCACGTAATGACTAACTTTTCTTGATCCTGATTCTGAGCCAGGTGGATCTACCAGGACTATGTTTAGTCATCTACCGGGATTATTATTTTTTTTTTAATTTAAACTCTTTATTATTGAAAGTATTATATATGTCTCCTTTTCCCCCCATTGACCTCTCCCCAGACACTCCCACCCCCCATACCTGGGTTATTTTATGTATTCTTCATAATGGCAGAGAGGGCCACTATTATTTCCATTTTCCAGATGAGCCTTATTTCTAAGGTTCAGAAGCAAGTAAATTAAAGTCACACAATGGTCAAAAGTGGTAAAGATGTACCAATGTTACACCAATAAAGTTAATTTTAACAAGTGGTAAAGATGTATCTGAAACCAGATTTTCTTATCCTGGAATCTGTATTCATAACCCCCTCACCAAATAACCTCCTAAAAAACTGACCTGTGGCCTTGGTTCCGTCCTGATTCAGAAACAAAACCCCCCTCTTTGCCCTTGTAAATGTGGGAGGGAGACCCCGAGTTGGAGGTTACCTCATCTGTCTCTCTTTTCATACAGTGAGCCAAAAGGACATCTTTGTGTTCTAGCTCCCGCTCTAGATCCACCTGCAACCAGAGACTAAGTCAGGAAAGCATTTCTTCAGGCCACAGGGACAGGAAAGTCAGTGGCTGAAGATGTCCCCACCTGCTGGTAACTGGCCTCAGAGAGTTTCCGGAGTGCTTCCTCCAGCTTGGCCTGGTGATGCTGAAGCAGGCGGTCCTTCTGCCCCAGCTCCTTCTGCAGTAGAGACAGAGCTTTCAGATGTGGCAAAGTCAAGAACATCGAACAGTTTCCCCCTTGCTGTGCAACTTCCATCGGAGGAAAGCGGAGCCTTGGGGGAACAGTGCTTTCCTCAAGCTACACCCCACACCACACACACCACAGCAGTCTTGCACAGCGCAAAGGATTCTTGGAAGGGTAAGGAGAAAGGGAACTACTGTTTGCAAAAGGACCACTACATGCTATCCATGCTAGTTAGATAGAAAGGTTAGGACTAATCTGAAGTTTCCACACTCCTAATTCTGTGCTCCTTCTCCTAGCCATGCTCTCTACCTTCAGGGTTAGGGTGAGTGAATCAAGGGAACACAGAAAAGGATTTCCTTGCCAAAAGCAAGGATGAGCACAGAGTACTTAAGTGCTCTTTGAACAACAGCAACATGGGCTGTTCATAAGACAAGGTCAGGTGGAAATTATTTCCAAACTGACGTTCATTCTTACTTTATATTCTCCCAAGAGCCGGTTCCTCTCATCTAGCTTCCTCTGCAGATCCACCTGCAAGAAGGGTAAGAAAGAATTAATGGCAGGGAGGTGCTGTCTGCCAAGCCCAGCAGGAAACTAGCTATTCAGTAACCAGGGTTCCTGTGGGAAGCAGAGGGCAGGGCTGCGGTAGAGTCACACAGCTGCTCTGCGTGTCTACACAGACTGTGGACACACAGTGTAGCCTCCGTGTCTCGGTGGCCTCAACGCTGAAGGGCTTGAGGCCAGTGTGTTGGAGGCCCTCCCTTGGGAACAGACGCAAGTCTGACAGGAAATAAAATAACTGCAGACACTGAGAGCAGACAACCTGAAATTGAGAGATCAGGACAGCAGACCTAACGGGACTTCACGCAGGACCCTGTTTTGCTCCTGGGGTTCAGTGAGGTCACAGTTCATTCATTTAACTTACATTCTGGTTGTGCAGCTCGTCTTTGTCCATATTTGCCCGCAGTAGTTCTTGTTTGAGCTGAAGAACAGATGTGTCCTGCTGAGTCAACCTCTGCTGCAAGGCATCCTGGGGGAGAAGCATACTGATTATTGTGGTCCCAATTAATCAGCCAGCCGGTTATTACTAAGTTATTAAACCCCTCACTGCGTATTCAGCATTAGTTCTGGCAGTGCCGGTGGGAGTGACTTCAGTGACCACAGGAGATGAGCAGGGGTTTTCTGCCCCTTCCAGGACAGTGGCACCTAAAGGACAATCCTATCCATTGTCCAGCAAACTACATGAAACCTGATTTTCCTTCACTTGGTACTCACCACTACCCTCTGCGTCATTCCTGACAGTGTGGTGTCCTAGGGCGAGGTCTTGGGGAATAAAAAGGACTTAAATTCAAATGACAAGTTCACCACTTACTTTTGTGACAGTGACGTTGGACGATGCACTCTCCTTTCTCCCCCCTGGCTTTCTCATCTATGTCTTGGGCATGTAAATACTCAGTCTACCTCGCTGCCAACTCCCCATTCCCTAGCAGGCTGGGGCCTGTCTCTGCCTGCCACCCTATTCATCCAGAATCCCTGAGGTCCCTCCACCCCGCCTCCCAGACCCCTGCACCTGCCGGCACTTCCATGCCTAACCTGGACCAGAACTGGGAATATACATAGTTCCATGCTCAGAACTGCTCTTGGACTATGGTTCCTCCTCCCATATCCTAGAACCTTACCAACTTCAGGCTATCCTTCTCTCAGCTTGGACACTCTTGGTTCCTCCCATGCTTAAGAAAAGGTGAGTTATACATGCTTACTTAAAAGGGTCATTCCTCCAACCACTGTGACCTCCAATGGAACTGTGGACTGGGGCTGCATCCCAACGTATTGACCCTGACTTTCCTCTTTACAGACCACAAAGAAACAGTGCGGGCCCTGGAGAAGGTGGGAGCCCATTCCTGAACATGCTGTCTGCCAGGACGGCACGTGGCAAAGGCAGCCTAAGAGGCCCTGGCACCAGCAGCTCAGAGGAACGTTTCCCATGCTCCATGGGAGGAAAAGCGCTTCTGTGGTTAATAATTCTAACCTTGCTTTGGGCCACCTTCCTTACGAGAAACCTCCCCGGGTCCTTTAATATGTTACTATTCACTGTGACTCTTCAAGTCCAGAGGGCAGATCTCAAATGTATTTGACCATGGAACACATTTGTTTCTGAAGTATCTCAAAGGACTCAGGCTCTGAAAACGCTCTAGTCTAGCCCACGAATGGAAGTGCAGGGAAGAGGGGAACACTGTTTTCCACTTCCAGTATTTATACACAGACATGCTCCCACTTGGGTGAAATAACATACATTCAAGGTGATAAGCTATATCACTGGTTGTATGAGCAAGTGATTAAATAATCACATACAGTGGCACACTGTGCAGCCACAAGCAACATGTCAAGCTGTATTTGCTGTATACTATTATTTGAGGGAAAATTATGTATGTACTAGAGGCCTGGTGCACAGATTCGTGCACCAGTGGGGTCCCTTGGCTTGGCCTGCAGGGATCAGGCCAAAACTGGCTCTCCGACATCTGCTGAGGGGTCCCGGATTGCAAGAGGATGGTTCCCAGGTGATGCACCCCAGAATCGGGCTCCCTCCTCTCTGGTTCTGGATGCGTCACCTGAGAACCACAGCTGTCAAGTCACCGCAGCTTGGCAGCTCCTGCATTAAGTGTCTGCCCCCTGGTGGTCAGTGCACATCATAGCTACCAATCGGACGGGAGACCCAGTGCACGAATTTCACCCTTGCGGGGATGTCCGACTGATAGCTTCTGGCTGAGCAGCGCTCCCCCTGTGGGATCGGGCCAAAACTGGCTCTCCGACATACCCCGAGGGGTCCCAGCTTGCAAGAGGGCACAGGCCAGGCCGAGGGATCCAACCAGTGCATGATCAGGGCTGGGAAGAGATGCGGGAGGTTGGCCAGCCAGTGAGGCACCATGGGAGGGTTCCAGGGCATGTCCAGTCCATCTTGCTCAGCCGCGATCAGCTGGATCCCAGCAGCAAGCTAACCTACCAGTTGGAGCGTCTGCCCCCTGGTGGTTAGTGCATGTCACAGTAAGCAGTTGAATGGTCTTAGCACATCATTAGCATATTACACTTTGGCCAACCAGTCAACCGGACACAGCATATCAGACTTTTATTATATAGAATTTGTTGATAATTGGTAAGTTGCCTCCAGGAGAGAGAACTAGGTGACTGGGGGGACAGGGCCAGAAGTCAGGCTTTTCAAGGATTATCTTTTTGTACCTTATTAACTTTAAACCATTTGAATAATATTAACTATTCAAGAACTAAGTAAATAACAATTTTTAAGAGGATATACCTCTTTAGAACAGATAAAAAAATAAAACTGAAGAGAACTGTAGGAATTGATTGTTTACAGATAGAAACAAACAAGGCAGCACAGAGGGAAGTGGCAGCACCAGGGGTCATAACCCCCCAGAAATAAGCCTCAGCAAAACAAAGGTGTATATTCCTTACCACGTCTCACTTCCCATCCACAAAGCTCTCCCTTTCCTAACAGCACAGAGTCTGCCAAAGGCCCTACCATGTATACAAAGAAAGACTAGAGGACCCATCCAGCCTCCTAGCACCTACTCTTACCAGTAGACTACTCGACCTTGTAGATAATTTATTTAAAGATTTAAATATCTTCCTTTTTACCTTTATCCCCTGTAAGTTTCTGGCTTCTTGTTTACATTTCAGCAAGTCCTTCTGCAAACCAAACACAGTTAGATGAGATGGAGCATCTGGGCTGCTTCAGATGCATTACCTCGTTCTGTCAGTAGGAACACAAAACTCAGAAAACCATTCTATGAAAAATTAACTGTCTACTGAGGCAGAAAGGTCTGGTCCAGTGAACAGTGAAAGCTGACCCAGTCCATTCTGCCCTATGGCACCCAGGCTCAACGCCAAGAAAGAAGACACCACACAGTCCCATAGGCTTTCATTCCTACAATTAGCAATCTTCACCCCCAGGAAACGGAATCATAATAATCTAAATCCCTCTCATGAAATATGTGATCCATCTCAATATGCCTACCCCCAATGTCTTCAATGATTATCTTCGTTTCTAATGTTTAGCCAAGGGTCAAACTGCTTCTGATTCTCCAAGAGCATGTTGTTTTTCATGGACCAAACAAAAATAAATTTAGCCCAATAATGCAGTGCCAAGTAATTACCCCTCCTTGACAGTAGGTTAAACATATGTATATGATTATCACTAGGAAAGAGATTGTAGGAGAGGAACACCCATAACTCGGACCCACTCTCTTCTTATTGCATCACATCAAGAGTTTGGAATTAACACATCCGAAATGGAAACGGTTAACCTGGACTCCACAGATGGGCTTCAAAAATTCAAGTCAATGAGTGTGTGTGCATGTGCTCTTGCATATTTCTGGGGAGAGGGTTAATGGTTTTAGGCTATACTTATGGCTCAAAAAAAAGTTAACACATTGCGGACCAGTAGTTTTATTGCTAGCTTTAACCCAGTGGCCAGATAAGTTTTTATTGAATGAGTACAAAAACGTTTTACATAAATGTTAAAGGCACGCTTTAAAATTAAATAACCCATAGCATTTTGAAGTTATTTATTACATGTTCTTACAAGCTAATATCTTTTTAAATTATGATACTTTGTAAAACACTGTGAAGTGAGAATTCTCGTGATTCATCCGCAATGTGTTAAGATCCACTGACCTAAAAGAATTCTGGGAAGTATTTATTTAAAAAGATCTGGACTCTGCCCTAGTCAGTTTGGCTCAGTGGACAGAGTGTCGGCCTGCAGACTGAAGGCTCCTGGCTTCAGTCGGGGTGCATGTGAGAGGCAACTAGTCAATGTGTGTCTCTCACATCAATGTTTCTCTCTCTGTGTCTCCCCGCCTCCCTCCTACTCCCTCTAGAAATGAATGGGAAAATATTCTTGGGTGAGGATTAACAACAACAAAAAGATACTGGACTATATTTGATAATATTATACTGCATATTTGAAAGTTGCTAAGAGAGTAGATCTTAAAAGATATCATCACAAGAAAAAAATTTTAACTATGTGATCATTTCTATATATATACCCACATAATATATATGAAATCAATAAGATGTTTATCTGAAACTAATACGTTTATGTCAATTATAAAAAAGAGCATACTGATAATAGATCCAGTTTTTATTTTATATTAGTTAAAAAAATAATGAAACATTTCAAACATATAAAGGTATAATGGCATAGATGCCTATTACTCATCACTGAGATTAAAAAGATGTTACCTTTTGCCATATATAGAACACATCTCTCTTTCAATCAAAGGCATAATACAGACATAGGTACAGCTAGAGTCATGAGTCTGCATCCCTTACCCCCTCCCTATTACTGTCCTGAAGTTTGAATTTTTTTCAAAGGGTAAATGTGCACGTCCTGACATACCTTTAGGTCCTGATTCTCCTCCACACTCTGATCCAGACGACTTTGGATTATAATCTGAATATAAGGCAAAAAGAGATGGTTAAGTACCTATGCTGTGAAATTTAGAGGCCATTCATTCAATAGATATCTATTGAACACTGACTACTGTGGATACAAAGGATAGAAAACAGTGCCTACTCTCTAGTGGACGCATATGACCAGGGAGATGGAAGCAGATGAATATGGACAGAGTTTATAGTAGAGTAAGTAAGTATGTGTTGGATGCAGGAGGTTGGGCAAAGGCAAAGAGAAATAGCAAGGGATGAAGCTGGAGAGAAAACTAGGGACCAGATCATGAAAGGCCAGAGAGGGCAATGGGGAATCCATGAAACATTTTAGGCGAAGAGATGACAAAATGAGGTTTCCCTTAAAGGTAAATCATTTTTGCTGTTTTATACAAAATGAATCGGGAAGAACAGGAGAGGATTCAGGAAAACTAGTTAGAAGGTCGCTAGAATATTGGATAAAGGCCTGAATTAAAGTAGTGGCTGTGAGAATGGAGAAAACTGAAGATATTTAAAAAGTCAACTGACAAAATTTAGTGACTAATTGGTTATAGAGGGAAGGGTCAGGAAGGATTGAAAAAAATGATATTTAGATTTTTGTTTTGGGTATTTGGCAAGATGGACAGTAAAAACACAATCCAAAAGGACGAGTAGTTTTGGTGGTGGTGAGAGAAGGGAGAGAAAAGCTGTTTAATTTAGGATTCATTGAAATGGAGATGCTGATGGAATACACAAGTGGAGGTAATAACAGGCAATTGCATGTTGCAATATATAAATCTAGAAGTCCACAGAGAAACTGTGCTAGAAATAAATATTTGAGGTGACATCTGAGTCAGGTGGGAGGTGAATGAGGCCATGGGGGCACCTATTACCCAGGGGAAAGCATGAGAAGGAGAGGGCCCTAGGAGCAAGCATTTAAGGCTCAGGCAGAAAAGGCCTCTGAATGTAATGCCCGAGGGTAGGGTCCTGGGACTGTTCTGGCATTAGCATATCTCCAGCACCTTGAAACAGCAACTAGCACAGTCAGCACTCAGTAAGTATTTGCTGGTTGATTGAATGAATGAAAGGAAGAAAAAAAGGAGGGAAAAGTACTCTAAAACAGAAGAGAAAAACCAGGAGAGTTGGAGTTAGGGAAGAGAGGATTTCAAGCAGGTGCAGACAACGGGGTCAAATGCTAAAAACAAATCAAGTACATGAACCAGATCATTTGGTTTTGTCACAAAAGATGGAGCTCACCAGTTGCTCCTCGGGATTGACTCCTGGTTCACAGAGGGCCAAGGGCCTGTCCTGCTCATCTTCGGGCAAGGACCCACTGAGCAGCAAGGCCTGGGTAACCACAAACACAGAAAGAAATGTAACTCCATGAGAGAACTGAGTCTGGGGTTGGTGGGCTCATCCCTTAGTGAAATCACTCTGGGCTTCCTCCAGAAATCCCCTTGGTAATTTGTGACCCCGGTCCTCCAACTGCTCACCGTGGGTCTATCTGGAGTTCCTCTGCTCCAAGGCTCTTTGGCTCCAGAAAACAATCTAAAATAAACATTCCTTTTGGAAGCGGCATTTCAAAACCAGAGCCCCTCAAACTGAATTTTGCCAGCTGGGAAATGAACCAAAAGCAGTGCAGAATTTCCTAGCATATAAAAGCTTATTATAATAAATTAGTTAGAATTTATAGCACTGCCTTGGGTTTGTTAGAATAATTCTGCATTTTTACTCCCCAAGGCAACCTGATAGAACAAGAAGGAAAACATACTTGCAGAGAAATATGGGCATTCATTTCCACTCCCCACACCAGGCTTTGTTTTCATCAGAATAGGGGGGTGGGGTGGGGGCAGATTTACCCTAAAGCTAAGGAAGCTCAAACTCAAGGGCCCCACACCTGTTCTGCCCTCCCAAGTTCCTATATCTAATATTGGATGCGTAATCTGTAATCTTAATCTTTTAAAAAATATATATATTTTATTGATTTCAGAGAGGAAGGGAGAGGGAGAGATAGAAACATCAATGAGAAAGAATCATCGATAGCTGCCTCCTGCATGGGGATTGAGCCCCCCACTAGGGATTGAGTCTGCAACCTGGGAGTCCTCAACCCTAGCATGTGCCCTAACCGGAATCGAACCATGGTCGACACTCAACCACTGAGCCACACCGGCCAGGCTGTAATCTTAAAGATGGCCTCCCAAAATGTGTACTTTTGGATTCACAAAACTTGGATCTACCCCTGCAGGCAGGTATTACAAGACCTACCAGCTGAATGAAAGATTTAAAAATGTGTCCTCGTCTTATATCACGAGCTTTCTTAATCCAGTCAAGAGAAGAGTTACAGAGATGAAATCCTGTTTCAATAAATAGTATAACACAAATTAACCACAAATGTTGGTATATATGAATCCAACCATTGGTTGGTCTACCAAGCACTAATACTAAAAGTTTAGTAAATCAAATTAATTTGGTTATCCCGTAGGATTGTGGCAAGAGGTATGCATAGACAAGTGTAAGAAGCCACAGAGCTGCAGGTATCTAAGGGAGAGCCATGTTACAGAAACACTGACCCTATTGGCAAAGTGCTGGATGGGCTCTAACGAGAGCCTACGAATAAGTCAGAAACCGGGTGTGGCTTAGCACGCAACTTGTTCATCCCTGAAGGAGTTAAAACTCCAGTGGCTGCTGTGAGCCCCATTGTATTCCATAAGGGAACTGAATTCTCATTGTGGTCATGTGGCTGTGATTAAACACCTCTGTTTGCAGAGGATATTAGGATGCTGACTTTCTGCCTATCGATTCTCTTCTTTTTCTGTGTAATCCGCCATCGGGTTTCTTCCAGGCTGAAAAATGCAAACCAAACTGATGAATATCTATGTTCATATAATCACATTATCCTGGGGGAAACCTGGTTGGGTGTAACCCCAAAGTTTTTCAGCGCGCACACACACACACACACACACACACACATCCCATTAATTAAACCATTCCTCAATGGAGTGGCAGAAAATGTTTATCTAAAAGGCAGACATTTAAAATATACAAAGAGCCCAGCCTGTGTAGCTCAGTGGTTCAGCGTCAACCTATGAACCAGGAGATCATGGTTTGATTCCCAGTCAGGGCATATGCCTGGGTTGCCAGCTCAATCCCCATTGTGGGGTGTGCAGGAGGCAGCTGATCAGTGATTCTCTCTCATATTGATATTTCTATCTCTCTCTCCCTCTTCCTTCCACTCTGAAATCAATAAAAATATATTTTTTAAAAATTTAAAACATACAAAGAAAATGGGTGGGAAATCAACAACTCTCCAGGGAGGAATATTTAGGCAGTAAACATTCCTCCAACCCTACTCCGTTCCTGGGGCATACATTATGCAAATATTTTACCAAGCACCAGTCTCCCTTTTTTTAAGGAACCCTTTGTGTCCTCACCCTGTTGCTGGTTGGCTGGCAGCACCGCCTCCGCCGCCAGCCGGCTGCCAGAACCACTCACATAATGTGGGCTTTGTTTATGTCTCCATAAATATTTGACAATTCAAGAGCAGTGCAGTTCCCAGCACAAACAGAAAGGAATATTCCTAGACAATTTCAGGGTCATCAGCACACGACAAGGGCTCCCCCAAATAGAGACAGATGCACAAAGACAGAGGGCTGGGGGGTCATTTCAGGGTAGAAACCAAGTCAAGTGGGTCAGCCGGCCTCTGGGAGATTTCCTGAGCTGGCACTGAAGGTATAGGAAAGACTGAAGGGCTTTGTTGCTCAAAGAAAACCTCTTCTACCTGATGATGAAGCCTTGGCATTCACTCGCAAACGCATTAGGAGCGAGCGGAATCCTTTCGCTAGATTCAGACAGAGACCTTGGTATTACGGGCTCCCGCACCCTTCCTGAAACAGTCCTAGGAGACAATCCCTGACTCTTCAGAGTGCCATTATTTGGGGAAAGCTGCAACTGCACGGCTGTAGCTGCAGCTCGGGCAGGAACCCACCTGTGAGCTGAGAGCCAGAACAAGGGTTTGGTAGGGCTTGATGGCTCCCAGGCTCGTGGAACTCCTGACAACTGTGTTGTAAACAGGAGTCCATCTGGCCCATGTAAGAGCTTTACTCACAGAGAAGGAATTGTCTGCCCTTTGAGTCACACTCCCTCTGTCTAAACTTCCCATTCAACTCTGACCTCACACAAAACTGAGTCAGTTTATTTTCAACTGACACCAGTGACTTAAGAATAATAATCAGTTGGTGCGCGGAAGACAAACGACAAGGGAAGGAGCTACCTGTAATCCTGATATCATTTTCTTGGCTTCCTCCATTTCTTTTTCTAAATGTTCTTGTTGTTCCAACAGCTGTTCTTCCCATGAGGTCTCCAGACAGGTGGTGGGGCTACCTGGTCGCCAGTCTCGGGAAAATGGAGAGTCTGTCTCCCCTACAACACGAAAGGAGGGAGTACAGTCCATGTTGAAGAAAACTGAGAGTCCGGCAGGAAGCGTTCACAGTCCTCGCATTCACAGGTTCAGGTCACTGCCTCCTGAACCTGTCCTCGCTCACAGCCTGGACTCGCCACCAGGTGGGGTTGTGAGACACAAAGAATTGGCTGTTAACTCGGACCCCGGGCTCCAGGGAGCAACACTTCCTCTGTTGGGGAAACACATCCTCTTCAGAACGTTTAGGAAGCAATAAGACCTCCTCTTTGGGAGTCTTGGTGTGGGACATATAGATTTTACTATTAATTCTCTAGAACTGGTTCTCCCGGAGCTTGATTCTGCCAGGTACAAAGAGGGAAGCTGTCAGTGGCCATGAAAACGAAAGTCCTGTTGGTTGCTCCGGAGATTCAGAGACCATTCTGTCATGTAACAGTGTCTCACACAGGAAACGAACCAGTAAAGCATATTTGCACAAATTGTTTAATCTCTCTCTCTCTGGTTTTGTTTTATTTTCCTGCCTTTTAATTTCAAGCTCTTCTAATTTCATTCATAAAAATGAGTATAGTAAGTCGAATCCCTCTGGGTTTCTGTGAAGATTAAATGAGGTAATTTATGCCCAGGGCCATGTGGTGTGGAGCCCAGAGCAAGCACTCCATCAGTGCTCTCCCTCTCCCTCCTCAGGTCCCAGGAGTGTCTGACTCAGTAATATGCTCAGTCGTATTCTTTGATACTAATGCCAGGTTTAGAGAGGGAATAGAATAAGGAAGAAATCAATTCCAGTTTTTCTTCTGAGGGCGTCGGTTGCATTGTGTCCCCTAATAGGCGAATAAAACTCTATCTAAATCACGTGTTTTGCTTCTTCCTGTTTTCCTCTGTGTTTATGTGAGTAAACAGAGAGCAACTGAAACAGAGGAAGAAGTCTAAACAAAGGGAACTCCTCGTGGTCCTTTCTGTAGCCCTCAGACCAAACCTGATGTAGACCTGCTCTCAACTGTACGTTCTCACAGACGCCTCAGCAACTCCTCTATTTTCCTGGCCCTAATTTAAGCAAGAGAAGGACTGAAATTATTTGTGTAACACAGAAATCATAAAATCTATTTATGTGAATAAGGCTTCCGACTGTTCCAAAGTCATTTCCTAATTCATAGGCAGAGGGCCGAGGAACAGCCTGTCTATACTGCTGCAAGATTTTTGACAGCTAGGACATCGGAAGTGACATTCTCTAAGAGGGTAACTACGTTTGTTGGCTCTAAAGCAGTGGTCGGCAAACTCATTAGTCAACAGAGCCAAATATCAACAGTACAACGACTGAAATTTCTTCTGAGAGCCAAATTTTTTAAACTTAAACTATATAGGTAGGTACCTTGTTATTAACTTAATTAGGGTCCTCCTAAGCTGGCCTTTGCTAAAAAAGTCCTGAATCAAATTGAGGTACGTTCACTGAGGTCGACCCCTTCCAACTCTCCCATCCACACTCGTCTTGTATACTTGTTTCGTCTATCTCCTTTCCGAAAACCGACTTCTGCGCATGGGCCAGGAAGTTTCAATCGCACTGTACGTGGGCGCACCCGCACGTGGTATTTTGTGGAAGAGCCACACTCAAGGGGTCAAAGAGCCGCATGTGGCTCGTGAGCCGCGGTTTGCCGACCACTGCCCTAAAGCATTAGAGCCCTGCAGAGCTGAGCCTGCAGACACGGACTATGGAGAGGCACAAGGATCCCCAAGCTCTTCAAGCTGAGAGCTATTCCTGAGCCAACCCAAGCACCCAAGAAATAGTACCTGTCCTGTTCTCTACTCCTTCGGAGGGAATAATCACAAACTCTGCCTTCTCCTCCGACTGGGTGATAATGGATTCGCTCTTTGCACTGTGGATAGGACTGGGCGAAGTCAGGCTGTGATAAAAGGAAGAGAAACAATTATTATGAACAGTTGTTTAGAAGCCAACTTTCATTAATTAATCCCAGATACATGTTTTTTTAAAGTTTTTCTTATATATATATTTGTGTGCGTGTGCGTGTGTGTGCGTGTGTGTGTATTTCAAAGAGGAAGGGAGAGAGATAGAAAATCAATGATGAGAGAGAATTATCAATCAGCTGCCTTCTGCATGCACCCTACTGGGGATGGAGCCTGCAACCCAGGAGTATGCCGTTGCCCGGAATTGAACCCGGTACCCTTCAGTCTGCAGGCTGACACTGTATCCACTGAGCCAAACCAGCTAGGGCCCAGAGACATGTTCTTATCCATCTTACTCCTACTGCCTAACACAGTACCTGGCCCACAGTAAGAACAAATATTTGTTGAATGAATAAATGACCCAGTTCTAGGACATCTTTTACACAACAAGGTTGCCTTGAAGTGTAATTCACTGAGAAGAAATTTACCAGAATTGGTAATCTAGCATTTTAAAGAGCTTCTGGTTTTTGTGTGTGTGTGTGTGTGTGTTGTTTCTTTTTAGTCCTTACCCAAGGATATGTTTTTATTGATTTTAGAGAGAGGAAGGGAGAGTGAGAGAAACATTGATGTGAGAAACAGCTATTAGTTGCCTCTCATATGCATCCCAACTGGGATTGAACCCCCAATCTAGGTATGTGCCCTGACTGGGAATCAAACCCACAACCTTTTTGTGTACGGCTGATGCTCAACCAACTGAGCCACCTGGCCAGGGAAAGTTTTGTTTTGTTTTTACTCACTACCATTACCATCCTGGGCCCAAGTTTGTAGACTAATATAGTATGTGTTTTACTATCTTTGAATACTTGAAGGAAAATCTGTTTCCAATATACTGATCCTTCATACACACAAGCAATACCAGCAGAGTAATCACAGCAAATCAGCTCTGGGCTGATGCCAAAGGAGAGGAAAGAGTGGAAGGTGCCTCAGCAGGGAAAAAGTGCTGGGGTGTGGACAGCACCAGGATGGACAAAGGAGCAGTGATATATCAATGAAGCTAGGACATGATAAGGAAAAGGGTAACAGGTCAAAAGAGGAACACCTGCTTGGGCATGGTAAAGGTTTACTTGACTTACTCCCAGAGTTACTTATAAGTCTGCCACACTAGTTTCAAACTGTCATGAACAACTCGCAACAATTCTTAAGTTCTGATATAGTTACTGGCCTTGAAAGGAACTGTTCAGATTTGGGGGGAAATGGAATTTTAAATCTCCAGAAGAACAGCAAAGCTATGACAAGCCGGGGATGTGAGGCTGAAGCTCGCAGCTGCAGAGCCCGTTTCTCTGCATTGCACCTTGAGCACATGGGCACCGAAACACTGTCAGGGGCTATGGGGGCTGCAGGCCTAGCCCCCTCTCAGGAATTCTTTCCAGATCCATCACCTAGACAACAGGGACAGAGTCTAGGATTCACTGACCCACTTAACAGGCCCCTGACGTCTCCCAAGCTAATCCTCACAGCCACGAGCAGGAGTTAACATTTCTTCTTTCTAGAAACCAGTAAAAACAAGAGGCAAGCACAGAGCAGGTGCCTAGAGAATTCAGAGCCCCTGAAGCAACCTGAGGACTAGGTTCTCATCCTCCTCATGGTCCAAAGTTTAAAGGCTTCAGTGGGAATGCCCTCAACCAGTAATACATTCTCATCCTCATTAGAACACACAAAAAAATTTAAAGTTGTTGCTTCTTCAACTTAAAGAAAGGAACTTAACCAGACCTATAGATCTATAACCCAAACAAGCAAGGGGGGTGAAGAGTGGCAAGATGTGGTATTTAGAAAAGGTAATTGTGCCCTCGCCGGTTTGGCTCAGTGGATAAAGCATCAGCCTGTGGACCAAAGGGTCCCAGGTTTGATTCCAGTCAAAGGCAGGAACCTCGGTTGCAGACTCCTCCCCAGTGCAGGCCCTGTCCGGGGCTCCTGCAGGTGGCAACCAATCAATGTGTTTCTCTCACATCGATGTTTCTCTCTGTCTTTCCCTCTCTCTTCCACTCTCTCTAAAAGATCAATGGAAAAATATCCTCGGGTGATGATTTAAAAATAAATAAATAAAGTGTAATTTTAAAAAAAGAGAGTGAAATTTCTTTTAAAAAAAAAGATAGATAGAAAGGTAATTGCTTTATAGAATTCTCTTATCCACCTTTCACTACTTAGGCAATCTTGATTTCCAGGCCAACATGCATTAGCTGCTGGAAAAGCGCTAGTCTAGGGGGACTATCCATAATAATAAAAGTGTAATATACTAATTAGACCGGACAGCCGAAGGATCTCCCGGATGACTTTCTGGACAAAGCCGAGGCTACGAGGGCCGAGCCCCTTGCACAAATTTCATGCATCGGGCCACTAATGTTATTTATAAAGAAACAGATTTAAGCCCTAGCTGGTTTGGCTCAGTGGATAGAGAGCCAGCCTGTGGACTAAAGGGTCCCGGGTTCAATTCCAGTCAAGGGCACATGCCCGGGGTTGCTGGCTCAATCCCCACTAGAGGGTGTCCAGGAGGCAGCCAATCAATGATTCTCTCTCATCATTGATGTTTCTATCTCTCTCTCCCTCTCTGAAATAAATAAAAATATATATATTTTAAAAAGAAACAGATTTATGACTGCTCAGGCCTCAGCATTCGCCTTCCTATAGCAATTGGGATCCATGTGCCGAAAGAGGCCTGAAACAGCTGCTCCTCTTTGAGAAGGAAGACACTTCCTCAGCTGACAAGGTGCTGTGGTTGACATGTCCCACCGGCTGCATTTGGATGGACCACGGTGGGTAATGTGTGAGACGAGGGTGGGCTGGGAGGGTGGTGTGAACCAGGACACTGGAAAACTGCTTTCCTAAAAGCAGTGACGCATGCTCAGCTCCACCTTCTCGCTCCTGAGTGAGCTGTCTCCCACATAAGGGCAGAAGGAGGCGGATGTCTGCATATCCAACCCCACTGGGGGAGTGGCCGAGCAGCCAGAAGAAAACAACATTTTTCTTTCTTGAATTGAGGCTGCCAGTGTGTGAGGCCAGAGAGCTAAGACCATGGTACTGGACGGCCAAGTTAAATGAGAAAGGACTGAGGAAGAAAAATCCTGAGGCCAGAAGAACCTCATGAATGAGGATAGTGCATTAGGTCCTCTGCCTCAAGCCAGAGGAAAGTATTTTCACACTAATTACATGCTGTAGGCTTTGAAGCCCTATTTCATAAGCAAGTAATCCCCTACCTGCCATCATAATCCTCTCAAATCAGGGAACAAGTGATTACAAATCAGGTCCCACCGATACACTTAATCCCCACAGGTTTAACGTCCCTCCAACCTTAATGTATCAGAAAGGGCCATAAGAAAGAGCCACAGGAAAAGGCGTCCTGTTCCCCCTGAAGTGCCTTCGGTGAGCAGAGACAAGACAGGGTAAAGGGCCACTTCTTCCCCCACGCTGGCCCAGCGCCCTCACCGCTGCACGTTATGGTGATAATCCCAGCGCCCTCACCGCTGCATGTTATGGTGATAATCCCGGGCCAGCAGCCCGTTCTCCCCATACAGCGCCCCCACCATCCGCGTCCATCTCTGGCCACCGGCACCCTCCCGCCGGGCTCTGCTCCCCACCCCCCACCCCCACCCCCAGCCCAAGTGGCCTCAGCTCACCATTTGACTTGCGTCCCTCCCATGGTCCCCTCCGGCTCCGGGCTCAGCGAGCCTGCTCGCCTGGGTGAAGCGGGGGGCTGAGCGTCACAGCGCCCCCCGATCCGGGCATGCCTCCCCGAGCGGGGGCAGGCCGACTCCCCGAGCCGCCGGCCGATCGCGGGAGAGACGGGGGAGGGCGGAGAGGCCGGCGTCCCGGCCCCGGGGACCGGGATGCTCCGGGGCTGCGGCGCGCGGTCGGTCCCGGCAGCTCAGACGCGGCCGCAGCCGGGGCTGGGCGGGACCGCCTCCCCTCGCAGGCTGCGGGCACCGGCGGCCGCATGGCTGGCTCCGCGGCCGCGCGGCTGGGGGCATGCCCGGGGCGCGGGCATCTCAGCCCATCTCCGGCCGGAGACGCTCCGCGGCTCGGGCAGCGCGGCCGGCCGAGTCCCGGGCAGCGGCGGGCGGGCGGGGACCCCGGCTTCGCAGCGCCTCCCCGCCCCTCCCGGCCCCGCCCTGCCGCCCTCCCCAGGCGGCCACCCGCGGCCAGGCAGCGCCGGCTCGGACCCAGGCAGGGGGGGGGGCGCGGGGGGGGAGCACCCGCCGGGCAGGGAGGGGCCGCCGGCGGGCAGGATCCCCAGGGGGCTGGCCCTGGCCCTGAGAACCCCCGATCTGTACACGTTGCCTTCTCCACCCTGAGCCCCCCCTCCGTGGAAGCGGAGGTCGGGGTAGGTAGAAGCCCGCCTCGGAGGGTGCGGTCTCTCCGGAAACCGAGGACGCCCATCTCTCCCGCCTTCCCTCCCTGCGTTTCCGAGTGTGCTCTGCCCACGAGGGGTCGTTTTGCCGGGACACGGGGAGAGGCTGGACTGAGGTCTGGGAAGCACTAGGCGGCAGGGTGTCCCCCGAGGAGGGGGTGGGGGGGCAGGGGATTGGACACTGAGGGCTCTTTCCAATCTTAACCTCCGGTTCCGAGTCCCATCCCGGGGTCTCCTGGCTTTCGTGGTCACTGAGCCATGAGATGGGCTCCCCCGAGCAAGGGTGGAGGGAGGGAGCAGACTGTGCCCAAGCCCGCTGGGTCCCAGGGAGCACGCCGAGGAAAAGGCAGGGTGCTGATTGAACACCCTGACAAGGCGAGTGAGAGGTCAGCTTAGCGGTTCTCAACCTGTGGGTCGCGACCATCGGAAAACACATATAGCATATCAGATATTTACATTATGATTCATAACAGTAGCAAAATTAGTTATGAAGTAGCAACGAAAATAATTTTATGGTTGGGGGTCACCACAACATGAGGAACTGTATTTAAACGGCCGCGGCATTAGGAAGGTTGAGAACCACTGGAAGGAGTCCAAGACAGAAAGCGGAATGCAAACTGTTCTCTGAGCCCCTCCAAGAAAACTGTCCCATCAGCCACTGCAGTGGGATTTCCAGTGGGTCACTAACTCCCACTCCCACAGTGGCTGCCCCAGTCTGAGTCCTGCCAGAGGGGAAGGAAGCAGGTGATCTCAGGAAGAAATAGAGGCTCCCCCTGACCTCCACCCGCCCCGCCCCCAGGCGCTGCCAGGCACTATCAGGCACAAAGGCCTGTGGCCATGCAGGAAGCAATAGATCTCATTATACAACGAAACATCCTTTGACTCTGTACCAAGTGACCGTCTAAGAAGCAAGCAAGGAAGAAATGCTTTGGATTCTCACTAAAAGCACATCTATTGCTTCATGGGTACAGGGTTTCCTTTTGGGGTGATGAAAATGTCTTCAAACTGGATAGAGGTGATGGTTGCAAACATTATGAAAGTACTAAATGCCACTGAATTGTACACTTTAAAATGATTCACGATTGCTGGGCCTGAGCGGCTCAGTTGGCTGAGCATCATCCTGTGCACCGAAAACTTACAGGCCTTACGGAGGAAGGCAACAGATGGACGTTTCTCTGTCACATTGATGTTTTCTTCTCCCTCCCCCCCCAACCTTGTCCCCCACCCCCCGCCTTCCTCTCTTGAAGCATGTCCTCGGGTAATGATTTTTAAGAAGTAAAATGATTAATGGTTAATTTTATGTTTTGTGAATTTTATACATAAGAAAGCACATCTATTAAATGTGAACACTAAAGTTGAGCAAGGTTACCAGAATATTAAAACGGGGAAAGAATTGCATGTGACCTCCATAGACTAGGAAATGGTCCATCAAACTAAGATGGGATATTATGAGAAAAAGAAATAAGAGGAAAAACACCAAAGACACATAAAATACTTAAAGACAAAGAGCAATTAGGCTTAACTAGAACAGCTTAAGCTGGATTGAGATAGGAGACAAAAAAGGTCAAAAGATGATAAATTAAACATGATTCAGCAATGAAATGAAGTTGGTAAATAAGCTAACATGATCTGGGGATGTGTTCATAGGAGCATGATTTACATAAGCCAGGAAAGTAGTCTTTTCCTGCCACTATACTTGGCATTGATCAGGCTTTTCTGAGAGCACTGTGTCCTGTTTTGGTCTCCACACTTGGCTCTATGGTATACGGGCAGCCTTTCAGCTACAGTCACATATGTATTCTAATCATTAGCCCACTCAAATATGTACTAATCTGCCACAATTCCCAGCCCTATAAGTGAAAGTCGGAAACATTCTAATGCTCTAAGTCAGTGGTTCTCAACCTTCCCAATGCCGCGACCCTTTAATACAGTTCCTCATATTGTGGTGACCCCCAACCATAAAATTATTTTCATTGCTACTTCATAACTGTAATGTTGCTACTGTTATGAATCATAATGTAAATATCTGATATGCAGGATGTATTTTCATTGTTACAAATTGAACATAATTAAAGCATAGTGATTAATCACAAAAACAATATGTAATTATATAATGTGTTTTTCTTTTTTTTAAAATATATTTTATTGATTTTTTACAGAGAGGAAGGAAGAGGGATAGAGAGTTAGAAACATCGATGAGAGAGTAACATCGATCAGTTGCCTCCTGCACACCCCCTTCTGGGGATGTGCCTGCAAACAAGGTACATGCCCTTGACCAGAATTGAACCTGGGACCCTTGAGTCTGCAGACCGATGCTCTATACACTGAGCCAAACTGGTTACGGCTATATATGTGTTTTTCGATGGTCTTAGGTGACCCCTGTGAAAGGGTCGTTCGACCCCCAAAGGGGTCGCGACCCACAGGTTGAGAACCGCTGCTCTAAGACAACTCTGCTCACTTTCTCTTGCTATGAGCTTGATACAGCCCCCTCAGGCCATAACTTAGTTACACCCAGGCAATAAGCCAATGCAATGGAATTGGTTCTCATAAACACTGGCAGCTGATATACACCATCCGAACATCCAGGCTGGACCATGGCAGGTCCCAGGCACTGGCACTGTGGCTCTGCACAAAGCTTCCCCAGGTGGGAAATTCACAGCATCCCACCCTCCCCTCCTGCCAGCACAAAACCACAAGGCAGTGCTGAGGGCTACCCCTTTAAGGCCAAACATAATCAGAGGGAAAGAGAACGGGTTGAGGTGCCTCACGGCCTGCTGTGCTGCTACTTGAGGCTAAGAACCCCAAGACTCCTCAAGAATTCAGCTTTGAGCTAGGACTGCAGCGGTAAAGAATCTGAGGCCACGGTTACCTGGAGCAGCTGGACTCCGACGGGGACCGTTGCTGCCCTTCGTACTGCTGCACCAGAGCTCGCACGCTCCAGTATGGGTTCTCGATCTCCTCGTCCGTGCTGCTGTTCCTAAAGCCAGGGGACACCAGCAAAGGAGCAGGGTCAGTCCTTCACGTCCACTCAACAAGTACTGACGGTGGCCCTCTCATGAGCACTACAGGAAAGATGAATAAGGCAAAACCCCTGCCTCAGAGACACTTGAAACCTAACAGGGAAGATGGGTACAAACGCGCACAACTTCACCAATCGTTGCGACACCTCGGGGTCATGCTTAGCACACACACAACCACCAAAGCATTTCCTGCCGTGCCTCCTGCCTCCGGGGGCAGCTTGGCCTTCAGGATACATTCCAGGGAGAGACTCCCACAGACACTGCTCCCAGTGAAGGAAACACACGGTGCCAACGGCATCTCTTCACAGTTCTGGGCACCAGAGCAACAGATTACCTATGTCATTCAACCACTTTGCTGACTGCGAATAGAGCTCTTCAAAAGGAAGGGCTTTTCTTGTTCAAAGTGCTCTTTTCTGCAGTGTGGGGCTGTTTGGGTGATATTTTTATCTACTGCAGATAAGCATTTAAGGGAAAATATCAAAGACAGTCCAGTTTCCATGCCCAGATGCCCACCCTTACCTCTGTCTGTATCGAAAGACGTCCCGTCCTGACCGTGACATGTCGTGACACACATCAGCCAGAGCAGCAGCTGCTCCCTGGGCCACGGCCGTGGCACAGTGTGGCTGGTGACTCTGCAGAGGGGCTCTTAAGTCCCGTCCTTGGCTGACTGTCCTGCCAGAGCTGGGTTTGAAGTGAGCTGCCAAGGCAAGGACCAGCCGCATGATAGACTTCAGGTTTCCTTCCACAATATCTGGGGGACAGAAGAGACCGAGAGGCCCTCAGAGGGAGGGAGGGGGCTGAGGACTCATTCACTAAATACGCACTTGCTAGGGATGCAGGTGAGCGAGGCAGTCAAACTCTCTGTCCTCACAGAGCCGTGTTCCACAGGGACACAGAAGACGTAAAAGCAATGACAATGAAGTACAGTAACATGTCATGATAGGAGAGGTACAGGATTCTTCGGGGGCTCCGAGTGGAAGCATCGTGCCTAGTCTAGAGGGCTCAGGATTCCCGCAGGAAGTGAGCTCTAAGCTGAGACTTGGTTGATGAGTAGTGATCCATCAGATGGAGGAGAAGAGGGAGCAGCAAGCATGAAGTCTAGAGGCAAGAGAAAGCATGACATACTAGAGCCTCGCTGTCTGGTGTGGGAGCCGCTGGCTACACTGAGCACGTAAACGGTAGCTATAGTCTGAACTGAAATGCGCTGCAAGTGTAGTATTTACTTAGCACACGCACACCCAAAAAGAGAATGCAAAATAGCTCCTTAGATGTAGTACAAAAAATAGAATGTAATAGTTTACATTTTGAAATATTTTGGATATATGAGTTAAATTTTTTATTCAAACTGGTTTCACACTTTTTTCTTTTGTTTAATGTGGCTATTAGAAACTTTTACGTTACACATGTGACTCACATTATACTTCTACTAGAGGCCCAGTGCACAAAATTTGTGTGTGTGGGGGGTCCCCTCAGCCCAGCCTGTACCATCTCCAATCCAGGACCCTTGGCTCCTAACCGCTCACCGCCTACCTGATCATCCCTCACTGTTTCCATGCCCAGTTTCCATGCCCAGATGCCTACCCTTACCTCTGTTTGTATCGAAAGACATCCCGTCCTGACCGTGACATGTCATGACACACATCAGCCAGACCAGCAGCTGGTGACCTGGTCACCCCAACTCCTCCCCTGCCGGCCTGATCGCCCCCAACTGCCCCCCCCTCCGCCAGTCTGGTTGCCCCCAACTACCCCCCCCTGCTAGCCTGCTGGTTGCCCCACACAGCCTGCTGCTCAGTCATTTGGTCGCCCCTCACTAACCCCCCTGCCGGCAGGGTCGCCCCACGCAGCCTGTTTGGTCATCTGTTCAGTTGCGATGGTTGCTTAGGCTTTTATATAGATAGATGGCACAGCTCTGCGGTGGAGGAGCTGAAAGAAGTCTAGCAGAGCTAGAACTCAGAGCACAGCAGGAGAGGGTGAAAGCTGAGGGATGAATCAGAGGTCAGGTCAGGAAGGGCACGATAGGCCATAGGAAGGACTGCGGGTTTTATCCTAAGGACCCTCTGATCAGAGGACTGCCGGAGCATATGTACTCATGGTAAGATCATTCTGGCAGCAACGTGGAGAGCAGATGGGAGGAGGACAAACATCCATGCGGTGGGACTAAGCAGGAAGCCAGGCAAAAGAATATGAGGTCCTGAGGGGCAGTGTTCCCTAAAAATAGTTGACTTTAATGGGCCAGATCCCCAAGCCCACTCCTAATGGGGACCAGATGAGAGAGATTATCGCATTCTAAATTTGCCCTAGAAAAGAAAAAGGAATGCAGGCAGAAAAAATGTGATAGGTCTGGTGAAAGTTAATGTAAGGGAATTAGTAAAATTCTTTTTTTTTTTTTTTTTTTTTAGTTGCATAGCCTTTTAGATATGCAAGGTTTTGAAAGGATTGATTGATACCTTCTACAGGGTGCTCTCAATGGTCAGCATCTACCCTTCCTGAATGACCCCAACACAGAGAACATCAGTAATAGAAACATGACAGGAGTGCCCCCTCTTGCCCCCATTCTCACCAGAGTCACAGGTAACCAGGCCCAGAAACTGAGGCTGAAACAGAACCGGATTACAGTCAGTTCTAGAGAGATGGCGAGAGGACTGGGGGGCCTGTGCTTTCCGAAGACACCTACACCCTTCCATCCTTGCAGCCTGGGCTCAAGGGGACTGAGAAGTGTCCCCTTCTGGCCGTGTGGCTACAGGAGAGGGCATGTGCTGAGGTCACAGAGCCCCTTCATCCTACCAGGAATAGTCTGTGATGTAAAAAAAAAAAATGCTAGAAAATATTTTCCATCTGGAAAACTGGATGGAAAAAAATGTAGGCTACTATGATGTGAAATAATTATTGGTCATGAAACTGTAGGAACTTCAAAAACATAATCTAGCCTCATTTTTATTACTTTAAACGAGAAATTCTAAAATCAATATCCCAATTTTGTAATTTCTTCTCTATTAATTGTCTTACACACAGTCAGGCAAACCTTTATTTAATTAAAATGAATAGAAAACTTCTATCTTCACCCAGGTTTCCAAAGCAGTCAAATTTTGATAATCACTCTGTCCCAGTAACTTTCTTTACGGGAAAATGACATGAGGTCATGGGGCTAATCCTCCTCCGGTCTATCGGATCCCTTGACTACACACTGAGCAATTGCCAGTAAAGATGAGTGTACTCGTCCACCAAGAACGTGAAGAGGCACTGACCTTTAGCTGAAGTCTGGTGCATACGAATCTTTTTGGAGGCCACAAACTGTAGCACCTTCTCCACATTATTCTTCATCTCCTGTTGGTTTCTAGGACTCAGCTGTACCCCACTCAGCTTTTCTCCTGCTGTTAGAAGACAGAAAATATATGAAGTTATAAGGAGAAATAATATCAAAGTCTCATATATCCAGATATAGAGAAAGGGAATATTTGATGTAAAAAGTAAGATTATATATAAATATACAAGTGAATTAAGCCTTAGTGTTTGTAATTTGGAATGGGGAGTAGAAAAATTAAAATCTTTTAGATGGCCTGCAAATTTTTTTAAAAAATATATTTTTATTGATTTCAGAGAGGAAGGGAGAGGGAGAGAGAGAGAGAGAGAGAAACATCAATGATGAGAATGATTGACTGGCTGCCTCCTGCATGCCCCCCAGTGGGAATCAAGCCCCCCTGCAACCCAGGCATGTGCCCTGACCAGGAATTGAACTGTGATCTTGTGGTTCATAGGTTGACATTCAACCACTGAGCCACACTAGCCGGGCTGGTTTATGTTTTTAAAAGTTGACTCTGGGTAGACATAGATTATACAGAAAGGAAACAGGGAGATTAGTTAGAAAGAAAATGAAAAGACAAGGCAAGAGATAATGTTTTAGGCTAGAGTGAAAGAGGCTACCGGGTGAAAAGTCAAATAGTGGGTAAACTTTTACTGTAAAGCAGACAGCACATGCAAAGGACTGGATATGATACATGGGGAAAAGAGAATAATCAAGGAAAACTTCTAAGTGTCCTGCTTCAAGAGCTGGATGAAAGGCACTGTGATATGTTGCTTAGATCAAGAAACCTGGAGGATAAAGGGATTAGTGGGGAGAAGGAAATCAGTTCTGATTAGGACATGTGAAGTCAGAGTTGCATTTTGGACATTCAAATAGAGATGCTGAATAGGGAGTTGATATTCATGTCTAGAACTCAAGGAAAAGTTCAGGACTAAAGATATATATTGGAAAGAGACCACTTAGGGATAGAGAATATCCAAGGGCTAAGGAGAACTTCAACAACACTCAGAGGTTAGGAAGAAGGAGAAGAGCCAGCAAAGCAAACAGGGAGCCAGTGAGGAAGGAGGAAAACGAAGTCCACAGGGTCCTGGGAACAAGTAAAGCAAACGTGTAGTTGCCTTCTTATTCTGTTGATGGTTTCTTTTGTTGTGCAGAAGCTTTGTAGTTTGATGTAGTCCCATTCATTCTGATGGATGACTGGATAAAGAAGATGTGATACATATATGCAATGGAATACTACTCATGCATAAAAAAATGAAATACTGCCATTTGCAACAACATGGATGGATCTTGAGAGTATTATGCCAAGTGAAATAAGTCAGGAGGAAAGGGACAAGAATTGTGTGATATCAGTCATTTGTGGAATATAAAACAAAAAGCAACAAACAAAACAAGCTTACAGATACAGACAACAGAATGGTGGTCACCAGAGGGGAAGCGGGGTTCGGGAGGATGGAGAAGGTAAAGGAGGTCAAATACGTGGTGATGCAAGGAGACGAGACTTCAGGTGGTAGACACACTATCTGTGCCTGGAAAGCTCCTGGAGAGGAGAGAGGGCGCAGCGTGCCCTCAAGGCTTTCTGTTGGGACAGGCGAGTACTGGGCCTGGGCCCACTGATGCCCCTCTTTCCTTTCCTTTCCAAGGTATATACCTTGAACTTACATAATGTTATTATTAACCAATGTCACCCCCCAAAAATAATTTTTTTAAGTGTTTGAAGGAGGAAGGAGTGATCAACTGTGTGAAGTTCTTTTAAATGGAATAAAATGAGAGCTGAGGCCTGGCACTGGATTTCACAAGGCAGAGGTTGCGACCCTGAGAAAGTTTTAGTGGAGTCGTGGGATCCAAAGCCTGAGGAGGGCGGGCGGGTTAAGTAAGGAATGGGGAAAGGAAGTGAATTCAGTGAACTTTTCTAGAAGGCAAAGTCACAATGGAATGTCACAAAAATACTTGGGTTTTGGAAAAATGAACACATATTCAAACTGCTTGTATATGTACAGAATATCTCTGGAAAGAAATGCAAAAAACTGCTTACTCTGATTGCCCCAGAAAAAACAGGTAGCTGGCAGAGGGACAGAGGTGGAAAAAAAGGCTTTTGACTTTATACTCTTTTGTACCTTCTGGGTTTTTTATCTGATTACATTTTCAAGTATAATCTATTGAAATAAGTGAAAAATTAAATGTTTAGAATGAGCTCGGAATGAAAGCAGATCTAGGTTTGCACCACTGCTCCGACACCTCCAGTTATGTGGTCTTGTAAAGCTGCCTAGCCTTTTTAAATCTCATAAAATAAGATAGTGGCACTCATCCTACCCATGTCATGCATCAATCAAAGTAGCATGCTTAGCACAATGCTTGATATACTAGTATTCTTATTGCTCAATGAATTTATTTTTATGAATCCTCTTTTTTAAGCTTGTTTCCTGAAAATGGGGATACTATTAGCTGTTTCTCAAGGGTTGATGATTAAATGAAATTAAAGGAGATAGAAAGTATTCAACAAATGGCAGCTGCTGCTACTATTACCATTATCACCATCATTATCAATGAATACTCTGGTGAGTCCCTGAACTGTGCCAATGAGGGAGAGGCTGCCTGCAGCAAATCGGGCTTCTGCACCACGGGAACCCTGCATCCCTCCAGGACCCTCAGTGAGGTCAGCTGACTAACATAACCATCAGCGTTTGAGTACCTATCATGTGCCAGGCACTTGGGTAGGAGTTGTGGAACCAAAAGTACAGAAAAAAAAAATATGCTGTACCTGCTTTTAAAGAGCTCAGTGTACACAGGAGAGAGAGCTGAACAATTACCATTCAGTGAATGGAACTAAAATAATACCAGAGCTACACACAAATGCTATGAAAATAAGGTTATGGCACCATTTGTAAGAGTGACCATCAACAACTCCAGGGCTCCAGAAGGACCAGCCCTTTCATGGAGCACATGGTAGTCAGTATCTGCCTGGCTCCCACCTCCTTTTCCAGCCTTGGTTCAGACATTGATTCTTCTGACAAGCTACTACTGAACCTCCAGAACTGGGCTGGGTGAGCCCCCTGCCATGAGCCCCATCTGTACTCACCCCCTCAGAATGTAAGTACATTAATGGAAATGACTTCACTTTCCAGTCTTTCCAACTAGATTGGGGGTGAGGGGAGCTCTTGAGAGCTTAGACTGTGTTTATTATCATATTCCCAAAGCATAACACAGTACCTGGCACACAGTGTTTATTGACTAATAAATAAATGAATTAACCCTGGGAAAGTATTCTGTCTTCTCTACTTCCAATGCCATAGATTTTATTTATACACACACACACACACACACACACACACACACACACACACACACACACTGTTAATCCTCATCCAAGGATATTTTCCCATTGATTTTTGGAGAGAGTGGAAGGGAGGGGGAGAGACAGAGAGAGAAACATCGATTGGTTGCCTCCTGTATGTGCCGAACAGGGCCGGGGATCAAGCCTGCAACCGAGGTATGTGCCCTTGAAGGGAGTCATGGACCCTTCAGTCCATGGGCTGACGCTCGGTGCCACATGTTTTACCGAAGAAGCCATCTGTTCTGAAGGCATATGAAGGATAAAGAAGGTCAAGTTCTGGTTTATGTTAGCACCAGAGTCCAGGGCCAACTGACCGACAATCTCGATGAGATGAGCTAGGATCACCCCATCCCGAAGGTCCTGTCGCAGGTCCTGCACGGGCTTCACCGCTGGGCTCTTCCTCAGCTGCGCGTTCACCCAGGCCACGTACGCCTGCAGTTGCTGCTGAAAAATGAAAGGTGGAAATAAGGGGAAGGCTGCCTATTATTCTTAACCTCCGCCCTGCACATGCAAGGCCAAATCTGAGGTTGAGCTATGGTGGGCAGTGCATCCCACCCAGAGGGAGCAGGAGCTTTTAAGGAAAGAAGGAAGAAAGATGGTCAGGCATATAGCACGTTTTAAAATTCCCTAGTTTTATGTTAGTCTCCAAGGATCAGCTAACCTCTGACTAGGGTGGCAGTGTACACACAGATAAGGAGACAAGTGTGTCAAGGACTACGACTCCGGCTTTCCTTGAGTTTTGCCTGGATGAGGTCCAGGCCCACAACCACAGCCAGTTTTTGGTGTACTCACTGCCACCAGCAGCCCACCCTGCTTCCCAGGAACAATCACTCATGTCCGTACGCACAATGGGCTGCGATAGTCATAAGAATTGATCTTGGGGATCAGGAATAAGCAGTACACCAAGCTCAGAACTGCCTTTTGCCCAGCTGCTTTTTTCACAATGAGACTTAACTGAAATCATCTCATACTGAACCTAAGATTTATTCTCCTGAGCCTATAATCCTGGGATTGCTACAAAGTTAGTTTTAATCTGTGCTTTATATTGTCAAAGAGGATCTAGTCACCTAAAACCTGCACACACTTACCAAGGAAAGGCTATGGTAAGCAGTGTTCCTGAAAACTAAGGAAAGGCTGGGGGAGGGGGGACACTTTCATTTATTTTCCGACAAAGCTAGGGCCCAGCAACCTCAGATGCCTCTTAGGCCCAGGTAGGGACATACAACTCATCCAACCCTTGGATGACCTTACATGTTCCACTTGTCCCTTACACAGAGCCTTTATGCAGGTGTTTATTCTGATTATTTGGTCTGAAGATGGGCACTAAATATCAAAGTAGCACATGAACAATGTCATAGTACAGGCAGCACTCTGTCTGGTTTCTGTAGAAGCCCAAGACCCTAAAAATTAAGTTCAAGGGCTAAATTATTAAATTATAATTTGGTTAAAGTTCTGTTGACTTCTAAGCCCCAAGTACTTCCTTAATAAAGTGATGTTGGCAATTACTCATTGGCGGCTTCCTGAGCTTAAATTAAATCTTCCTTATTTTCTCTAAATTGATTTGTGGGAATAAATAAAGTCCTTTGGAAGACAGTACTAAGGCAACAATCAATCAGCCACTGAGAAACCACAGGAACCACTATGATCAGCAAGAAGTGGGGGGAGGAATATTTATTGAGTACCTACCATGAACTAAATATCATTTGTGTTTTATACATGTTTTTTTTAAATATATTTCTTTATTGATTTAAGAGAGGAAGGGAGAAGGAGGAAGAGATAGAAACATCAATGATGAGAGAGTCATTGATTGGCTGCCTTCTGCACGGCCCCCACTGGGGACCAAGCCCGCAGCCTGGGCATGTGCCCTTGGCCGGAATCGAACCCGGGACCTTTCATTCTGCAGGCCGACGCTCTATCCACTGCGCCAAACTGGCTAGGGCTTTTATACATGTTTTAACGAGCTAATGAATAGACCTGGAACAGGGCTGCCGCACAATTGATGCTTACTAAATGGTCATTACTATTTTCATCATTATCATCATCTAACTCAATTATCAAAGAAGCACAGAAGGGTCAGTATCATCCCAACGGATGGATGAGGTTCAGAGAGATTATTTAACTTCTCCAATGTCCGCACAGCTAGGACATGGTAGACCCGGTATTGAAACCCACTGGGGATCAAGCCCGCAACCCGGGCACATGCTCCTTACCGAAATCGAACCTGGGACCCTTGAGTCCACATGTCGATGCTCTAACCACTTAGCAAACCGGCTGGAGCCCTAAGTATTTTTATTGATTTCAGAGAGGAAGAGAGAGGAAGAGAGCTAGAAATATCAATGATGAGAGAGAATCATTGATCAGCTGCCTCCTGCATGCCCCCTACTGGGGATCAAGCCTGCAACACAGGCATGTGCCCTGACCTGGAATCGAACCATGACCTCCTGGTTCATTGGTTGATGCCCAACCACTGAGCACACCAGCTGGGCCCAAATCCTTAAGTATTATTTTTTATTTTATTAAATGTTCATTTTGAAATAATTTTGCCACATAAAAGTGGCAAAAACATCACAAATAGTTCCCTTACATGCCTTCCCCAAATATTTACATCTTACACAACCCAGTACAATGATCAATACAGGAAATTAACACTGACACAAGACCACAAACTAACCTACAGTGAAATGATTCAAATTTCACTAATTATCCCACTAATGTCCTTTTGCTGGTTCAGTGTCCAATCCAAGGTCTCACACTGCATTTAGTTGTCGTGTCTCTTTAGTCTCTTCCAATCTTTGCCCTTAATGATCTTGACAATGTTGGAGAATATTGGCCCAAATATTCAGTGTCCCTCAATTTGGGTTTGCCTGATGTTTCCTTTATTTCTGCTCTGATCTTTATTACCATTACTAGAGGCCCGGTGCACAAAATTTGTGCATGGATGGAGTGGGGTAATTCCTCAGCCCATCCTGCACCCTCTCCCAATCCAGGACCTTTCGGGAGATGTCTGACTGCTGGTCTAGGGATCCCTGCAGATTGGTCCTAAACTGGCAGTTGGACATCCCTCTTGCAATCTGGGACCGCTGGCTCCTAACTGCTTGCTTGACTGCCTGATCACCCCTAACTGCTTCTGCCTGCCTGCCTGATTGCCCCTAACCACTCGCCTGCCTGCCTGATTGCTCCTAACCACTCACTTGCCTGCATGATAACCCCTAACTGCTCCCTGGGAGGTGGAGCCAGCCGGGGCAAGGGGCCATGGTGTTCTGGTCTCTGGTCGTTCTGGTCATTCCACCATTTCAGTCGCTGGGCTTTTATTATATAGGATGTTTTCCAGTTACTTTTTGTGTATATAAAAGCTACTTTGGTATGTTAATTTTATGACCTGTTACCTTATCTTTAATTGTTTGAGTTTTATCAGTGACTAGAGGCCTAGTTCACGAAATTAGTGCACTGTAGGGTCCCTAGCAGCTGCCTGTTGCCAACCAGGGCCTCTCTCCCTTCTCCTAGCAGGCCCTGCCCCCTGGTTGAACTCCCGGATGACCTCCCAGTCGAGGGGACAATTTGCATACTATGCTTTTATTATACAGGATTGTGGTTTCCAGGATTACTATCACATCAACTGTAAAAAAAAAATAGTTTTTCTTCATTGTAGTGCTTCCCAATTTAGTAAGTTACTGGTATTAGAACTATATATATTTTTTCTCATGTTAAGAAAGTACTCATCAAGTCTTATTTTCTTGAGTGTTTTTATGAGGAATGGATGTTGAATTCTGAAAGTTTCTTAGCATTTATGGAATTAATCTTTTATGATTATTTTCCCTGACACCTATTAGTCTGGTACTATATGATATTAATGGATTTCCTAATAATGAACCTACCTTTTATTCTTGGAATTAAACTCACCAGATCATAGTGAATTATATTTTTACTATGGTGTTGGATTCTATTGTTAATAAAATAATTATTAGTGCTATATCAGTACTATATATGACATTTCTTCGTAGGTACTCATAAATATTAGTCTGCAGTTTTCTTTTTGATTGTCTTTATCATATTTAGGTATCAATATTACCTTTGCTTCATATGAAGTAGGAAGTTTCTCTACATTTTCAATACTCTGAAAGCTTTGGGACTCTCCGATATGTGGAGGTTTGATAGAATTCCCCTATAAAATAATCTGGGCCTGGTACCTTATTTGAGGAATAGTTCCTTAATAACTTCATTTCTTCTACAAAAATTGGTCTGTTTAAATTTTGTCTCCTGCAATTTTAATAAGAATTTCCCAAGAAATGATTCATTTCATCAATGTTTTTTTTCTTTTTTTTTTAATAATTTTTATTTCTTAAAGTATTACAGAGTATTACATATGTCTCCTTTTTCCCCCCCTTGACATTCCCCCAGCCCCTAACCCCCCCCCCAGTGTCTTGTGTCCATTGGTTAATCTTATATGCATGAATATAAGTCCTTCGGTTGATCTCTTAATCACCCCAAACCCTCCCCAGGCTTCCGACTGTAGTTTGAAAGTCTGTTCAATGTTGCTCTGCCTCTGCATCTACCCCTGTTCATCAGTCTATACTGGTCCCCATTATCTGTCCCAACATCATTGGAGCAGTCCCAACCTCACCGGGTCCGTCCCTACCTCACCGGGGCCGTTTCAATCTCACCGGGGCCATCCTGACCTCACCCGGGTCGATTCAACCTCACTGGGGCCGTCTCGACCTCACCGGGACCGTTTCAACCTCACTGGGGCCGTCCCGGCCTCACCGGGGCCGTTTCAACCTCACTGGGGCCGTCCCGACCTCACCGGGGCCATTTCAACCTCACCAGGGCCGTCCCGAACTCACTGGGGCAGTTTCAACCTTACCAGGGCCGTCCCTACCCCACCGGGGCCGTTTCAACCTCACCGGGGCCGCTTCAGCCTGACTGGGGCCACTTCAACCTGACCGGGGCTGTCCCAACCTCACCGGGGCCGTTTCAACCTCACCGGGGCCGTCCTGACCTCACCAGGGCTGTTTCAACCTCACCGGGCCCGTTTCAATCATTTCATCAATGTTTTAAAATGTATTTGCATAGACCTGAAAATACTCTGGTAATTTTTTTTGTTTCATTGGTTACTTCTCCATTATCATTTCTCATTTTGTCTTTTGTGCTTTCTCCCTTTATCTTCTTCATTGTGTTAGCCAATAGTTTGTCTATCTTGATATTTTCAACAGATCTTTTTAAAATGCTTTCAAGAATTATTGCTATTCTGGCCTAAGTCCCTCTAAAACCATAATATCTAGAAACAACCACAATTCTCTAGTGTAAAACCAGACACTCGGCTTCCTTATCTAAAAAATTTCACATTCTTCTCCTTTTTCTTCCTTTTCTTATTTTTTGTTACCCCACCTCACACCGTTGACTCACATAATGCTGTCAACCAAAGCCTCCCAGTAATGTTTAATATT